CAAGGAGCGAAGACAAGAGGGTGCGCACATCAACAAAAGTCTGCTCACGCTAGGAACGGTCATTGCGAAGCTTTCTGAGTGGAAGGACAAGGGCGGCGATAAGGATGGCAAGCATCTGCCGTACCGAGACAGCAAACTGACGCGACTGCTTCAGGGAGCCCTCTCTGGAAACTCCCTCGTCAGCATCCTCTGCACAGCCGCGCTTGGCGTGACTGGAACTGCTGCGACTTCCGCCAACCACACCATCGAGACGCTCAACACGCTCAAGTTCGCCTCTCGCGCGAAGAACAGCATCGTCAGTCACGCCAAGAGGGCCGAAGAAGCCCTGGGCGCCGGAGGCGATGGTGGCGCGCGGGTGCTCTTGGAGCGGTATCGCATGGAGATCCAGGAACTCAAGCAGCAGCTGGAGTCACAGGCGAACAAGAAGAACGACGAAGAAATCAAGGAGCTTGTCGAGGAGGACCGTGCGCAGACGGCGCTGATGGCCGAGCGGCATGAGGAACAAATTCTGGAAATGCAGCTTGCCAGGACGGCACTCAAGGAGCGAATCGATCATCTCAACCGCCTGATTCTCAGCTCCAAGTCGGCCGGCGTCAACTCGAACGGCACCATGAGTGCACTCGCACGATATTCACAGATCTCGTTAGTGCCGGGATCAGCCCGATCGTCGGTTGCCATGTCGATTAGATCGCCCCTGGAGCGGACGGCATCGGTGGCGTCAAACTCCACGATTGGGCGGAGATCCAGCTACGGGGTCAAGAGGATGTCGTCGGGTGAGGCGGTAGCAGCCGAGATTGTCGATGCGGAGGAGGATAGCATCGGCGAGAACGGGGATGGGCTGGCTTCTCTGACGGCACAGAACCGAGCACTGCAGGCCGACCTGGCAGACAAGAACCGATACATCTCGACGCTTGAGAAACGACTGCTACAGGCCCGGCGAGCCAGCTCTTCCCGGACATCGTCTGGCTTCTCAGTCACGACCAAGGGCATCATGGTGGGTGAGGATCACAGCGTGGCTGCCCTGCTGAAAGAGAAGGACGCCGAGATTGCCGATCTGCGAGCCAGGCTGGACGACAAGGATCGCATGCTGGCTGCCCTGAGAAGCGCAGCCCGCTCCCGGGACAATGCCGATGCAATGACGGAGCCTCGCTCGCCTCAGTCTCAGGATGGCATTCGAAACAGTCTTCACTGGAGCCCTCGGAATAAGGATTCCAAGAGAAGGACGAAGAGTATCGACGAGATGAACAACATGCTCGAAGAAATGATTCAGGACAGAGTCGAGACTGGCCAGATTGTTAGGGGCACTCGGGGCAGTGTACGACTGGCGCCTATCCACAGGCTGGAGTCGTTGGGCGAGCCTCCCAGTGAGCTCCCGCCGTTGCGGCGTGTAGCAACGCCTGTTGGAGAGCGCAGTGCCCCTGTTTCAGCTGCGTCATGATGTCCCGGGAAGAGGGGGTGAAGAATGGAAAAGAAACCGGTCGAGGACCGGAAAGCAGCTGCCATTCAAGACTGATGTGATGAGAAACCTTTCCTTTTTTTTGTGCGGAAATCTCGGGTGGGACAAGGTGTTTAGGCATGGAGCCATCTTTTCTTCTCTTCTTCTTGTGTTTGCTTCTTTTCATGTTATACCCGAGCTTTTGAGTTTGATTCTTGTTTGCTCTGCGAGAAAGGGGCAACACGAGTGGGGTTTGGTGTTTTGATTCATGAGGCAGCATCCCGAGTCGCTTACAGGTTTTGCGTGGATTGGACGACAAGTCTCGTTGCTGGTGTACGAATACCCCCCCGTTTAATGCGCGTCTTGATGATGTTTCGTCGTGGCTGGCAAGCTGCAGAGTGCGACGGAGAAGGAGGGTGTTGGATTCAGAATCCCACTCGAGTTCTCTTGTCTGGTTAGGGTTTTTGCATTGGGCTAGCATGACTTTAAAATGGGCAAAGGAGCCTGGTGCGGACGGATATTGTACTTTCTTCTTCTTTCTCTTGTCGTCATTTTTGAACGTCTTTCGTTTGCTTGCTTTAGCGAATTTCTTATATGCCAAGCGCAAGCCATGATATTAAAGAGTACAAAGGTTATATATCAGAATGCCTGAACTGAGACCCTTGTGTGAATATGACTGTTGTGATGCAGTGCTGCGGGTTTCCCTGATTGTGTCAAGGTGAGATCTATGGCACTACAATACACCAGACGGGAACAGACATGGAGAGCGAATTGCAAGGGCTCTCGACGTTTCCTAAAGGCTGCCAGCTACTAAGTATATGTCCTTTCCTCCTGTGTCTGCGTGATCCGTAATATATGGCCTTGCAGGAATATGGTGCTCAGCACATGGTCTTCAGACCATAAGAGGAAAAAGAGGAGAAGAAGAAGGCGAAGGTGAACAGAACAAGTGGATGCAGATTCTCGAAACACGGCTACATGCGTTTTACGTGGTGAAAACGACGGATGCTACATACATGTACGCAAAGGGGGCATCCAGTGGTGAGGTTCATCTCGATATACGGAGCAACATGTCGAATACCAAATGACGGCTGGGATATATATATTAAGCAAGAAATGAGATGGGCTGATGATGAGTTGCAGATAGATTAATGAGGCGGAAGATGTTGTAGTATACTATGTTCCCGAGTCAGCTCGTCAGCGTAGGGACGAGCCGAGGCAGACCCATTCTATGTTTCCCGACCGGGTACCTTGTTGTAGTATTACGCAACTGCCGGAAAACAACGAGATGATGAGGATGGCAATAAACAACTTGAGAGGTCTGTCGGTAGGTATGATAGAGTGAGTTTTGAGTGGACAGACTGCCCTTCTCGTATGTAGTGCATGACTAGGGTGCATCGGGCAAGGATCCCGAATCCAATCGGTGGGTGTGAGGGCCATACAATCTGAAACACGCGATAGAATACCACCTTACCTTGCCTTTGACTCCCACACGCTTTCCCTTGACATGATGCCTCAACCATTTACAACGCATGTGTAAGCCCCCAATCAAGCCAGCTACTAGCGAAGAAAGTCAAATTCCCATCGCATCGTCATCGTGGGCCGTGATACTGACTCGTATGAACTCAGAATCGCGGATGCCATGCCATTTCTTTCCCGTCTTCCTCTTCGTGAGAGCACAGGCCATGGAGCGGCTTGTTCGAAAAGCCCAAGAGAGATCGCACCTCGTCTGGAATGTGGCGGCCAACAGCCATCATTGGGGTTCGTTTCATCAACAAAGGGCTTTTTTTTTCTCCTGTTCTGTTGTGACACCCCTGTTGGGGTATGACGCTGGCAAACGGAGCCTCTGCCTGCCGCCCCCCCTGGTCGCTTTGCAACGACTATCACCATTTCCCTTCTTTTTTTTCAGCTTCTTCTTTCTGCTCTGGCTGTCCCTTTGCTTGTCAGGTCATCTTTTTAAGCGCCGTCAGACTGGAAGAAAAAAAGAACGCAGAGTGGATGCTATTCTGTAGCGAAGTGGGCTCGAAGAAGTGTCTCTGGCAGGAGCTTTCTGCTTCTTGACCCCTGTGGGACCGTCCTTGCAATCCCCAAGCCGCGGAATCCCATGATGGTTGGACCGGGAACTGGATGTGGTGGTGAGGGAGAGGGTGGTACAATGGCATGCGGAGCAATAGATTTGCCAAGTTCTTTTATGCCCTCTTCGTTCTGATACTCTTTTCTTTACTTGACAGTAATGTGTCATGCATCTTTCTATTTCTCGTTCTGACACTTGCGTGGACACGAATTCTGTGCTGTCCCGCCAAGTCGTTTCATCCTGTCGAACCAACTTTTCCCTCGCATCAGACGCCCGCAACGCTTTTCTCCAGCACATCCTCCTCTCCATGCCATTTCCTTATTGACAAGGATTATGAGAGACATGACATCAAGCCTCTTGCTTCCCCACAGCTGGACAAGACACACACGCCAGGGGCCCTGTTTGAAACTGCCACATACATGCTACAAGTATATACATAACTTCGTCCAGCACCGGACTTCCGAGAGAGAGAAAAGGCGGCCTGAGCTGCGGGTTTGTTTGTTTGTTCGACCAAGCGCCCACAGGCCGGAAGCTGGTCCGTCTGCGAGGCATCTCCCATTACGACTCTTTATTGTCCCGAGCAACAAGAACACATTCATGCATGTGCCTGCGTGTTAGGTATGCATACGGGATCAACCTAGTATAAGCTGGTCTCTCCGCACTCTTCAACTCCGCGATCTGCTTGCGATCTGGAAACCCATATGTATTTATTCTCTCCCTTTCAACCTCTTCTTCCCCGGACATCATTCGTCTGATCGGGAATCGCCACAACTGACTATACCGCCAATCCTTCAACGCAAAGATTCCTCTTCGCATACTGTCTCTTTTCCCCTTCGTCCTCCCTCTCGCCGCCCTCTTGTTTCTTCTTCCTCGCTTCTTGTTCCGCTTCGGGTGGCACCCGCAGGATCGTCGTTCCCCCTCGAGCCGTGATAGGGATTCAAACAAGAAAGAAGAGGTCACACAGGCAGTCTTTTCCTTCTACCACTCATTTCACTCCATTTCCACTTCACACCTCAACTGCCTGAACACCCTCAGACAGACGCTGCCACACGGCCTCGGGACTTACGACGCCCGCATGATGATTGGCAGTCTCTGCTAGGGGAGTTCTTCCTGATAATGCCGTCTTGTCGGGGAGAGGGAAACTTGGATTGCTTGACCATCATCACTCGAGTACGCGCCTCGGTCTTCTTGCGATCTTGATTTACTTGGGCTTCGGTACCTGGAGAAACAAGGTCGGCGGTTGACACGTCTTGGCTGGCCCATCTGCGCTTCACCCTCCTTTGCGTCATCATCTTCCCGGACCTCTTCTTTGTTGCTTCTGCTTCTTTCTCGCTCGAGCCCTGTTGAAGCCGACTTTGACGCTGGCTATACACTCACTTGGGTTGTGGCATTCGTCCGGACCCTTTCTTACTCTCTTTTATATCTATTTCCTTGATTTCCTCTATTTCATGTGTTAGTCGTTCCCGTGTGGGGACTTCACTCACAAATACCACCATGGTTCCTCCTCTGGATCTCTCTCACGCAAAGGTCATGATTGCGCCTCCGAGGCTCAACCTCCGCCGCAATGCCTCTTACAACAACTGCGACAAGGCGCCGCTCTCGTCGACCTCGGCTCGATTCAGCTTCAACCACCTCCTCTTCTCGCCTCCGCCCTCTCCCAGTCTTCCTGTCCTGGTCCCGCGGCCGAAGAAATCGCCCGCCAAGGTCCTCATCGCTCGACCAAGCCGAGTCTTGCGCTATGTGCTCTATCTTGTTACCCTTCTTACGACATTTTATGTTGCCAGGGTCGTCTTACGGAACAAGGAATCTATTGTAGCGGTATGGCCTCACTTTACCACTGAAGAGTTTGAAATGGTCGGGCAGGATGCATTGCCGGACTTCCCAACGCCGATCGTTGTCAGTCATAGCCACTCGCGGTCAAAGTGGACTGTGTCTATTCCGCATGGTCACGACTTTCCTCTATCTGTCGAGGAGTATGCTGGCATGGGAAGCAAGTGCCGCGAGGTCTCGGCTCATACCAGGGAGCTTCGCGGCAAGGCCCCCCGAACTGACGAAGACATGCTCAACTACGACGCTGTGGATGAGTATTTTGTCGACGTATATGAGGCTGAGCAGTCCGGACTATTGCCCGCAGCTGGACATGGAAGTGCTGCCGGGAAGACGGGGCATTTTGTCGGCCTGAACTGGGAGTCCATGGCCGGGCTGCCCGTCTGCCAATCGTCCGTCACATATGTGCTGGAGAGCTCGGATGCCGGACTGGGGACTGCCGTCATGGGCATGTGGATGCTCTACGGCCTGGCGAAGCACGACGGACGGGCCTTTTTCGTCGACGACTCTCGCTGGGCGTATGGCCAGTATACCGACATCTTCGAGGCACCGCCCCTGCCCGACTGCCGGCCACCTCCACGACATCAGATGCTTCCCTGTCCGGCCCAGGCGAAGCACCTGGTCGTCACCGGCACAACGCTCAAGGACGTTTTCCCCGCGCTGATGGCCAAGTATCATCGGGCTGCAGGGACGGATAACAACCTCCGAGATCTGATGGGACTTGCAAGATCGGGCTACGAGGCACTCTTCAAGCTCAACGGCGATGACCAAGAATTTGCCCAGAATCGAGTCAAAGAACTGAGGAAGCAGCAGATGGAAGGAGACACAGCCCTGCCCCCCATACCCATCGTCGGAATCCACGTTCGACGCGGCGACTCGCACCCTCTAGAGTATCAATATCGCAACACTTACGTCCCGTCTGAGGTGTTTCTCAACAGGGCCCAGGAGCTGGTCAGCAGTTTTTATAGCTCCCATGAGAGGCATGATGCGGCGACGTCAAACTGCTCCATCACCATCATCGCCTCCGACGACCCAGCCGTCTACAAGCAGCCCGACTTCTCCGACGCCCTGGTCGCACAGGAGCGCATCCGCCTGGCCTCGAAAGAAGCCGCACCGCGGGAAGACGTCGACCCTCACGTGCTGCACCACTTCGAGGATGAAACCTTGGGATGGGAAGGCGGCTTCTTCGCGTCCATGTTTTGGAACCTCGGATTCGACAGGAAGCACAACGGCCATGCAGCCGGAGCGTCGGCGGCGTTGTCGTCGTCGTCCGGGCGGATGACGGAGCCGCCCTCGGAGCAGACGCTTCAGCTGCGCAGCTACATGGGCAGGGCGTATATGCTCGACCTGGCAGTCCTCGCGGGAGCGAGCGACAGGATCGTGTGCACTGTCAGTTCGATGGGGTGCAAGATGCTGGGAGTCATGATGGGGTGGGAGGCTGGCATTGAGGGGGGAGGTTGGAACAACGTGGACGGCGATTATCCGTGGGCGTGGATGAACTGATTGCGTAGGAGAGAGGGAAAGAAAAAAAAGGCTGTTTGTTGTAAGTATGTCGACGCATTCGTTTGTGGGCTTTCAATTCAGATGGTGTCAGTGGGCATTCATTGTACGGCGTTGGGGGACATGATTGATATTGATGAAGCGAGCGTGGCTGTCTTTTTTTCGTTCAAATCTCATTCTTGAGGGCTCTCGTAGTTCAATTGACAGATTCACTGTGACCAAGAAAGCGAAGTTTCACTCACTTTAATGCGTGTAATTTGTCTGTTGTAATGCTGCATCTTTATTGTCCTCTGTGTTCTTATTAGTACGACTAAGGTACCTACCTGTACGTGAGGCGAGAACCGGCAGCGCGTGATGCCCCATAATTCCCTGCGAGGCTACTGCCTGGCCGCGGCTTCCCGCGCCAACCTTCACCTTCTGGGAGCTCGGCCTTGAACTTTAATAATCCCAACAGATCCAACCTTTTCTTCTTGCCTTCTTCCACTTTCCACCGTCTGCATTCCTCCTCCCACGTCTCCCCAACACGCAACCGAACACACAGATACACACATCTTCTCCGACTGCAGCCGCGTTCTCATCACCAGAATCACCAGAGCAGGCCATTCAAAAGCACAAAATCCACGACAATGTCAGCGCCCAGCCCCGGAGGCGATGCCACCGCGGCTCCTCCAGCGCCCTCGAAGCCGCGACTCAAGATCAACGTCAGCCGCTCGGCGTCCTTTGTCGGCGAAGGCGCGGCCACGCCTGGCGGAGGAGCGCCGCCGTCTGCGACCGCAACCGCGCCGCCGCTGCCAACGCCCGGCGAAGGGGCTCGCAAGGTGAAGCTCAAGATCAGCTCGTCGCAGCCGCCCACGCCGGCGGTACCATCAGCGAGCAAGGATGTGGCGATGAAGGACGCGGTCAAGGACAACAAGGAGAGAGACAAGGAAAACGACAAGGAGAAAGACAAGGACAAGGACAGGGATAAAGACAAGAACAAAGGGCTGCCACCGGTGGTGACGACAAAAGCGGGCAGGCAAGCGAAACCGAGTCAGAAGCTCATCGAAAGCAAGAAGCGCTCGCTCAGCGACGACGAAGACGAGGCGCCGCTGCGCGGCAGTACCGCCGGCACCGCCGGGCACGGTCCCCCGCCCGCGACCAAGATCAAGATCAAGCCCATCGTCAAGGTCGGCGGAGGAGCAGGCGGCGGGACAAAGGTCAAGACGGGATCCAAGGCTGGGCTGACTCAATTGGTGCTCAAGCCTCGTGGTCGTCCGCCTGTGCACCCTCCCGGCGATGGCTACGACTCCGAGGCGAGCGACAACGAGATCGACCCGGCGATTGAGGAGCAGTTCATATTGCGCATGCTGCCGGGCGAGCACGCCGACTATGTGCGCTGGTGCATGGAGAATGGCAAGATTGGCCTGCCCAAGTCGGCTGGCGGTGCTGACATCTACATGCGATTTTTCGAGGAAGAGTCTCGGCGTGGAGTCATTTGCGTCAAGGGTCAGTGCTTTGCGGCCGTCTTGGTCGATCTGCCTACCATTACGGAATCCATGAAGACGTGGGACCGCAAGTCGCTCATGAAGTCGGCGGACATTTGCCAGATGCTTCTGGTATTCCAGGCTGTCAAGAGCGAAGAGGAAGCAAGGCACGTGCCTTTGCCCAGCATCATTGATTCAAACTTCAAGTGGCCGCACGGCCTGACACCGCCGATGCACGACTGCGTGAACCGACGATTCGCCAAGACCATCAGCCGCAAGGAAATCGAGGACAAGGAAGCAGAGGTCGAACGACTTCTCGCCGAGGACGCTAAATGCAACTCTACCAAGTGGGAATGGGTCGACGAGCGCAACGGTGCTGAAGAGGATGGAGAGGAGGACGCTGAAGGCGAGATGGACGATAGCCTCGGCTACTTTGGCCAACAGCACGAATCCATGGGCGCCGAGGAAGAGAACGACTTTGATCTCGAAGCCGACCTGGAGGCGGCTTTTGCGGATGAGCTGTTTGCGGAGACCCCTGCCACGGCCATGGACACGCAGACGCCGACAGCTGCGCTCGCTACCCCATCGGCGTCGGCGGCCCTGCAGGAAAGCATTGAGCCAAGTGAATCTGAAGAGGACGATGACGATGACGATGATGACGACGACGATGACGACCTCGATGAAGATGCACGTGCCCGCCGTGATGAGGAGCACAGCGTCAAGGAAATGATCAATGACCTCACGAGGCAGCTCGCCTCCCGTGTCGCTGACCTTGAACGAACGCAGAACAAGATTCTCAGGACCCGTCTCGAAAACCAGATCAAGTCGCTCAAGGCCGAGATTGCCCTCAAGCAGTCCTCTATCGGAATCGAGGCGGATGATTGAGAGTTTACTCTAATCCTTTTGACGACTTGTCTCACACGTAATATCCAATTCACAATCACACCTTGATCTCCAGCGTGGTCGACGTTCATGTCGGTTACGTCTGTCGATGGATCACAATAACTGGTATGGAGAGATCAACAAGGTTGTCTGTTTTATGCCGTACTTGTTGGGCATGGAGTTTAAGGGTTGGTTAAAAAGGGTATAGGATGGTCTGAGACAAAGGGGGCTCGGAACGGCGTTTACTCTGCTTCTGTCCCTTTTCCGTCATCTCTGCTTACGAATTACTTTGATACGGACATGGGGAAAATAATAGGGTTCGATTCAGCGGTTAAACTGTGCCATTGATGGCTTGATCCAGCGATTGCAACTACACCATATATGCCAGGTAGTGTCGACTCCGCTTGAACGCACAATATGAATGACGCTTGCTTTTGTGCCAAGTATCAAGATCCCCAAAGCCTCAGCTGGACCGTCGTTCCAGGCCGCTGGCTAATGTTCTGATTGTCTCTTCCTTTCCTTTGTCTTGTAAGACAGCATGTGTTGTCATTAGAACAGCTCCTACTAAACCCGCCACGAGATCCTCTCATATACACTGAAATTGTAGCGACATGGGAGATACCATCACCCTTTCCTCCTGCGAGATATCAAACCTTCATATGCAACCCCCTCTTCCCCCAAGCATAACACAGCCCAGAACGACAACAAAAACTCAACCCCTCTCCTCCAAAGCCCTCGCAGTCCTCCTCCAATCCCTCACCAGTACAATCTCCGCCGTATCGAGGACATCCTTCCACACCAGCGTCTTGCAAAACTGCTCGAGGCTCTTCGGCCGAGCCCTTGTCCGCGGCCGGCGGCCACTGCTCTGGACGTGCTTCTGGATGGCCCTCTGCAGGTGGACGGCCATCGGGGGGTCGCGCTTGGACTGCTGCTTGAGGTAGTTTGCCGTGAAGACGGCGTCGGTGAGCTTGGTCGTCTTGTGGTCGCGGTTCCAGCGGCGGGTGGAGGCGATGGCGTCTTCGATGCGTTGCTTGCTGGACCGTGTTGCTTCTTTGAGGGGGAGGACTTGTCAGCATCTACTGGATATAGGGAACATGTCAGTAGATAATGGGTGGAAGTTTCTTACTGGCATCGGTTGGTTGGTTCATGGCAGCTGGTTCTGCCTGTGTTCCGCCGCCATTGCTTGCCAAAGCCAAGGCCTGCGTGCGCCTCATCAGAGCCTCCGGCTCAGCCGCCGTCGGGAGCTTCTCCAGTGCGCTCGAGATCAAGCCCCTGAGCTCAGTCATCTCCCTCCTCATCAACTCAATCGTCTTGTCCACCTCCTTCTTCAGGCCAATTTCTTCCCCTCCAGCAGCCCTCCCGCCGCTGCTTCCCTCCTTCCACTCCGGCCCCTGAATCTCCTCCATGCGCTGCTTCACCGCGGCCATCTCCTTGCACACGCCCTGCAGCCGCGCGTCGTGCGTCTCCCGGAACGCCCTGTCCTCCTGGGTGCACGCCACGAGGGCGCCGACGCTCTTCTCCAGGCGCTCCGTCTGGGCGCTCACCGCGCGGACGTTGAGCTCGACCGTCATGCGGGCGAGGGCGTCCGCGTGGGAGAGGAGCTTGCTGCCTTTCCTGGTGGTGGCGATGGCGGCGGTGGGGATGGGCGAGATGGAAGAGGAGGAGGAGGAGGAGGAGGAGGGTATTATGGCCGTGGTGGCTGGTCTGGAGGCGGACGAGGGTTGAGAGGCGGTTGCTGGGACGGAGCGGCCTCTTGTCTTCATGCTGGCTGTCATGAGGACTGCCCTGTGAGAGAGCTTCGTAAGGGTGCTTCAGCTGCTTATGACTATAATGAGGACTAGAAGAGCAGAAAGAAGATGAAAAGAGGGAGAAGCTGGCTGTGAAGGCGGTGATGATGGTGAGACTTCCTTCCTCAGCTGCAAGGACAGACACAGAGGAAGGGACTGGTTTACTTCCTTCCCCTTAACGACGTGAATATTAGAGACAAACCCAAAACATCAACCTCAATTTCTTTATCGGAAAGTCAGTCGTCTTATCAGATAAAAGCTTCATATATCGAATAAACACTAACAAATAGGTATATAACTTCTTTTTGACTCCTTCATACAGCTTCATCACATCAACGTCTCGGCATCCAGAGTCAACTCTCTCTGCCATCCCAGCAGTCACTACTTGCTCTCCCGTTCCCTCGCGATCCACTCCAGAAACATATCGACGTCCTTCGCAATCTGCCCCGGCACCGCCATCTTCTGGATCCACGCCGGCAGCACGCCTCTCGCATCCGACACCGTCCCCATGAGCCACTCGACGTTGCCCTGCTCGTCCACCTCCCGGAAGCGCTCTATGCTCGTGTACGCGCCCCGCAGCGCGCCGTCCGACCGCTGCTCCTCCGACCTGGACGACTCGGGCACGGCCGCGATCTGGACGACGACGAACTCGCGCCGGCCCCGCACCGCCGCCGTCACCTGCAGCACGGGGAACACGCGGTTGTTGAGCGGCGCGGGCATCTTGTGCGTCGACTCCTCCAGCTTGAGCGTCAGGTCCTCGTACGTGTCGCCCCCGAGCGTCACCTCTGCGCCCGCGCAGTCCCACTGCCTCTTCAGCACGTGGCTCACGACCGACGGCGTAAACTTCATCTCGGCGTCGGCGTGCTCGTCCTTGAAGCACCGCGTCCACTCGTCCCAGTCCGCGGTCCCGGCCTTCTTCGCCCCCTCGTGCACGCTGCGGCGGAGGCTCCACGTTTCCGGCCTGATCTTTGGCGCGGCGCCGGACGCCTGCGGGAGGTTGTCGCTCTTGGCCGCGAGCTTGAGGTCCTCGGCCGAGACGACCCGCTCAAACAGGTGCACCGGCGCGGCCGAGTGAGGGAACGCCCTGCATCCCTTTGGCTTCCAGGGTCCATCTGGGCCACTCTGGTTGGACTTGCCCGACGAGGATGATGATGATGACGACGACGACGAGGACGAAGATTGTAGGGGCACTGAGCCGACGAAAGGAACGGCCTCGCTCAAGATGGACTGAAGAAATGGAACGAGGTCTTGAGCTGACGCAGTCTCTGCAGGGAGTTGTGATGGGCGGATGCCCCAGAGTCGAACATAGGGGCCGTACTGCGCCATTTCGCCGACCTGATTATGATTATGATTATCAATGCTATGAGAGACCGACGGCCGGAGAGGCGAGAAACGAAGACGGCATTGACGGCCAAGGCGCGACAGCAAACTGGAAGCTATAAGAAAAGCGAGTTTATGACGCCACAATGAAGGAACAGCGACTTGGATGAGATGAGACGAAGGAGAAACGCGGGCTGGGAATCCGGGGGGAAATGGTGGCTTATATGGGATGGGTAGGCCCGAAGTCTAAGTGCGAGCTTCCATTTCTCTCCCAGGGGTCTTGCCCTCCTCCTCCGTCTTCTTTTATTTTTCTTCTCTGTTCGCCTACATGATGACATGTGATGAAAGAAAAAAAAGGGGATGAGAACTTAAAAAAGCGTCGAGGTGAGAGTAGGGGAGGGGCCCTATTTTTGCGTTTAGCGAGCGGGCGCTGGGGTCACGCCTATTTCCCCCCCAATCTGGACTTCACCGAGATCTCTGCTCTGCTCTGCTCTGTGCTGTGTGTGTGCCGGCCCGCCGTTTGGTCGGGGACCAGGATAGGGCGGGTTGAAGAAGGGGGACCGATTTGGAGATCGGGGGTGGGTGTGGGCTTGGGGACAAGAGACTTGCCGATTCGGGGCAACTTTGTTTTGTTGCGTATGTGGGTGAGATCATTCGTAGTTTTGTGATGGAACACTGTTTGGCTTTGTTCTCGGAGTTTACAGTTTAACAGGGAAAGTTGAGAACAGTTTTGTCTTGACAAAACACTCTACTTGCATGTAAGAGATCTGACAAGGCGGCTTCTTGAGTTATGAATTGATTCCTGTTTCTCGTCTAGGCTCTATTCAAAGCTCTACTGGCATTATTAGGTAGTAGTAGTAGTAGTAAGTATTACAATCATGATGCGGCCATGACCATCACGTTTGCTGTGTCGTGCGTGTCCTCCCATGCGTCCCAAATAAACTCCGACGTAAAGATATCATGTACAGTACGCATCCAACCCAACTCGACAAAAAGCTGGTGTTTCTTTTTCTCTTTCTATTTCCCTTTTGGTCTATCCCTTGACATCCCCTCAATCTCTCCGCTCCCACCGGATCTTGGCGGGCTCCAGCGGTCGGGAGAACAGAGAAGCATAGTCGGTGCCGACAATGTTGTTGCTGCCGTCCACGTTGCTCAGCTTGAACAGTCGCACCACCTCGCAGACAATGGTCTGCAGCTGCAGGTTGGCAAAGTGCTCGCCGATGCATCGGTGGCGGCCCGCGCCGAAGGGGAGATACGGCGAAGCGGCGCCCTTGCTGACGATGCCGTAGCCGTAGTCGATCTTCTCCTCCTCCTCGTCGTTCCGGGCCAGCAGGGGAGCGTTGGGCGAGCCGGGCAGCCAGCGGTACGGATCCCACAGCTCAGGGTTGGGGAAGTAGTTGGGGTCGGAGCCGCTGACGCCGGGCGCGGCGAGGAGGACGTGGGACGTGGGGATGACGTATTTGGTTCCGGGGACGGGCATCGGCTGCTTGACCTTGCGCATGATGGAGTGGATCGGGGCGTTGAGACGCAGCGTCTCCTTGACGATGGCCTGGCACAGGGGCAGCTTGGCGAGGTGCTCGTACTGGAGGGGAGGCAGGTCGGCGCCCAGGACGCGGATCTGCTCCTGGTAGAGGTCCTCGACGATGTTCGGGTACTGGGCGAGGCGGAGCATGATCCAGGAGCTGGTGGAGGACGAAGAGTGCTGGCCGGCCATGAGCAGGGCAATCATCATGTGGGCGATTTCGTGGTCGGGAACGGGGGTGCCGTCCTTGTACTTGGACGTCATGAGGTGCTTCAGGATGTCGAGTTCCTTGTCCTGGTCGCCGAGGGCGCGTCGCTCCTTGATGGTGTCCATGTAGATCTTGGCCACGGTGCGCTGGGCGTGATCGCGCTTGCGGTTCCAGGGGAGAGGCGCCCAGTGGAGCACGAAGTTGATGGAGGTGAAGCCCATGTCGAGGTCGTGGTACAGGTCGGCCAGGGTCTCGTCGAACTTGCTGCGGATGAGGCTGCCCTGGAGCGCGTGGGAGGCAGTGAAGATTGTGATCTCGGCCATCTTCTTGGGGATGTCGACAATGCCGGACTTGCCCTTGAAGTCGGGATCGCGCTTAAAGTAGGAGATAACCTCGTGGGAGATGATGGGGACGTAGCTCCTGAACGCTTCGGTCGTGAGGGCGATTTTCATGAACTGGACTTTGGTGTCAGCGAACCAACAACTCGAGACGCCTGGAGTGTGGCAGCTATCAAGCAAGCACAAGCGACAAACTCACCTTCTTTTGTTCCATCAGCTTGGCATTGGGGCAGTCGTAGACAACATCTCGTCCAAAGACGGGCGTGGTCAGGACACTGTAAATCTCCTCTGCATTGGCGTCCTTGAGCTTTCCGTTGAGGATAAAGTCGTTTCCAGCGGGGCCCACGGCCACGGTCGTCTTCTTGCCGAGCAGGATAAAGGTGAAGACGTCGCCATACTGCCCAATTGAAGCGTTAGTCGCTGCCAGAGGTCGTTTGGAGGGCTTGTCTTGAATTGCCCACCTTTGCACGATTCTCGCGGAAGAACTTGGGAGGATCCATGCCGTAAATCACCGTGCTGCCGATCCAGGGAAACCAGTGAAACACCATCGGCGGCTCGCTGGCCTTTTTCGGGAGCAGCTGCTGCAGGACGTTGAGGAAGACGGCGAGGGCGATGAAGCCGGCAGCGCCAATGGCAATCCGCGCGCCAATGCCTTGCTCAAAGTAGAGCTGGGCCACCGGATGGTTGGCGGCATCTTGGAGGACGCCCATCTTTGGGGTGACGAAGGGGAGCAATTGGGTGTTGCGATCCGAGTCTGTAGGAGCCCAACGAAAGAGAAGAGACTCGGGAGGGATGCTCTCGAGCAGGGAAAGGCAAAAGGAATGGAGAGACGAGAAACGAGCCGGTCCCGCGTCCTATTTATCAACAAGGCTCGCGCACGAAGCTGGAGAGAAAGAAGAAGAAAAGGAGAGGGAGATGGAGGAGGAAGAATCACGGCACCACCAGTGGTTCGATAAGTCAGCCCAAAATGAGCTCTGATTAGCTGGTCTTCTGCCTTATCGAAGAAAAAGACTGGGCTCTCATCTCTCAATTGCTAGCAGAATTGAACCCAATCCTCATACGGTTCTTAGTGGTAATTTTTCTGCCGCCTTTTTTGTCCACCTCCAAGCCCGAAAAAAAGGCCAGATCCAGGGGGAAGAAGAAGGACCCCACCTGAGGTTGCGGCGCCCCAGAGGCAAAAAAGAGGCAGATGGGCCAATCACAACGCGCGTGATGGAAAGGTAACAGAGATGCAGACCGCCTGGGAGGAACGGGAAATCAGTGGGGGCCTCTCGTATTCGGATCTATGCGCCTTGCCTTACTTGCACCAGATTGTCTTCTCTTGTCCCGTAGCCTAGCCTGATTGAAGTGCGTGTTGTGTGTGTGGTGGCGGAGGAAATGCGGGCGAATGCGAATACGTCCCTCTTTTCTGGGACCGCAAAATGACAACACCAAAGACAACATGGTTGATTTAGAGAATCGGAATACGCGTATAAGTTCAAGGTTTCGAACCTTCATCTCTAAGAACCATGCGAAATACGCGTACAGTTGATTTCCAATCTGTCAGAAACCTCGTTTTTAGAAAGGATTGATTTGATATTGTCAGAAACCCCCATTTTAGAAAGTTGATTCTGACAGGAGCAGACAGAAACAGACGGCAAAAGTGGTCTGATGGCGCCTCACGAACCTCCACCGCACCAAGCAATCTCCCATACCTATCCATGCCCACCGAGGCAGACTCGGTTCAGCCATGGTTTAGCATACGCGTATTGCAGAATGTGTCACTCCTTCATCCGTAGCAGCCAGTAGAACGAGTAATATTGAATGGTATTATGTGAAGGGAATAAGAGACTATATGTCCCGAGGTAGCTATCATGTGGTACTTCGTCGCAATAGCGAGTGCCCAAAAGTGTAGATTCAATATCAGCTTATACTAGGTAGCATCTCATCATCCGTTAGATCCAGATACATGAACCGCATACGTGCGGAAGTAACCGCCGCAGCAAGAAAAGACAGTGAACGTGTCATGCAACAAGAAAATCCAGGCAGTTCAGAACAAAGCAAACGCTGCCGGCCCCTGGTGTCTTCCATCCGCAAACTGTGAACCAAGTCATGTCCGGAGTAGGTCCAATGTCAAACGCCAGTACCCCATCCGCCATCCTGTGCTAATGAGAAAGAGAAATCAACTGCTGAATAATAGCATCGTGTATGTGGTATCTGTAGGTATGCAGGCATATCCGGGGTCAAACTTCGAGGTATCTCTGCAACTCTCAATCACCGAAAACGAGCAAGGGCAACAAGAGCGATCAGCGCAGTTACGCCTGAGCGACAATGCTCCTTCCCACGGCGCCCCATCTGAACCGCCGCAGACCTCCGCCGGAAGAGCGGATGACATCACGGCCAGAAGACGCAGTATCGTTGACGCTGCTCACACCGGCCGCCAAGCCCTCCTGGCGGCCTACTTCACGTCCAATAACATAGCCAGCTCCAAAGCCAACTACGGATACGAGCACGACGACTCCGGCACTGACAACCCAGGTCAGCAGCGTTGGAGAAATGAGGGCCTCCTCTGCAACGACAGCCGTCGTTGCCGTCTTCTTCTTCTTCGTCGCTCGAGGGTTTCGGGCTGTTGATACAGCCCGCTTGGCCTTCTCGGAGGGTGAGGGAGTCCGCGAGGATGACCTGAGAGGAGAAGGAGACTGTTGGCTTTTGGCAGGGGTTGGAACCGCTCCCGCCAACTGAGGCTTCTCAGATCCCTCCTCGAGCTCGGTCTCGGGTACAAAGCGGAGCTCCATAGGCTGGCTGCTGGGACCAACTCCCGTTTGCGCCGCTCGCTGCGCCTCAGCTTCCTCCTTACTCTTAGGCAGACCTCTAGCTGCAGCGGCACACGACAGAAGGGTGGTCAGAGACGCACGGAGGGCAGCATCGTTGTCTTCCCGAACCGATGGTGACATGAAGCTGGGCCCCCGCTGAACTCTCGTTTGCGAGCGTTGAGAGAAAGAGGGACGTGTGAATTCGCCGTGGGGATGCGATGACATGGCTGCATTTGACGAGTAGCTTCTATGATGCAACGGAGGATGCGAGAAGGCATTTGGCTGCGGCCGGAAGGCAGGTTGGTTGTGGGCTCGCCCCAGAGCGGTGCCCTCATCACCGTCCGACTCCCCATCGGTATCCTCCATGTCCTCCTCTGGCGACGGCTGCATATTCTCCGTCGAGCTGGAGAGAACGTGATCTTCTTCGCTGTCGCTTTCATCATATTCATCCTGGCTGCTCGTTCCCGTAACAGGAATGGTGGTCTGCACACGCGGCACGGATCTGGCGGGAGCCTGCACTCGCCGGCGACGGTTGTAAGAGCTCCCAACTCGCAGGCCAGTCGTCACTATTTCATCGCCGATACTGGAGAGCGACGAAGACGACGGCTGTGACGCAACCTCTACCCATGACTCGGTGGTTTCTACAGTTGTTAGCGAAGACGGACTCGGGATATGACACTGGCGAGCACGAACCGTCATAGCGGCGATGGTGAGGACTCGAGCCTGGCAGCACGTTCGGCATGCTGACGCATCGCTGCCCGCTTGGGCCCGCCTGTTCCTCGATGGGTGAAAGATGGGCCATGGCTTTGTTCTATGTTTTTATAAGAGTATGAGGGTATCAGCACCCGGAAATCGCCTGTCTGACGGCGTCGCTGGCCCTCTGTACGCTGGCGACGATTTGGCGATGGATGCAGTCTCGCTCCTTATCGGCGACCGTGACAGGCAACGCCCCACCCGATCGCAAGTCGCCCAGCAGTCGCACGCGTGCGCTCTTTCACCTCGGCAGCTTCAGATATCGAGATGCGATGATAAATCGACGGAAAGGGAGAAGAAAGGACGATGAGTCGTCGAGTCCCGTCAAGAAATGGGCGATGGAAAGGGTGAGGGAGGATGATGAAGTCGGAGATAGATGGAGTTGTGTTTGTGTTGAGAGGTTGGGCCGAGATTGTCTCGCTGCTAAGACGGACGGCCTGGCCTGTCAGCGGGAAGCCGCTGCCCACTGACTGAACGGGCAGGGCAGCTGCATGACGATAGGCGACGGGGAAGTCAGCAGTGCCTGCCGGAAGCTGCACGTTGCAGGTGAGAGCCTCGAGGTAGCGGCCGGTCTGTGATGCTTGGTACTGGTACTTGCGCGGTGTCGCATGGGGACAGTGCGTGGGTTGCATCACGCGCTGGCCAATTGCGTCACTCCGGCAGATGGCGAGACTGGAGAAGACGAGGACGGAGACGGCTGGAACAAATGGTGACTATCACGAATAGGATCAGTAGAAGGCCATTTGGCGAGAATTTCTGCTTTCCACAGAGCATTTGCAATCGATGAAGCAGGGAGATAAAGCAGGTTCCTGGTCTCAAGTGCCTCGGCGATAGCAGACTATCTACCTAGGGAGAATAGGCAGAATATGGCCTCGATACACCACTATCGCGCCCCGAGGTGAAGCGGAATCAATACCCAACAAGTTGCCATGCAAACAGGACCTGCAAAATCAGTCGCTTGATGCGCAGCTCTTCCGCCCAATCAAGCAGTGATAAAGCGAGCCTCCCTGCAGAAGCTCAATGCCAATCACGACCGCACTCTGGCAAACTCGATGATCAATGGCTCAGGCAGAGGCACGGACAGTGCATAAAGCACAGTACGTCCAACTTGCCCTCCAGGACGGGCGGTTGTTGCATGACCACCGAAAGGTACAGATACACGAACCTCCAAAGACATTTCCCTCCATTCCACCCGCACACTCTTCCAAATCCTCCTGCCACCAGCCCTCTTTGTCTTATTTCATAGCCGGAACGTCGTCTGTACTTGTACGCGTGAGGTAAGCCCCAGCCCATCTGCTAAAGGTAGTCCAGCCCAGAAGCAGAGGTCATGAGCACCCTCCCGTGGATGCGGGGCCTTGCCTAAACCAGCCAGAAAGCCTGCCAGAGACGTAATGGATGCCTCTCTCAGCCCAATGTTTAATCATCCCAAACGCTGCACTGAGTGAGTGTATCGCCTAGTTTATCGTATTCCTTTTGAATAAGCAAACACGATGAACTGGGCACTCGAAAGCAAATGAAGGAAGCGTTTCTCGTGGTGCGCTGTAGACTAGAATGAAGCAGTCCATATCATGTACAGTGTAAAACCATAAGGCACACTCACTTAATCAAGGTAAGACGAGATCAACGCTTTTGCTTGCTCATCTGCCCGCAAACAGCCACTGTATGCACAATACAGACACGTTACTCGTCCAATCACCTGCATCGCCTCCGAGACCCTGCCTGAGAGACAGACCCCCAAGACCCCTACTGTAGCAAAACGAACAAGGTGGGCATGTGTCGCATAACAAGATGATTGCCGCAAATCATGGCGTTTGTCACACGGTGACCAGCGCCACCGGATGATGCTTAGCCCTTGGCGTATCAGAGGGTGAACTGGTCATATGAGACGCTGGGCTGCTACTAGGTGTATTCACCGGCAATTACTTGCATCGCGAGAGGTAACAAAAAGAGCGTCACTGGAAATTTATTCATCGGAAAGACATTTATATTGCTGATACTCGGTCTAGAAGATTACGTCCTTGTCCGGTGAAGATGGGAAGTATGTAATTAAAGAGCAAAGAAAGGAAACCCAAACTTTTCCCTAGCAACGCCTATTTTTACAATGCAGATGAAAACGTCGTGGGCGGAGACTTACCCGTCTCATGGAGCATTCATATCGGTGTACATCCGGGAGGTCTTTTTTACCTGGTCAACGAGTTAAGCAGAGGTTGGACTCGTGGCATGTGCCGACGAGTCCTCATATGCAGCCCACGTATCAAGTATTTTGCAAGTGAATGCAAAAAAGCCCCCGGGTCCCTCAGAGTATTCGCAGCGCGGTCAAAATTGGTCATTCGCAAGGAATGGACCAAGATCAAGTAGCCCTCAAATCCCTCAGAAGCCCACTGGTTTTGTACATGGCCTTGACAGTTAAGAAACCGTCAAGGCCGCCGACGTCAAAAAGCCCAACTGTGCCATTTGTTCCATGCTTCCCCAAAGGGAGGCAAGGCGACGAGCCCACAGATTACATAGTGCCAAAAGCCCCCAGCGTTGATATACGCTCCATTACCAAAGAGCGTCCCAAAAGCCCACGGAATCAAAAAGCCAAACCCAACGGAACCCGAAAATGCCCACAACCCTCTCGATATTTGTCAGATAGATCTCCGATGAAACCCACTTAGTCGAAAGAGATCTTGGTGCCAGCGGGCTTCGTGCGGTTGACAGCGCTGAAGTTACCGCCACGGCCGCCGCCGAAACCACCACGGCCACCACGACCACCACGGCCGCCGCCTCCACGAGGACCACCACGGCCACCTCCAAAGCCGCCACGGCCACCGCCAGCACCGCCCTGAGGACGAGGGCTGGAGAAGTCAAGGCGAACGCTGCGGGCGAATCGGCCGCTGCCAATAGTAGCACCGTTCTTGGCGTTCAGAGCCTCCTTGGCATCCTCAACGGAGCCGAAGGTGACGTAGCCAAAGCCCTTCAGGTTACCGCTTTCACTGGAGAGAAAAGGCGCGTTAGTATGACAGTAATGATGACGAAGTTAGAGTGTGAAGCCACGGGACAACTTACGGGTCAGTAGGAAGTCGAACACTGGTGACGGGGCGGACCTCGTTAAAGAACTCAGTGACGGTATCCTGGTCGGTGTCGAAGGGCAGGTTGCCAACGAAGAGGGTGTCGCTCTCAGCGCTCAGAGTGTCGCCGTGCTTCTTAGCGCGGTCGGCGGCGCGGTTCTGAGGGTTGGCATCGTCGGGGCGGGCGTTGGCATAGTCGAGGTTGATGGCACGGCCACCGACGTCCTGACCCTGCATGGCCTCGTAGGCAACGGCGGCAGACTCGGCATCCTTGAAGTCGACGTATCCGAAGCCACGGCTGCGACCAGTGCCCTTCTCGGTAACAACACGAGCGCCAACAAGACCCTCGAAAGACTCGAACGCGGCGTAGAGGGCGTTGTCATCAACGCTCCAGGCCAGGCTGCCGGCGAAGAGGGTGGGGGCAGCGTTGCTGTCCACCTTGGACTTCTTGGCGGAGGTGTCGATCTCCTCATCGGCCTTGCGCTTCTTGGAAGGGGCGGCAGCCTTCTTATCATCCTCGGACTCCTCAGAAGAGTCATCCGAATCCTCCTCAGAGTCGTCGCTGGAGTCAGACTCGTCGTCAGACTTGGACTCCTAGTAGAAAATAACAAGTCAGTCAAGTTTCACGTAGGTTGAATTGATAGCTGATGGTCGACTTACCTTGGCAGCAGGCTTCTCCTCCTCGTCGCTCTCCTCGTCGGAGTCAGACTCAGACTCAGAGTCGGACTCAGACTCGGCCTTCTTGGCCTTGCCGTTCACAGCAGGCTTCTTGGTCTTCTCCTCCTCCTCATCGGACTCAGAGTCATCAGAGTCAGACTCGGACTCCTCAGACTCGGACTCAGACTCGGACTCGGACTCCTGCTTCTTGGCAGCAGGCTTCTTGACCTCCTTCTTGGCAGGCTTCTCCTCCTCAGACGCGGAGTCGGAGTCGGAGTCGCTGGCAGAGTCGGAATCTTCCTCCTCCTCGGAAGAAGACTCGTCAGAGGACTCGGGCTCAGCCTTCTTGGACTTCTTGGAGGGCTCCTCCTTGACGACCTTCTTGGCGGGGGCCTTGCCCTTGGCAGCGACGGCGGCCTTGACGGGCTCGGCGGCGACAGCCTTCTTGGACTCCTTGACCTTGGTAGACTTGCCCATTGTGAAAGAGTAGATGAAAAATAAGAGATGAAAGGGGGTATAGAAATGAGAACAAGAATTGGAAATTGAAAATTTTTCTTGTTCCAAAAGGTGTTGATGTGGGAGAAAAGGAAGCGCGAAAGCAGCAGGCGTCGCAAGCTTTTGTACCTCTGGGTGGTTGGGGCACTTTTCTTCCTTCCCGCTGCACCCTACTTTTTTTCAGATTTTTTTTTTTTCTTATCGGGCAGAATAGTGGGGTATCTGAAGGCGGTGGGATGGATAGGCATAGCTCGCAATGAGCTTCCCCACACGCGACAACCTGCAGCCTCGTGTGGCTAGAAGAGTTGTTGCCTGAGGCTGAGAAGCGAGAAGTCTCCCCGGCAGGCTAACCGCACGCAATCGCTGGATTGGTCAAGGTAGGCATCTAGAAAGGACGCTCAAGCATCAGGAGATATTCGAGCTTCTCGGTGCCTCAGCCCCTCGACTTATTCGGCTTCAGACCTTTTCCTCTGTCTCTTTCGATACCTCCCAAGGCCCTCAGCCAAATCCCCGCAACATGCCGACGCCCGAGTCCGAGCTCTTCAAGAGCCAGAAGCCGACGGTTCCCCCGACGTTCAACGGCGTTGATTTCGACGACACCAAGGCCTTCAAGGCTGCCGAGGATGCCATCATTCGAGAACAATGGGTCGGCGCCATGATGACCCGTCTTGTAGGCGAGGAATTGGGCAAGTGCTATGTCCGGGAGGGAGTCAACCACCTGGAGAACTGCGGCCATTTGAGAGGTGAGTTTCGGAGGGAAGCGCTGAGGTGCCGGTGCTGCATCGTTGGAGGTACGAGGGTGGGGAGACGCAAAAGAACAGTATACTCATTGCTTTGTAACAGAAAAATACCTGCAGCTGCTGGGACAGAACAAGGTCAAGGGAACCAAGTTCATCCAGCAGAACTACTTGGAGAAGAAGGACCAGGAGATTGATTTGGAGCGCAAGGTGCACCCGACCGACAGGATTGCCAAGCTGAACCACGGACGATTCTCATGAATCCGATGAAAGCCACCAATTAAACATGTATCACATTTCTTTTTGTCTCTTATTTTGCGTTATTGGACGGCCGACTCAACCGGCTGAGGGGGTCATGTCTGGGATGGAGTAGAGCCATGGTTTAGAGGGCCAACGGGCATGATATTGAGCGCAGGGACTGAAACGGTCTGCCAGTGTATATATCAAGGAAGAAACGGGTTCAAATCCGGATCAAATTAAGCAATCAAAGTCCGTCAATGCCAAAGCCACGTCATAGTGGCCATCAAGTTGTCGGCACTGCTGCTCCCATCGAAGAGGTGAGGCTGCGAGCATTTAGAGCCATTCATTGGCCACCCCACCAGCGGATATAGCATGCACCCAAAATTTCTCCAAGCGCCAAAGAACCGCAGCCTCGCCAAACCCACCCAGCGACAGCATCTCTCCTCCATCTACAATCCCTCTTCTTCTATCTCTAAATTAAGACACAATGTTCTGCACACGGTGTCTCCGCGCGACCGTCGCGCGCCGCCAATTGCCTCTTTCACGACATGCCTTCTCTTCATCGTCGCCACGATTCTACTCAGCCGCCGCCGAACCGCAGCTGTCGACGCCGGCCACCGACGCCGGCGACGCATCAAAGCCGAGCTCCTCAGCGACATCATCGCGATCCATCTGCCCGGAGGGGACCGTGCTCACGGGCCTCAACTACACAAAGGGCGGGCAGGATCCCGTTGCCCTCAAGGATGAGGATTACCCCGAGTGGCTGTGGTCGTGCTTGGATGTGATGAAGAAGGCTGATGCTGCGGACGACAACCTCGGCGATGAATTCTGTACGTTTTCACATATTTTCTCCACCAAATCCGTTTTAAACTATCTATCGAAAAGTAGAAGAGCAAAGTGGCTAACGCAGAGGGGGGGAAACAGCAAAATCCAAAAAGCAACGAAAGCTCGCTGCCAAGCGCCAAAAGGCCCTCGAAGCCAAACTCCTCGCCGAGGGCAACCTCGAGGCCCTCGCGCCCAAGGTCCCGCTGCCGAAACAGTCGGTCAACCTGCCCGGCGACAAGGACGGGAGCGTGCTGGACAACATCGCGGCGGCGGAGAAGCGGGAGGAGCTAAGGAAGGCCATGCGCAAGGAGAGGAGGGCCGCGATCAAGGAGTCGAACTACTTGAAGTCTATGTAAAAATATATAAAGATTGGGATGAGTGTATGAGAAGGGATGGGGAGAAGGATGTGGATATAGACGAATATTGTACAATACACAACAAAGTGAAGAATATTGGAAACGCGCTTCATGTTTAGTAGGTGTTATGGACAGTGTGATAATCATACAATGGGTGCAAGATAATCCCAGCTCACAGGAATGGGATTTTTACTCTTCCATTCTTTACGGCTCAACGTGCAGAGTGAAGGCAGACGGTTTTACATGCCTAGACAAAGATAGATTGACAATTCTCTCTGAATCGAGTCCCACATTTCACATCACACCGACAGAAAGATACTACATATCCTCAGGAAATCAAACTGATATCGTCTTCTATTGGCCTAAAGCAACGCGCTCAAATCAAGAGGAACACTGCTCCCTCTGCCTGCTCTATATCTCCTCGGGCCGCCAACAAATTCCCGGGGTTTTGGGAAAACACTTTCATCCTTAAAGTGCCATCTCGTGTCGTGGATAACGATCCGCCCGCCACCATGGCTTGGTGAGGGTGAGTGGTTAGCTTTGGCTGGCAGGCTCACTGACGAGCCGCCGCCGTTCGAGGTCAAGGTAAATGTGCTGGGGTCGAGCATGGTATGGCGAAGAGACGACCCTCTGGATCGAGGAGCAGGAGGAGCGCTGGGAGGTGACGGTGCTGAAATGGGCGGTGCCGGAGGAGGAGGGGGCGAAGGTGCCGCCCCAGGAGGCGCTGGCGGCGGCGGCGGCGGCTGAGCTCGCGGAGCTGATGATGGTGAAGGTAACGGCGGTGCGACAGAGGGCGGAGGGGGTGGTGGCGCTCCGGGCAGTACAGGTGCCGCAGACGCTGGAGGAGGCGGCGGCGGAGGGGGTAGTGATACAGGAGCCGGGGCAGAGGACGCTGGCGGCGGAGGTGGGGGAGGTGCCGGGGCGGGAGCTGCAGGAAGAACAGGGGCAGCTGAAAATGGGGCCGGCGGAGGAGGGGCCGGAGGCGGCGTGGCCCTGGCCGAGGGCTTGCGAGATGTCGGCAGCGGCGGCGGCTTCTTTCCAATCGGCGGCGGCGGTCCCTTGGTCTTCTTCAAGCCCGCTGCTGCGCCCGGGGGAGGAATAGGAGGCCCTCGCCCCGGAATAGCTGGCGCAGCATCGGCTGGCGGTTTCGGTGCGGCAAAGGACGGGACATGGGGCGCCGAATGCGACGGGGCCTTTTCTGTGTCGGAGTGGAAGGAGGCTTCCGCGTCGGCTCCCGTATCAATGTTGCCTCCCCGCTTCTTCAGCTTCGGCATGCCGCCGGCGAAGAGACCGCCCAGCTGCGGCGCCGAGTCGACCGGGCGTACATCTTGCGATGCAGATTTCTGATCGCTATTGCTTCGCGCCCGGTTCCCGGGGACAGGCGGTGCTAGGGCAAGAGCAGGGATGGGAGGAGCTCCGCCGATGGCTGGGCCTGACGAGGACGACGCCTTGCTGATAGCCGGGGCAGAACGATCGTTGGTGACGGCCTTTTTAAGGGCTTTGCCCTTGCTGATGTCGGCAAGCAGAGCGTTCTAGAAAAAGAATCAGCTACACGGTTGCGTCCACATGTCCGACACGGGGATACGAACTCGGCCTCCTGAACTTGGCGGTGGACGGCTAGAGGGACCGCCTGGGAGTCCTCCTGGGGGAGGGGGAGGCGGAGGGGGAATTCCTCCAGCCCCGGGCATCGGCGGCGGTGGCGGTGGAGGAGGAGGCATGGCAGCGTCGGTTCGTGAGCAGGAGTCGTGATATCGCAGGTCGTTGGCCTCGATCCCGGGCGGTCGCTGCGCTGGGCGGCTGGGAGAGGCGGGTCAGGGTCGCGTGCAGGGCCCGATGCGCGGCTGGTCGACAGGCTGCAGCGGTGTCAGGACGTCGACGTCCGTGTATCCAAGAGGAGATGCGGGAGAGGTGCAGAGACGACGTGATGGCGACGATGGCCGTGGGTTGGCAAGAGGCAAAAGCTGTTTCTGGCTGTCTGCTGGCCGTTTCGTCATCAAGCTTACGAGCCAGCCCGCCAGGGTGCAGCAGACGGAATCGAGGAGAACCAATCAGGCCCCGCTTTTTGGCAAAGCCTCACCAGCACTCTACCTTAGTTGATACGGACAATATTCAACAGGGAGCAATTCCACGTACTTACTAGATGAAGAAGAATGATTAGCAAATGATTGTTTACTGCTGATTTACAAGGTGCCCTTTGTCTCTGTTTCATTGCAGTTGGTGACCTCGAAGCGGCGCGTCTTTCACTCATTGCTGCCTGTGCTTGAATGTACCCGGCCATGTCACTATTCTCTCGCCGGCTGTGGAGCCAATCACAGCCTTGCATGCGATGATTTTGTGCCAGCCTGAACCTCGAAACTCCAAAAATTGCGCCTTCTCGCCTTCACGATCACCAACTTGGGACGGGGCCGAGCGTCAAAGCCGAGATCGCAGCACGATACGAAACGAAGCTGTAACCATTGGTGGACTCTGCAGTTGACCATTGGGATTAAATCACGCCGTCGTTTTGTTCTTCGGTCCCATCCGAGGCTCTCTTCTTCCTCTCATATTATCGTATTCTTTACCTCAACAATGCGGCGAGCAAGCCCCCGGCGGATCGGCTTCATATGCCATTCTTGCGCTTCACTGCCGGCACAGGCCTCGAGGCAGCCCTTGGCCGGCCGCGTGCTCTCTCTAGCTCCCCGACAGGTTGCCCAAACCTCGGTCTGGAGATCGACATCCGCAAGATGGAGCACGTCTGTTGCAGCCTCGAGGGCAGATGCGGATGCGGGAGCAGATACGGAGGCCAACGGCAGACCTATATCGACACCGACGCCGCGGCCGCTGACGGATGCGTCGCAATTGGCAAGCATGGCAGAGGACAGCTGCAACAAGTTCCTCTCGGTCGACGGCATCCCGGTGAAGCAGCTGACCGCCGCCGCGCTGCAGTCGTGTCTCCGGGCCGCGGCAGCCCTCCACCCCCAGCTGAAGCGGGCGGAAGCGCAGTTCAAGGCCTCGGCGTCGAAGCTGGTGTCCCTGGGAGCCGAGCGGACGGGGGCCAGGATCCCCGTGGATCCCAAGCTCGAGGACGCAACCAGCCGCATCTCCCACGCGGCGTACACCATCATCGCGCATCCGAACGTCGAGATGACGCCCGAGTTCCTCGAGCTCTACGTTGCCATCCAGGCGCAGCTCGGCCGCCCAGAGTCTCTGCCCGCCGTCTTTGAGCTCTACGCGAACAAGCCAAAGCCCGTCGTCAAGGACGGCCAGATTGCGTATGTGAAGCAGAACCCCAACGCGGCTGCTCGAGCCATTGAGCCGGCCGTTGCGGAAATGGCCTTGCAGACTGCGATTGATGCCAAGAACCTGGATTCGGCCCTGGGCATCATCGAGTCCTCGTACTGCCGCCCTGCGTTCAAGCGGCAGAAGCTCATCAAGCACGGCACCGCCCCGGCCATTGGTCTCGCAACGCTCCCGTTCGGCATCTTTGGCTTATCAACAGGCTATGCTGCGTACTGGCAAAACACCATGGACATTAGCACTGCCACGGGAATCGGCGTGGCTGGCATCTCGGGCTACTTCCTCGTCGTTGGATCTCTCGGCATGATTGCCAAGCTGAGCAACAAGGACCAGATGAAGCGAGTGACCTGGACGCCCGGAACGCCGCTACGGTACCGGTGGCTGCGGGAGGAAGAAAGAGCGGCGCTGGACAAGGTGGCATGTGCTTGGGGGTTCAAGGAGCCTTGGAGGCACGGCGAGGAGATGGGTCCGGAGTGGGAAGGGCTGAAGGAGTATATGGGATACAGGCAGATGCTGCTTGACCGAGTGGAGTTTATGGAGGGCATGAGCTAAGGCTGGAATCAATACAAATTCAGTCTTGACCAGCCGGGTGTCTGTATTGTAAGAGAATCATTTCACAAAGATGAAGAGCAGTCTTCCCTTGCGTCGACTCTTTGAAGATTATTCCCTGTAGCAGTGCGAAGGTGGCATGGTGGTTGACCGTCCTGGATGGATTGTATACGCTTATAGACGGTCAGAGGACCGCGGAGATTGCAACAGATTGCCGTGCCCCCTGTGTGCTGTACGACTTGTCCCCGAAGCTGCCACCACCATTACAACCCCCTATCCTATGTCTGGGCTCTCCAGATCCTTTCGGCCGAGAGGCCTTTGACCACTCCAGCCCCCTTTTTGCCGCAGCAAGAAACGAAGAGGCGGCGATGTGTAGACTTACTTATATTATCAAGCTGATATAGATGGGCGTGCATCCTCGCACATATCTTCTCCTGTTGTACTTGATCTACAATCTGGGGCAGGGTGTGTCCGAGCGGCAATGGTTACGCGGCTGCAAGGAGCTCGGAGGCCCAAGAGCCCTGTCTTAGACAGCACCAAGGCGTGCAGCGAGATGACTGTTGCGCATCAACAAGGTCAAGAGAAACAGAGGTGAGAAGAACAAGATGGAAATCCGCATGAGAAACCTCGGGGTTGTTTCGCCTACCATTTGTGCTCGTCTCTCATCTGCCTCTCCATCTTTCTTTCCTTTTTCCATGCTCACTCTATATACATATATATATATCCTTTCTCTCTCTCTATCTCATACTCTGCCTGCGTAAAAAGCTGCTTCATCATCAAAACTCCCACATGTCCAAACCTTCTCGTCTCGGCACATTCCTTTTTTTTTCTCAATGCCACAGTCGCTCCAACTTGTAAGAATCTTCGCAGTATGAACGCTGCCTAGGTAGTTCGTACGATTGGATGGAAGATGCCAGCAAGGTCAGTAACAGTGCAAATCAACGATTTCCACCTGGGCCGGAAATCTCTACCACTTGTTTGCTCTTGTTTCTCGCGAGAGGGGGCTATGGACAGGCATGTCAGTCACAGTCAGTGAAAACAAACAAGACCAATCAACTCAGGACGGGAAGTAGGTGCGTGCAGTGATACTCGGGAGTTGTAGGCATATGCAGGAAGCAGATGAAAGGGGGAGAAAAGAGAATACAGGTACTACTACTACTATAACTACAAGCATGACACAAGGGGTCAGCGTGGCACGACAGGGTACACAATGCCACACGAACGCAAAACGGACATGGGTCGGCGCATGCCGGATCGGCGTTTTTTTCTCTTTCTCTTTTTGCTCTCTCTCTCCCCTTCGTCCCCTCTCGCCAAAACTCGTTGTCTTATGTGCAACTCACCCACTGTCTCGTCTTCTTTCGCCCAGGGGATACTATGTGTGAAAAAGTGGCTTAGATGTATGAAGAGGATACTTCTCGCATCCATGTTCCCGCCACGGGTACTTTCAGAGTTCACCAACAATAAAGCACAGTCTCCCATTAACTAAGTCAGAGCCAGAATGCAAAATATAAAACTACAATCCCCGTTCTTGAAGCAGTTGTTCTCCAAAGCCCCGTACAGGCCTACCACGAGAAAAAAGAATTGAGGAGTGAGGGGGAAGAAGGAAGATTGCACCATGTGGCTAAAGTGGTCTCAAGCACAGGGGGTCTTTTCTTGGTTTCCAGAACAGGGCATATGCTTGCTAGGTAGTTTACTAGCAGGTTCCAGATGCAAGAGAAAAAAAAGGTTCCCTGAGAGACTGCGGTGGCTAACAGGGATTCAGAGAGGATCAGGTATTTGTGAAGACAAGGTGCTCGTATGCGTGAGGCTGAATGCGGAAACCTCTACATGATACATGGGAGACTGTAGAAGGTGAGATTTTGGCAAACGGGGATCCAAGGGTGCAAGACATCAGTAGAAATGGGCTAATAGTAAACGCTCAGGCATGCAGGTGGTATCTCTCGTTGATCAAGCAGACATAGGAAATGATATATATACAACGTGCAGGCATCAAGCCTTGTTCCCATATTGCGTGTCATCATGAATCGCCGCCCAAGATGGGGCAAGTAGGTACTCGTATAATTATGTGCAAAGAAAGAAGAAGAGTTTCTAAACCCAAGGTAGAAAAAGCCACCAGAAATGAGGTCACCGACGACGAACAAATGAACGGGGGGAGAGCCAGCCCCTGAAGCAGTCGTGTAGAGATGTCCTCGAGCCCGCCATCCAGATCATCCCAGATCTTGGTAAGCCCGAGCAAGTACTCCGTAGTCGCCAAGGCATCAAATTCAAATTCTAATTTTTATATGGTCCGCTTTCGTAGGAGATTTCGTACTTTGTCGTTTTCCGGATGGCGCCGTCAGGTTCATCCGTCGAGCCGTGTCGTTGTACTGTCGTGAGAATAAACTCTTCGCTCGTGTCGTCGTTTTGATGGGCAGCCATGCTGCGGCTGCCGCCATCCCCTCCCGGTCCAGAATAAGGCTTCCAGCTTTGGTGGCGTGAAGGAGATTGTGATCGAGCGTATCCGTACTTGTTGCGGCCCTCGGAGCCCAGACCGCCCGAAGCGCCAGTCGATCCCTTGGAGGTGTTGCCGCCGAAGATCTTGGGGAAGAGGAAGGCCAAGACCATGCGACACATGGGCAAGCAGGCACAGATGATGGCGACGTTCTCTTCGATGATAGTCCACAGAGTAGAGGTAATATCGACTAGACGAGTCTGGTTAGTGTATTGGGTTGCTGGAAACGAGAAAAGGGGGGGAGAGCTCACAGGTCGTATCAGGGCTGGTTGTCGAGAAGTTCAGAGTAGTGGCTCGCATGATGGATGTTACAGTGACGCTGAAATTTCTTAGCCAGGTGTCTCAATCTCGGAGAAGAAAGAGGAGACTCACAAACTTCCAAGAGCAAAGACAACCATCAGTGCTCTCTTTTGGGCAAGGGGCAGCTTGCTCGACCAGATAGGCTGCATTGGCAGCAACAGGATCAAAACATCCGTGGCAATGGAGTAGCCAGCGTTGGCGTACCAGTTCTCGGTCAGACTGATGCATGTTGGGTGGACGGACTTGTCCCAAGCTCCTCGAATGGGTTTGCATTGCCAAATGGAAGTTGCCGTGCTAGCAATGGCATACGCCGTGACGATGCCAAGCAGGATGTAGCAGGCAATCCGGAACCACCTCTGGACAAAGATCCGCAAATACAAGAGAACAATCGACATTTTCGTCAGGTTGATGGTCAGCTTGTAGAAGATCTGTGCAACGTAGAACCACTGTTCAACGCATGTGTAAGCCTTTATCATTCAATGAACTATGAATAGAGTCACCGTCGGAATCGTACCTTGAGGGCTGCTAGCCTGTCACTGACTGACAACGACGCAATGTGTTTGCCAAATCCATAGTTGCAAGATATCATCATGAATATCTGCACCAAGAGGGTACAAACCTAAGAAAGAAAACTGTGCGTTAGTTCCCGGTCTCATGACAGTCCACCCGGAGGAACGGAAAATGCGTACAAAAGACACGCCAATGAGGCCATCGTCCCATCCCAGCCCTGTTCTCCTCGAAATACGATTCCAGAATCTGATGAAAACGAAGATGGGCGTGACGGCGAAGAAGACGATGCTGGGGATCCGGACCAGGTCGGCGTGGCTCTGGGCCGCCTCGTCTGGGGAGAGGAAGCCAGCCATTGCTTGCAGTCGTCGGGCGGACGCACACGGAAGGCCCCGGCAGTTGAAGGAGAGCAACGACACAAGAACCGACGAGATGGGAGGAAGCAGATCAAGAGGGGGGTTCGGAGGGAAGCAGCCGTCCCTATATCCTCCCCGCGATTTTGCCTAGGACGGGGAACGCAGTAGAGATTCACCCACCCCTCGCAACGGCAGGCTTGACGGCAGGCCTGTTTAGCCTTATAAACAAGCTACCGCTAACAGAGTTTGGCTTCCTGCGTCTAAGGTACTGCATGTCCGCGAAGGAGATTGCAACGGAACAAACGCTGGCACTTGGATGCTAGGAGCTAGACGGTTTCATCAGCGACGCCGAGGGAAAAGAGTGGTTCCCGGGAACTCGATGCCACCAACAAAGCGATGGGCCCTGTCAAGCCACGATACCCGCCCGCAAAGAGAGGTAGTACATAGAGTGAACATGCCATGCCACCAGGGTAGACATTGTCCACGCTGGAAGTTAGCTTGCATGGTTTCGTGGTCTGGTCCAGACAAAAGTGGACTGGAACGAGCGAGACGCTGCTGCGTTTGTCGGGACAGGGCGGGAGATTCCGCATATGCCATGCTGGGATCTGGCAGCCATTTCCGGTAGAAGCACAAAGTACGAGGGCCTGGAGAGGCAGACAGAGTTCGCACGAGGTACATGTACTCGTAATTTGTCGTGCAAGGCGTGGATGCTGCAGGTGGCTCAAACACAATGCTGGTAGTAGTACAGTACGGCTTGCTTAGCGCTGAAGGGCCTTCAGATTTCGAGTCTCTTGGGGGGACCTTTTGCCGGGTTGCTGTTATTGTAGTTACTAGTACTCTTGGGCTTTGCCGCGGTTGACATGCGGGCTCTCTGCATGCATGACAAGTCCCTCATCCCGGCGCTCTGCAAGTTGAGAACCCTGACAGTTGTCAGCACCTGCAACCATAAAGATGGAAAGAGCCTGGGAATTCAACTGAGACAAGGATCCATAGGTCTCTTGCTCCCAGGGAAGAGTGAAGAACTTACAAGCCATGCTCTTCTGCCTTGGCGATCCCCTCTCCAGCCCGAGTAGTAGACACGAGGAGCCCGGTCTTGGGTGCCTCCTCTCTCTCTCATCTTGCTCCTCAGGCTCCCCTCATCTGATCTCTGCAGACTGTCTGGCTGTGGATTCGCTCATTGTCTGTTTGGGCATGGCCTCATAATGCTGGGTAGCGGGAGTCATACAACTGCTACCTAAGGTTGGTAGGTCGTCATGGAGGGCAAAAGGGCTGGTCCGAGAAGACCGAAACTGTTATGAAGCGCCAACCCGGACCGGATTAGCGCACCGCCGCCAGCGGACCTGGATAGGCAATCGGGAAAGCGCTCCTCACGGATGTGGAGCCCGCGTCATGGCACCGCAACAGGGTTCCTTCTTCGTTTTACAGGTACGAGGATGTACCTTACCTACCTCTTCGTGGTAGTAGTACCCTGTACCTTACTTCAAGCTGTACCAGACACTCTGTCGACTGCCATTAAAGCTGCCCGAGGTTACATTCTTCAACATTAACCCGAAGCTACATCGCATTGCATCGCATCGCATTGAGTAAACAAGCCCATGACACGCCTTATTACGCGCCAGCCGCCGGAAGGATTCTCCGGTGGGGTTTCTCTTCATGTTCAGCTCGTCCAGGTTTTCACGAAGGATGGAGCGTTTGCTCGCACTAACATCAACTCGGATGCACCTCGTACGGGGGAAAAGGAAGAGAATCATCCTGGTGCTGTATCGTTGGTTCGTGCGAAGTGGCAATGCAGGTGGCATATGCAGGTACCTTGCTAGGATGAAGCCACCTGCTTCGCATCATGTCGAGCAAGCAAGGTATGGTGATTGTGAAAAGGCCGTCGGATGACAAACTCTTTGTCAAAATCAGAGGAGATTGTTGACACCCGCTGACTCAGTATATCGCTGCTTTGACTGAGGGAGACGAACAAAAAGAAAGAAAGAACCGCCGAAAGGAGGATGTACCCCAATGACAAGAGATGAGAACGGAGTTGGTTGGACACATGGGTGTTTTATCCGGAGACATGAACAGGGCCCATCTCGGCGAGACTGAGAGAGAGACGGGGAGACGGGGAAGGCCAGCGCAAGCTAAATCTCTGCGATCGTCACCATGTGGCACGCTTACGGCAGCTGTCAGCGGAAGAAGATGCACCTGCATGCTGTTGCATCGATCCCTTTGCGAGTCTTGGATGCTACGTTGACGAGCGGCGCGAATAAGCAGCAGCTGGTGATAGTAGTTGTCTTGCGGGTAAGCTTACCGGCGCAGTGGGAAATGCATACGAGTACGGTATCGGCGTCTGTTGAACCGGGATATATAAGGTAAGTCTTGCGAGCAAATCTCCAGCGGAAATAGCGGTTCATCTGTCGTTTCTATTGCCGCTGGTGGTGTCGATGAAAACGTGCCTGTCGGTTGGAGCACGGCCGTCTCTTTTACTTTATCTCAACGACACGCGATACATTACCTGTAAGGTACCTTATGGACGATTGGGTTGACTCCGGCCAATGTCTACGAGTAATACATATTGGGCCTGTTCGCTCCCGCTCCCGGTCGCCATTTCCATCTGTCAAGCATCGCCATCTTGGCTAACGGATCGGTAGCTGGCTCGTGCCGATCAACAGTCGAAAATGGCCAAGATCTGCAGACACTGCAAATGTACATACAAAGCATCGATTTGCGGACGACAGCTACCTAGGTACCTAACGAAAAGAACCAACACCTCAATGTACGAGTAGGCAAAATGTAGGGTAGACGGCAAAGGGTCGTCCTCATTTTAACCTTTGGCCGGCAAAAGTGGCTGCGAATTATCGAATCTTTGACAGGTGCGGCCTCAAGCCATCGGCTCCCTCTAGTTCCCACCGCCGGCGGCTTCAATGCTTGATAAAAGCTGGCTTTTGCGGGAGAGCCGCCAGATCTCCCGCCAGATCGTCGGATCGCGACGCCTCGAGTCATTCAACTGGGGAAAACCCTCAACCATAGGAAAAAGCATAGACTGCGAACAATGCAGAAATCTGTCAGCTAAGAACAATGTAGGAATTGTCCGTGCAACACATGCAATTCGGATCGAGTCTCTGCAGCAGTTGAGGAGACTTCGGATTACTCAACGCGAACCTGAGGCATCTCCAGCCGCCCGACAATTGGAAGGGTTACCGCGGCCCAAGCAGTTACAGCGATCAGGTACCCCGAGGTACCGCGGGGAGCCACCGGCCGCTTTTAGTGCTTTTGCAATACGATATTGCCTCTTACGGACTAGAGCAGCACTATTCCTCAGGGATCTAGGGTATCCCGGGTCGTCTCGCCCCTCCGGCTTGGGTGCAAGCGTCCTTGTACATAAACGAAAAGAAGCGAACGACATGTCGTCAATCGAAACCCTGCTTCAACGTCGCCGGTGATGCCTAGTGCCTCCGCTCAGCTTCGTTCCGGTGTCTGAATTGGGCAAGCAGGCCGCACAGGGACGGCTGCTACGGGGACAGGTTGGCAAAAGATCCAGGCGAAGAAGACACCCGCGTGTCCTGGTCCTCGTATGGATCTTCTGGCCATTCTGATGCTGCTCAGAGGGCTTGAAGGCGGGCCGATAGCCGGAGTGAGAAGAAGGAGAACTTTTCACTTGGTCTGCTCGCTCGACAAAAGTGCAGATGGTCTGAAGTGCAACATCTGGTGATGCGTGTCATGCATGGACCCAGCGCTGACCTCACTGGGGAACTGGGCGGACCAGTAAATGGCTGGCCAACGGACGAGTGTCAGGACTGAACCGGAGGCAGAACAAGGGACTTATAAGTTCTCACGAGCCCCTCGAGCTCGCCACGCCTTTTCAACTGATAAACTGATATTGCTCTGTCGTCGCCTGGCCACCTCGACATTTTCACCGACCGATGCGACTCTCCAGCTCAACGGCGAATCTTTACCACTGTCAGCATCCTCGACTTTATCAGCTCTAGGCGTCGCCCACTCAACGCTGATGGGAAGAAAAGAAACGGAAACACTGAAGTCACTGACTTATCATGGCCTCCGGTCTATCAATGCTGCTCCCCGGGCAATGCGTCGCGGCGCAGCGTCTCGTTGTGGCGCGAATGCCGTCCGAGTCCGAACTCCGCCGTCCTCACCCGGGCAAGTTTGCCGGCTCTGCCGCGGAGTTTGAACCTGGACATTCTAATGAGCTTGTGGTGGATATCGGACTGTCGCTTATCCAAGCCCTCTCCACCCCCGTCGCATAAAGCAATCGCCTTTTCTTCGCAAAAGCCTACTACAGTGTAAGCGCGCGCGCAGCTAGTCAATGGGTATATGAAAACGAGACATGAGATGAGGGAACAGTGGGAGAATGCCTACTACGAGGGGAGGTTCCGTGTGTAGGAAGCACGCCATGTCGCCCTTGGAAGAAGCTTGACAAATTCCATGACATGCAAGATGGAGATGAAATCGAACACCAAGGTTCGTCAACAAGGGAGTGTCGATATCTCTGCTTCTGTTTGAGTTATCGGCTTTCCGAGTATCTGCTCCTCCCCTTTCTCACTTTCACTCTCCTCGCTGCGAGTTCATGCTATGTTCCGCCGCCGCATCAGTGGCTAGCCACGAGAATATCCGACCAGAAGCTAGAAGCTATAGTTGGCCCTCATTGTCATCAGCTCTCAATCACTGCCAGCATTTGGCCAACGGCTGGTGATGGTGGAAGTAAACAGCATGGCTCCCTCTGACACAGTCGCAGGCTGGAGCTTCAAAGAAGACAAAGTAACGGGTCCAGCGCCCAGGGAGCCCCAATAAGGGCGCCCTTAGCTCTTTATCAATCGATAGAACGGCTGACAAGAGCATGGAAGAAGGTCACTGGAAGGTTGCCAAGGCACTAGAAGCGTGGCAGAGAGCCTGCTGAATGATATACGAGCTGTTAGCCGTAAGTAGCGCCTTCAGCTGCTGCGGTGAAGACGGCTAACTCGACCGGGAGACGAGGACAATCAGCCTCTTCATCGTGCCCATTGGCGAGGCTGGATGAGATAGTACTACTACTGCCATAGTAGTAACCCGTAGAAGAGGCAGGGTCTCTGGCTAACACGGATCCGATGCGTCGCTGGATGAACCGCAACGGGCAAGGCGAGCAATAGCGGCTGGGAGGGAAAAAACGTGGCCGTGGTCAAATAGGGGATTTACCACATGGAAATCTTCGTGCTCAAGATGAGATGAGAAAGGTGGACGCGATGGTATTCCCGGAAATCAAATTGGATAAGGGCCACGGCCACCGGGCATGAGGTACAGTACCAGTATGGGAGATGGGCAATATACCGTAGGTATTTACATAGGTATACTCTTTCTTGTGTTGTTGGATGTCTGCATCTTCACGGCATGGAAATGCCGCCCTTTCCAACCACGAGAAGCATCTGTTATGCGCACGTCGTTACTATGACTCTTATAGGTTGCCATCCCATATTGCTCCTGTTACTACGACACAGATCGCAGCATTCATCCCGCTCGAAGCTTCTCCAACTCCAACACACTCGCCGCAAACTGTTTCCCCCTGCCCCCCGGCGTCCAGCAACCCTGGTCCCCCTCCGGACGGCCAATCACCGCCCAGCTGGGTGTCTTTCCGCTGCCGACAGAGCGGGCAAGGCACGCAATAGGAAAATTAACCGCAAGAAAAGACAGGTTGCAAGGTAATACCTGTTCTGTACCCCAGCCCCAGGTACATATCGCACCCCGGGTAGCGCGGTTTGGTACCTTGCACTAAAAGATTGGCTTGGTGGCTTGCAAGTTTCTCGGCTTGCGCTGCCGCGGAGAGAAGATGAAGCTGCAGAGGGAAATGGAACCTTGAAGGGGGCGCCCAGCATTGTGTGTAGGTAGTAGTAGCAGTAGTTGTATTCGCTAGATTGGAGTGGAAATGGGTTGCCCTTCTCCAACATTACATGCAAGCCATGCTGCTGTTGGTAAGACGCAACTGCTGGATCGATGGAGATGGACCGTCGCCCCCCCTCTCACTCGCCCTTTCGGCATCCTCCTCCGTTTTGCAACCAAGCCAGCAACAGGAATTGAGCTGTCGAGGTAGTAGTAGTAGTATGTGTATTAGTTCTTGAAGCTATTGGATCATTTGCCAGTTGACCGTCCGTGGAGACGAGTGTGGCATTACTTGGCGCATAACCTCTGGCGCCGGTTCCTCTGAGATTGGACCTCGCCGTGAAAGAAGATCCATCCGGGTTTCCTACGAGCCTCGTCTCCAGCCAGACCCTGTCCGGTCCGACGTCCCATGAAGCCCATTCTCCGCTTGCCACGCGCAATCCCCTGGCTTTGGAGCCTCTGGTGCTAGTAGAGTAGTAGTAGTACGAGTAGCTGAGAAGCAACGGCTTCGGTTACGTTGATTAAATAAAAACCGGTTGCTCCCCCTCCCCTCCCAGCTTCCTGTCTCCCTCTTCTGAATAGCTTCGTCAAGTTCAAAAGCCGAAGACCAGAGGTCGTCTGTCTCTCTCTCCTCTCTCTCAACCTTCATCCCCACCCACCATGAAGCTGTTCTCGACCCTGGCCTCAGGCCTCGTCGCCGCCGCCGGCCTCGCCCTCGCCCAGGACTCGGCTGCCAACGGCACCATCTCCAAGGGCCCGTTCCCGGCGGACCTCAACGGCTCCAACTTCACCTACCCGTACCCGGTGCACGTCTTCTCCTTCGCCAGCCAGCAGCAGACGCTGCAGATGGCCTTCATGGACGTCAAGCCCACCTGCGCCCCCAACGGGCAGACGGCCGTGGTGCTGCACGGCAAGAACTTTTGCGCGCCGACGTGGAACGCCACCATCACGGCCCTCGCCGGCGCCGGCTACCGCGTCGTGGCCCCGGACCAGGTCGGCTTCTGCAAGAGCTCCAAGCCGGACAACTACCAGTTCAGCACCAACCAGCTCATGTACAACACGCGCGGCCTGCTCAACGCCCTCGGCGTCGGCAACGTCACCCTCGTCGGCCACTCCTTCGGCGGCATGCTGGCCACGCGCTTCGCCCTGCAGTACCCGGCCACCGTCGACCGCCTCGTCCTCGTCGACCCCGTCGGCCTCGAGGACTACGTCGAAAAGGGCGTGCCCTACACCTCGGTCGACTACAACATCGCCGCCGAGGCCGCCCAGACGTTCGACGCCATCAAGGCCTACGAGCAGCAGGTCTACTACGTCGGCCAGTGGCAGGACTCGTACACCGTCTGGGTGTCCATGCTCAACAACATCTACTACGGCTCCCGCCGCGCCCAGTTCATCAAGAACCAGGGCCAGATCGTCGACCTCGTCCTCACCCAGCCCGTCTCCCACTACTTTGGCGACGTCGTCTCCAAGACGCTGCTCATCGTCGGCGACCAGGACCACGTCGCCATCGGCGGCAACTGGTCCCCTCCCGAGGTCGCTGCCAAGCTCGGCCACTTTGACGTCCTCGGGCCCCAGGTCTGCGGCGAGATCCCCGACTGCACGCTCTACCAGTTCCCCGACCTGGGCCATGCCCCTCAGCTGTCTGCTCCCGAGCAGTTTGAAAAGGTTGTCCTCGACTGGCTGGCCAAGGAGTAAGTCTTGGGACATGCTTTAGATGGGGAGGATCTCATGTAGAAGGGTGTGGGAAGGGTTAGAGGAAAAGTGAGGTTCACTGCCAGCCGTCTTCTGTTTTGCATTGTCATGTATATACCATTGCGTATGATGCCTTTGGCCTGTTTCTTTCCAGGTTGTGTTCTCTTTTTGCATACTATACACCGTTTCAAGTACATGTAGCCCAAGGGATGATGAGATAAAAGACTCCAATGCTCAGGCACGTGGGCGCTGAATGCGTTTCAAATTCCATCTACAATTACACTTACCTTGTGTGATAAAACCCGTCGAAATGATTCCAATTTGTCGGCGAGCAGAATGCTTACACATGAATGAACAGCCTCTCTGCAGTCTATATCAAGGCCTCTTGTTCAACTCAAGGGAATACATATGCACACCCTGCAACAACCCCCCATTCAAAACCGACTCACCTCCCGTTCAACAATCGTTCACAACCTCATCCAACCCACACAAACCACACTCCTTCAACCCCTCCCCCTTACAACATTCAAAACCTACAAAAACGCTTCTCACAATAAATACATCTCGTCAGCATCCTCACAATCCATCCTCCTCCGCATCTCACTTACATCCCCCCAAACCCTCAAAATGTCACTCTTCCCGCAATCCTCACCATGCCCCTCCTCGTCCACCTAACCCCCCTCTTCACACTCCTCCTCCTCCACCGCCTCAGCCCAACATCCTTTCCCCCTTCAAAAACAACTTCACATATTTTTCTCTTGTACACACTCACCACACAGCTCCTCGTTCATCATCGCCCTTCATCATCATCATCGTCGCTGTGGCAGATGCTCTGCCCTCCTCTTGCTCCTCCTCCTTCTTCATTCTGCCAACTGCTCAAGACAATCATACTCCTCGTCGTCGTTCATATACTCATCTTTACGATATACACACTGCATTACCTCAGGCAGTCTGCACTGAGATTGAAAGGAGCGCTGAAGACGACGTATGCAATTCTTACTTCAAAAAGTACCGGGTTCAAGATCAGGAACATCATCATCGCTCACACATCCCGCCTCAAAGCAAGCCCTTCGTCTCCGTCTCCATCTCCGTCGGCACCTCTCAAAGGGGGCTCTATTACGATTGGCATCATTACCACCGACCTGACCATTGAAGCCCACACCCACACCAATACCTCTACTCTCGCCAACGTTATTCTCCCAGAGCCATCAACATATTCCAACACGTTACCTTCAAATCTTTACAAGGGCAAAGAAACGGCCGACTGCTCTTCGTCAGAGCACTCTCAGCATCTACAAACTGGTGCCTTTCCTACTACGACCTCTCTCTTCCAACGGACAAGTCTCTGTATACACGCACTCGCACGAGTCCTCAGAATCCACGTACCGCGCATCCATACACTAATTCTGTCACGCCTTGAGACCATCATGTCTCTATACGGCCAAGCAGCTCAGCCGTTACACATCATCCGCATCCGCAGCATCCTCTTCATCAGCCGCACGATTGGCGCATTCCGCCGCACGACGTCCTATCTCGTAAGCCTCCGCGAGCTATACCCACCCTTCCTTGCCATCTTCTCGGTGCACCTCCTCTTCTGGATATTCTTGCTGTCTATCGGCGAGATGTACGTCCTCTGGATGTGTGTGCTGACGATAGTCTGGATGCTCTCGTGGTTAAAATAAGCAAGCTCGAATTGTAGGCAACGGTAAACTAGGCAGCTACTAGGCAGCTAGCTAAATGATAAGAGCAATTCTCATAACTTCGTCATACAGATATCCCCATGCTGCGCCGGATTATGCTCTTGTAATACTCATACATGGCCCGTTTTGCAAGGCCCTCAGAACGCAATTCCAAGTGTCAACTCCAGCCCATCCATTTACGCCGCCATTCAAGTATTCACTCTTCTCACCCACAGAGTGGTTGGCTCGTAGTCTGCACCCCTGTTGAGGCGCTTGTATGCTCTATGCAGCTTCAAGCCCAAGTCATACTCTTCGAGCTGGATCTCAGCCAGCTCCTTCTTGAGCCCCTCCACCTTCTGCTTCTCAATCTCCCGCTTTCGGAGCACCTCTGCGCTGGCCATCAGGTTGTCTCGCGGCATGAGCTCTGTCATCTGCTGGATACTCTTGTTGATGTTGACCCTGCGGTGCGCCAAGCCCGCGAGGGTGGCATTCAATTGAGCAATCCTATCATCGGACGACGAAGAAGCCAACTCTGGAGGTGCGGGAGGAAGTGGCTTGGTAGTAGACAGCGTAGGCTTATGCTTCGGGGGTTTCGCTTTGCTACCGGCCTCGGTGTCCACCGGCTTACTTGGAGGTGCCTCGCTCGGCGGTGGCATGCGAGGCATCTGGGCATAGGCCTCGTAGAGGCTGGACGTGCGTACGTTGTGCTCCACAGTCGTAGCTGCGTGGCTCGGAGAAGGATTAGGCGCGGTGTCCGGATTCAAACGGCTCAAGAAAGCGGCGTCGGGCGGCGTGTTTGCGGGCGTCTGCTCCCCGACAGCCTGCCAAGGAGCCTCGGTGTTCCGAGAATTGTAAGTGGTGGGAGCGAAGAGCGGCGCAGGCTTCATCGACTCTTCGTCGGCATAGGACCGTTCGGGGTGGGGTTGCGGCTGTGGCTGTGGTCGAGATGGAGGTTGTGGTTGAGGTGGAGGTGCGGCTGCGCCCGATGCTGTCGGAGGACGAGGAAAGAGTGAAGCCGGAATCGAACTCGAGCGGTTGGTAGGCGCTGAAGGCTGGTTCCGCTGGTTCTGCGGCGGCTTCCTCTTAATGATCCTGGGCCCTGTAGGCGTCCAATTTGGGTCGACGGGTGACTGCGGCTGGGCTGATTGCAGTGATGGCGGGGTCGGATATTCCTGGTTATTAGGCGGCGTTGCAAGAGCGTTAGCACCGTTGCTGGCGTCGGTGGTGTAGACATCATATGATGCCACCTTGGCGGCTGGTGTAATCGTGTCCGTTGGCTGCTGCACCTGCGCGGAGGGGAGGAGGTCGCGGTCTGTAGGCATCTGCTTGCGTGGAGGCGAGTCTACCATGAAAGCCGGCTGAGAGAGCGGAATGGGAGCTGATATGTTTCGGAGACCGTTGTAGCCGATGCCGCTACTCTTGCTGCTCCCCGGCCTGCTGCTCCCTGTCCTGCTCCCTGCCCTGCTACGACTGCTGCTTCTTGGTCGCTCCGTAAAAGGCTCTGGTGACTCCGACTTGCCCTTGGCGAGGAGCCGGAACCTCTGTGCGACTGAACTCTCAGTCGTCAAGTGCAAACGCATCTTGTTACTCCGCGGCAACGAGCCTTGTGGTATCGGCACGTCCTTGATGCTTCTTGGATTCTCAAAATAAGGGATCGGTATGTCTTTGACGCTTCTTGGGTTCTCGAAAGACGCGCCGTGCATGTCCACAGCGGGTCGGAAGGGCATATACTGCACTTGAACGGGGCCATTGCTCATTTGGAGCTGCGTCGTGAACGGCTGAGATTGTTGTAGCCCTTGCAAAGGATACTCTCGATGGAAACCGGCGTCATCTTCATCGATGGGTGAGACGGGTGCGCTGAATGGGCAGCCCCTTTGTTAGCAAGCTTTTGAAGGCGTGAGACACTGACAGTCAGAGGTTCTCTATGAAAGGACTACCACTCTGAAGCGCCTGCATGCATAGAAAGCACTTACACATTCTTAAAAGCGCCGGTTTCTGGTGAGCTTGGAGGAGAAATCTGATCGAGCGCCGGAGGGCGCCGTGCGTAAGTTGAAGCCAGCTTGAAATTTGACGCTGGAGACGACGAGTATGCGTCTCCGTCACTAGTTGAGTTGGATTCCGAATCGGTGACAAGCTGAAGCTCGGGATATGAGGCTGCAGCGTAAGGCCAGTCTGAATCCTGCGAACGATGTCGTCGTTGCAATAGCCTTCTGGGGTTCCGGGGCGGCGGTTCTGGGACTGTGCGTGATGATGATTCTGCGTGATCAGAGGGATCGTCTGTCAGATATCTAATGCTAAGAAAAGAAAGAATCACGTCAGCCGCAAACCGATTGCTGCTTATTCCAAGCAAATAATGTAGACAGAACAACGGGCAGTGGGCAGTGCTGATAGCGCAAGCCGGTCGATTGGAGTAGAGACGGTAACATCATGCGGCCAGACCAGCCAACGGCGACGGGGAAACACTCCGATGCAGAGCTGGCCTTGGACTTTCTCCTGTGCCTGATTTCCATTCCCTGCTTCGACGCGCATCTGCTTGGAGGCTGTGCTCTTCCCAGAGCGAACCGGCATGTGCCTTGGAGCGAATGACGCGGCAAACATGGTCCTGGCAAACGCCGCAGAACAACATTCGACCTGATGCCGGTCCAATGAGGCCTCGCCCACCACTCAGGGCCAATTCCAGCTGCGATTCGAGGGAGATGGAGCGATGGGGATGGAGTTGTACGTACATTCCAGCTGGCGATGCGGCGTCCAGAGTGTGCCGCTGCGGTCTGTGATGATGGAGCCGCCGTGGGTTGCGTGGTCTGGCAGCAGGAACATCGATGGCGATGCCCAGAACATCCACAGGGCCGCACAGATTAATATCCTCGTTGTCAGCACTCATGTGCGTGTGCTGGTGCTGGTGCTGGTGCTCCTGGTCCCTGTTGTGCCTGCGCAGACCCGCCGTGGCAGCTCGGGCGTCCCACATGGCTGCACTGCTGTGGTTATTCTGGGTGCACGGCTGTCCAGGGGGTCAATTGAGGCGCCGCAGGAGCTCCAGCGGGGGGCAGCGCGCTGTTTTAGTGCCCGATCGAGCGGGCTACAGGGCGCACAGGCTGCTGTGGCCGCACGCAGCAGCGAGGCCAGGTGCTCGTTCGCAGCGCCTTTGTGTCAGACAGGTCTCAGCTGCTGTCTGGCCGTGGAATCCGCTCCCAGCAGACGATGCACGGGTGAGGAATGTGTGACGCTGGGTGGTGGTTCGGTGCTTACCGGCGTATGAGCGGTGCTGGAAGAGGCAAATGCGTGGAGGGCGTGCTTCGTATGAGCTATCGGCAGAGAGAGACGATGATGAGCGGGAGGAAAGAGAGGAAAGCTGAGGATTGTGCGGATGAGCTGAGAGAAGAGATCAAAGTCGATGATGCATTGATGAAAGAAGCAGCATGAGAGGCGCGCATCAAAAGCCTGCAAAGCTGAACAAGTGCCTGCCGACTGACAGCAGTTGATCCTGCCCCTTGCACGCGAGATTGACGTCAGGTCAACATGAGTCGCGAGCTCCTTCTTTTAAACAGATCGCACTGACTTGGACCTTACATATACAGTAGAACTCTACTAGCATATCCATAACCTCACAGCTGCAGCTATCATGACTCGCAGCTATCCGCCGTTGATGCGCATCCTATGGCCAGAACCAAGCGCAGATTCGACGCAGGATCTTTGCCACAACCAGCGGCAGCCAACCAGTTTGACGCCTCTCTCTCCATGTCCGCTCGCTCAAAGCAAGGGAGGCCCCGTTCGATGCCAGGCACCGTCGCAGACGCACCTTTCGGCGCCAATTGGATGGCTGGTCCGGGTTGGGCAGATGAACACGGCTTCAGATGTAACCACTTCTGGGGCTATTGTGTAGTACAGGGCAAAATACTGCTGCTGCGAAACGCTGGTTCTGGATGCGATTGAAACACAGAGGCTGGACGGCTCAGGTGGGGGCTCCTAGATTGTTCTTTTCTTTTGATTTCACGTTAATACCCTTGAATGGAAACCTGGCGAGTGCATATGATCAATCGCAACTCCAACCGGATATCGCAAGCGGGCTGCTGAGGAAACATGAAACATGTTGGGGCCAACCGAACAGGCCATGACCAGGGCAGATCTCGCGATGTCTCGTCCGAAGCTGCAATGAAAGAGTAGGTACTAGTACTAGTACTACTATTTGGTCATTCGAATCAATCTACCCAGTGAGTTCTGGAACGAAGCAGATGCTATTTTTTCTCGTATGGCATGCAATATCGAACGTCATCTGATCGAAAGACGCACACGAAGCACTACCTGCATATTGCGAGACCAGGCATCGCAGCTTCACTCTTACCACTGTACGGATACAGGCCCCGGAGCACGGATCGACGCCCCAGATGGAAACCTCGCTATTTTCCAAGGCTGACGGCCATTCAAAGTCTTAGCGCCATTTCCAATCGCTGTCTCTGAAAAGAACGGCGTCTGTTTCATGTCCTAGTGCCTTGCATCAGACGCAGGGGATCCCGGTCGAAGCTTGCCATTTGACCAAGGTCGATTCTGGGTACGACTCCGACTTCTTCATGGAGATGGGAGGATGAATCAGAAGCCCATCGATGACGATGGTCTCCCTACAGACATAGGATCTCAAGTGTGGATGCTGCCGTCCATCAGCTATGATTCGATGTTTGTCATCCAGCAATCTCATCTTCATATAGATGAGATCCGACGGAGGGTTAACTTGTACCCCAGATTTAGACAACGGCCAACAACATAAGCGTTGGATGGCGGATGGCGGTTGAGTTCAAGGTTTCTATCAATCTGACGCTGAATGCTAATAGGATAGCCAAATAACGTGATACGTTCATCGCAACGACCAACACTCTCACGACTCATCTTCTCCCCATACAACCTCTCGATTATAGGGTACTATTTCCAGTCCGCCAACGCCGTATCGCCCTCTTCAATTCGCGCCGCCTTCAGCCCATACTCCCACACCTCCTTCCTCTTGGCCTCGTCCCTCGCCTCCTTTGCAATCTCCAGATCAACCGTGCCATCGAGATGCAGCAGCTCGCCTCTGTGGGGATCAATCTCGAAGCAAGCCCTTACGACGTCTGCCGCGCTCTTCCACGCAGGTCTGAACATGCCGTTCCCGTTGATGCGAACGCTAATCGCAGCGATGATGGGTACCACGACCTTCATGACAACTGAGCCTATTAGGAAGCCTGCTCTGCGAGCAATGTCGGTGGGCATGCCGCCGGGGTCGAGGCCGATGACGGAGACGTTGCTCAGTTTGGGGTCCTTGGCTATGCGGTTTGCCAGTTCCTGGCTGCACAGACTATCAGCGTTGGGCCACTCTAGAGACTGAATGGGGAAGAGGATTGATCACTCGGCCTGCACCGAATCATGCACCGGCAATCAAAGAAAAAGGGAGCCTTGATCTTACCAGAACATGATGACGCAGAGCTTGCTGGCCCCATATCGACGGAAGCCCGAGTTGCTGCTCGGATCATCTTCAGGCCTGCTCCATTGGCCCTTGGCAAGCGCCTCCACGCCCGGATACAGAGTCGGATATCTGGGATCCTTGTATGCGGTCGACGCATTGTTGCGCGTATCTTCCATGCTGCATCGTTCTTCAGCTTCGAGGTTTCTTTAATGGACATTGTTCATGCCTGCTTACTTGTGCGCCCAGCTGCCGATGACGAGAATACGGCCCTCCTGCGTGTCCATGCTCTGCAGGAGGAGGAGCGACAGGAGCATGTTGGATAAGAAGTTGACCTGCCATGACATCTCGAAGCCGTCCTCGCTCATGGCCTGGTATCAAAAACACGAGTCAACAACGACAACCAAGCCTGACTTCAATGGGCATTGAAGTGTTCAAGCCCAATTGTCAAAACTTACAAAGCCGCCGTGGTCCTGATATCCAGCATTCAGAATCAGGGCCCGGATCCTAGGTAAATCGCCCTTGGCCACGCGGGCGTTGATGTCCGCAGCCACCTTTCTCACGTCTGCCAGCGAGCCAAGGTCGAGCTCTATCGTCTCATGCTTGTGATCTGGCGGGGCTTTGGAGAGAGCAGCTTGGAGCTTCGTGGCGGTCGCGGCCTTGCGCACGGCATAGACACCGGTGTAGTTGGAGGCCAAGTCCGGCTTGCTGAGGATGTTTTCCACAATGGCGGAGCCAAGGCCGCCGTTGGATCCCGTTACGATGATCGTTCCTGCTGATGCCATGTTTTCTCGCTGAATGTTTAGCTCGCGAAAACAGTCCTTGTTACCCTGGATTCTTCTCCAACTCGGCGATCAAGGTAGTGGGAGAGTGAAGAGAGGCAAAAGAGGAGAGCTACAGATGATGCCAGCCCAATAAACGAGAACATGGAGCCAAGCAGCGGGCCTCTCACAGGAAGCATCATGCCCCAACTCCGCTTCCTTCGGCACACCTATTCCGGCGCTGGTGCAAGTCCGCAGCTACCAAATCTCAAGTTTCCGCAAATCAACATGCCAGAGATGATAGCCTGAGGGCTATCAAACGCTAAGCCCATCTCATCTATGGAGCATTGCCAGTTGAGATTGGACAGCTTTTCAGATGATAGGAAAGCTGTAAAAGAACTGGCATATACTTGCGGGGAAATATTTACGACGTAAGTGCTCAGAGGTGATGCTTCAAAGGGTACGCTTACTCCGTTATTACACATTACATGGAAATCAAATGGCCTTGTAATGCAGATCAGGCTATTTATATACACCTGAGGTTATTAACATACATCCAATTCTCGTTTACTCTCATTGTATCTCAACATCACTGATTCATTGAGCATGCATCAGACTGACTTTAGCCTGCATTATGAAGGGAAAAAACCTCGCGGACCATGTCGATTCTTGTTTTCCCACCATATCAAGGGTGCGACATCTTCTACTATCTTTGAAGCTCTGAAGAATATCGTGTTTTGATAATGACTGAGTCTTCAATCCAGCTCGTCGAGCATTCCTGGACATTCGAGGTCAGGGACGCAGACGCAGACGCGCCCAAAGGCCCTCCCATCCATATGCAGGCCTCATATCCCCCATCTTCACTCCCATCCAGACTGCCAACTCCTTGCCTAATCTCAATCACACCATAGAATTCCAGACAACACTCGCCACAGACGCCCCGAAAAGCAGAACCAAACCCGGCCAAGTTCTCATCCCAGAGCTACTCTTCCCACTCTTCCCACTCTTCCCACGATCATCATCCCCCGTCTTTCCACCACTCGCACGCCCATTATCCTCTTGATGCGCCTCGCCATTGTTGAAGTCCGAAGTATGCTCAATGGTGATATGATCCGTCAACCCAAAAGGCTGGCATATGGTCCCCGTCGCACACGGAACGACGCCGCTCCACGTACCGCTCGCGCAGCGCTGCCACGAAGTCGTCAAGCAGTTCCATTGGCCCTCTGGCGAGCACGCTTCGCCTGCGTCGATTGGCTGTTGTTGTCTGGGCTGGACAGCTGGTTGTATTATGGGCTGCTGCTGCTGCTGAAGGTTTGAGCTGTTGTGGGAGTCGGCGCGGGAGAGGACGTGGAGGAGGTCCATGGAGGGCTCGTTGAATGTGAGGATGGGGGGAGCGGCTGCTGGGGAGAGGAGGGCCCAAGGGGGCGCTGAAGGGCCGCTGTCTTTCATGGTTTTCCCTGGTGTGTGACGAGTTGCGGGTTTGAAAGACGTGGGGATGAAGAGTGACTTGAAGCTGCGAACTGCTGGGAATTCGATGATTTAGGGCCCGCTGGATGTATGTATGTAGGCGTTACGTGGATGCAGTTGCTCTGGTATTGCACACCAAGGACTCGCCTCGGCTCTCAAAGAAGGTATATGATGAAGATGGTTGTTTTTCCAGAACATGAAGCATCTCGAGCGAATCAATGCCTTGTGGGGTTCGCTTAGAACGTGGATGTCTTCTATTGGAGCGTCAAAGCGGGCGAGAGCAGGTGTAGCTTTGCATGCGAGGTGAAGCACTGCCGGGGACTTGATGATACACATATACATGTCAGGTAACTGTTCGTGATTCAAAGCTTTGTGGCCATTATCGACTTGGAGAACGGACGACAATGACTATGGTGCTCTTGACGGAGCTCAATCTTTCAAATGACCACCGTTCTAACTTGGCATATATCTCAATCTCAATCCCACTCGTAGACCGAAGGTCGTCCATATCTCAGGACTTCAACGCAACTCTCCTCATGACATCAACACCTCTCCATGCTACTACCGTTTCAAAGCCTCCCATCTCATCTCGTTTTCTCTCACAAAGTACGTTTGTGACAAATCTCTCCCTCATCACACCCCCCTCGCCCAAGCATCCGTAGCCACCATCCGGGCATCCTTGTCCTCAAGTCTCCTCCGCCGCGCCCTCCTCTTCGAGATCATGATGGCAACAACGAGGACGGTCACGATAAGCGCACCTCCGCCCAGACAGCAAGCGACCAAGATGGCTTCTTTATACGCGCTGCTGCTGCCTGGTGGGAGGGGCGTCATTTTTATAGACTGGAGAGGTGTTGCGAGGGCGAGGTTTATGGAGATGTCCATGCTGAGATGCAGATTCCGGGCTTCAATGTTTCTTCTGGTGTGGTGTTGTACGCCCGCCGAGGGGATGTGTGAGGAAGGGATGTCTGTGTGTACATGTTAGAGATGAGTAGAGAGCTGTTTGCTTGTGGGATGTCATACAGATGGTGTGCGTATCAGTCGCTCAAGCGTATAAACGCGGTGATATCTCGTCCGAGGAGGTAAGCTTGGAGGCAGTATATTCAGTGCCAATGACGAGAGGACGAGGGTGCAAGACGGAGAAGCCGTCAGGCCGCCTGACGACACGAGAATATACATATATATATGTCTTCAGATAAAGACATGTCGTGAGATGAATTGCATTGTTCAAACACGCGGCATCGGATTGTTCTCGTGTGTATGAGCTGAGAGGCTCTTAGTATTGTCTCGCCTGGATGCGACGGGAGCTTTCAGCTTCTTATTCCACCCGCCTGAGATTCTGAAAGTGAACAAAGGTAACAATGCTACAACATCGAAGAGAGCGTATCAAGTCTGGTAAAAGTAATCGATTCATCCTCATCCTAATGTAAAGTCCGAGGAAATGCACCGTCGCTACCTATATAACCATCCCGTTGTCCGCTTCGAGTAGCTAGATCCATCACCGACTCAAGACCATATCTAACCATCCATCCCTCCATGAAATATGCGTTAAGCAGTAGAACGCCCCAGCCCTTGGTTTGCGTTGTCGCAGCTGGGAGAGAATCTCCGCCATTTCAAGGTTTCCAGGAACAGCGCGACTCGCCTAGCAAGCATCCAAAATCATTCGTCCTGGGCAACATTATCATTATTCCGTAAAACACACCGGCAAATGCAAATATAAAAGGAGGAAAAAAAAACCAATGGTAAAAAAGCAGCAGAAAAGGCAGAATACTGGAGACTCGATGCGATGCAACCGATGCCCCTGAAGATTCATGCTGTATCGTCGTGCGCCCCTGGATAGGAGCCATATGTCCCTCAAAGTTTCAATATATACGGTTAAAAGATGCAGAGTCCGTTTCTGTCTCGGTGCTCCGTCGTAGCTCGGAAAGATCATCTACGGTACGGGCGGTAGTGGTGCAAGTCCGTCCCGTTCCAGGGAGGGTACGTGGTATGCCACTGGCCATTATCGTTGGTGCTGGTGGATGAAGAGGTATAGACGGTGGTGAAGGCAGATGCAGTGCTCGACAATGCTGTTGTGGCCATCCAGGAGGAAGAAGATGCGGCAGAGCTGGACTGAGACGAGGCAGTCGGGGTTGGATGCCTGGTCGATGCGATAGTCGTGTCAACCGCACTCGTTGCTTGTGGTACCGATGCGGTGACTTGTTGAGAACTCCTCTGCGGAGTTGAAGCTGACGGTGAAACGGTAGATGCAGTAGCCGAGGCCTTTGTTGAAGTAGCAGCCTTTGAGCTGGTAGTGTGCTTCGATGTAGAAGTTGTGCTCGGGGCCTTCAAGCTAGTAGTCTCTTTCGACGTGACACTTGTGCTTGGGGCCTTGCTCGATCGAGTCTTGACTGTCGTCGTAGCAGAGCTTGTGCCATGTTTGGTAGACGTGGGAGTCGGAGTGACAAAGACGGTCCTGGTCACGTCTGCCGTAATGTCGACGATCGATACCGTCGTTGGGACCGTACGGGTGACCGTCGAGCCCTTGACGATCTCGGTGACCGTCGTAGCTGGAGTCTTGGTCTTGGTCTTGACGAGGGTTTCGACCACCGTAACCGTGCCATCACCGCCGCCACTTCCACCACCTCCCCCTCCGCCGCCGCCGTTGTTTCCTCCATCACCGCCGCCGCCGCCGCCTCCTCCTCCGCCTGGCTGATCTGGTCCTGGCTCAAGCGGGACGACGGAATACTTGGGCTTGTGGTGATCGTCCACTGCCGCAGCCCGGAGGACAAGAGCCGGCTGCGGGAGAGCCGCGGCTATAGACAGGCATGCGGAGAGAGCAAGGGTCAAAGAGACGCCGCTGCGCATCTTGAAAGAAGCTTCTCTTCTCTCCTCTTCTTTTGCTTCTGCTGGCGTTATAGAGCAGGCATGCAGGGGAGAGGCTGAAAGCGGCTAAAAGAGCAGCTGAAATGCAGAGCGCGAGGATGTTGGATCGCTTAGCGGTTCTTGCTCAAGAGCAGGAATGTGATAGGAGGAGGAGGAGACGGGAAAAGAGCGGCATTGCACGAAGTAGTACTGCAGGACTGCTGCCACCTTGGCCCTACAAGGCAAAGCAAGGCAAAGCAAAGGCGGATGGAAATGCGATGGCTGGGAAATCCGGAGGCTGGAGGCTTCGGGATCGGGCCGCCATATCGGCAGCGCAAGGGGGCGCGGGGTCCACTGGAGAGTAAGCCAGCGGGGACTGTCAGCGGCCAGATCGGGTGCTGTTACAGGGGTCTGGGGGGGCATTTATAGCGGATGGCCCCTCATGTGCATCTTGTGAAGAAGATGTGCTTGATCTGTGCTGTCTTTCCGATGCATTTTGGTGTTGGTCCGATGGACTCATACTGACTTGATGCTGCCTTTGATTGCCATGGAGAATGTTAGTCAGCATCCGACGACGAAGATGAGGCCAACGGATCAAGCTCCCTTGCCTTAACACTGCCTACCTAGTACTATTAACGCCTGTAGTATTACGCATACGACAGTGCGGTGCCGTTTGCTGGGCTGCTGGGCGAGTCAAGGCTGTGCTGTTTTGCTTGTCTCTGGGCACGAGCACAGGCACATTCACTGGCGAAAATGCTCAGGTCCCGATTCTCGTCCAGCGTCCAACTGGCGCGATCCATCTCCAAGCTACGGCTGTGGCGTCAAATGGCCGGCATCAACGTGGAAACAATCCAAATCACCGCATGGCGCAACACGTGTGGCGCGGTCTAACTGCGGACGCCACACCACGTCAGAGTCTCCTTTGACTTACCGGGTTCCAATGGCATCGTAACACGCCCATAACGAAACATTCGAGCTTCTTCATTGAATAGAGATCTTGCAGTGGCCCACCAGAGCAATGCCTAACAAGGTTGTCAAGCTTATCATCAAAGCTTCTTTTCTACATTTCCCCCTTGCATGTACGGAGCATCTAAGCTCCACGAATTTCTGATTAGTAGGCGCGCAGAGTGCCGAGCGAGCATCAGTCAGCTGATGGGCAGTCCGACAGGGAAGCCGGACAAGATACAGTATTGCAGCGGTGCTATTGTGAAGTCGAGTTATATGTAAGATCCAGAGCTCTGTTGCGACTGAAAACCAGCCATTTCGATGAGATGCTGTTTACAATTTTGGAATAGTAGTATGTTGATATCAAAAATCAAGACATGATTTCAAACGTGGCGCCAGGGACGCCTCATCAATGACATCGTCACCTGTGGCGCCAAGCAGGTGATTTGCGCAAGGCTCACCAAGGCAATGACGTCCCAAGCGAACCCCAGCACAGCCACGGGCCCTCCTCTCGCCAATGAGGGCCGGCGCCTGCACCAGGGATGAACCTGTGGGCTCTACCTTATTTGCTTATTCTGACCCGACGCAAGGCAGATCGTGCGCGACAAGCTCCATGCCTGCTGCTCTGCTGCTAAGCGCAAGTCTCCAGCTAGCTGATGAGCCGACTTCGCAGGTTGTACTGCTTGTACGCAAGCTTGGCAAGGTAAGGTAGCCTTGCCTTAGGACTGCTGTGGCCGGCGTACATAAGCCCTTTTCGCCCGTCTCTTTCGGCCACCCGCAAACTTCATCCTTCTCAGTCGGTACGACGTCACCACTGCCTCGCCGTTGTCGACTGAACTCGTGCGCCGAACCAACTACTAGAACCTACAAGTATTACTGCATCGATCATGTCTTATCAAGGATATGGCCAGTCCTACGGCCGTAAGTACCAGCCCTGCGATGGATCTTTTCTGCGCACAATCAAACAATCAACGAAACCCTATCGAAAATCAGCCGCCCTTGATCGCACAATCATCTGCCCGCCTCGCACCGTGATCGCAATCTGACGCATCGCAGAACCGCCGCCTCCCCCTCCCCAGGGCTACGGCCAGTACCCTCCTCCCCAAGGCCAATATCCTCCTCCCCAACAGGGCCAATACCCGCCTCAACAGGGACAGTATCCTCCTCAGCATAGTCCATATCCCCCGCAGCAGGGACAGTACCCGCCTCCGCAGCAGGGCCAGTATCCGCCGCCCCAAGGAGGGCAATACGGCCAGTATCCTCCCCCTCAGCCTCCACAGGGAGGTTATTACCAGACTCCGCCGCCGCAGGGGCAGTATCCTCCTCAGCAAGCGCCCTACGGCCAGCCGCCGCCTCAGCCATATGGAGCTTCTCCCCAGCCGCCGCCTCAGCCCTACGGAGCGCCTCCCCCAGGCCAATACGGAGCGCCTCCACCACAGCCTGGAGGGCAATATGGCGCTCCTCCTCCAGCGCCGCATGCCCAGGTACCGCCTACGCCACCCTCTCCTGGCTATGGCCCGCCGCAGCTCATCCAGTATGACGGCACCGCAGACGCCGATGCTTTGCGCCGCGCCATGAAAGGATTCGGGACGGACGAGAAGGCCCTGGTCAATGTTTTGGCCCGAAAAGACCCCCTGCAGATCGAGGTGATAAGGACAACCTACCAGCGCAGGCACAAGCGCAATCTGGTAGCCGACATCGAGTCGGAGACTAGGAGTTGGTTCGAATATGGCCTCGTGCAGCTTGCCCGTGGCCCTCTGCTGTCCGACATTCACAATCTCTACAAGGCCATGTCTGGGCCGGGGACCAAGGAGATTGTCATGAACGACATCCTTCTGTCAAGGTCCAACGCGGACCTGAAAGCCATCAAGAGCGCGTATCAGCAGACATTCCGTCGAAGCTTGGAGAGCGATGTGAAGGGCGAACTGAGCCTCAAGACGGAGAGGCATTTCTTGATAGTTCTCAATGCGAACAGGGCCGAGGACCTGGCTCCGGTTAACCCGCAGCAGGTGGAAGAGGACGTCATGAGCATCTACAGGTCGACAGAGGGCAAGCTGGGGACCGACGAGATTTTGGTCTGCAGCATCCTGAGCACCCGAAACGACAACCAGATCCGAGCCATCGCCCACCTCTACAAGCAAAAATTCAACCGTGACTTGGACAGCGTGATTTCAAGCGTAAGTGCCTCGCCTTTTAACAATTCACTGATACGCATGTGGATTGCTGTGGACTTGTCGCTGACAGGAGCTGACGTGCTATAGGAATTCTCTGGCCATATGAAAGACGCTCTGCTGTTCCAACTTCGACACGCCGTCGACAGGTACATGCACGCCGCCCAACTCCTCGAGGATTCCATGGCCGGCCTGGGCACCAAAGACCATCTGCTCGTTTCGCGAGTAGTCCGCTTCCACTGGGACAGAAATGAACTTGCCAACATCAAGGGCGCTTACCAGCATCGATACAGAAAGAGTTTGGCCAGCCGCATCAGGGGAGAGACATCTGGCGATTACCAGATGCTCATGCTTGCCTGCGTTGGAGAGTAAAAATAACTCTCTTTTCTCCTCTACCTACGACCGCATTGGTTGAATACTGTATTATGATTACTTCTGAGGGAAAATTCGTCTGGGTCCTACATTGAGGGCTGGAGCATGAGGCGTTCGGATAACCTGTTTAGCTTGGGATCAAACAAAAGCTTTGGTGGGAGACCAAGGTACCAAGAAGTAGGCAAGTGATAATGATTCCAGTATGTTTAACAATACTTCATTACTCAACCTTTTATTTGAGTCAAGACCCTGATGATGCCCAAGTGAAGAGTTTGTTTCTGACCCCGGTGAAGTCGGTAGCCGAAAAAACGTCCAGTTTATGAACGAGGTCACTCATATCCGTGCTTGCAGAGGTGAATCACGAAGTCCCGTCAGATGGCCGGTTGCAGGGCAGTGAATCAGAGCTCGCCTTCCGAAGATGCCTGTTCAGTATTTGCGCTTTCTCCATCTTTCCATGGACGCAACAGAGGGCAAGAAACAGACAGATTCTGTCTCAACTTCTATTTCGCTTCAGCAGAGAGTTCCCTGGTCACACAGCCTCGTTAACGGCCAAAAGTCAAAGCAGGAGCCAGGTTGGTGAATAGAGCCTGCCGGATTGCCCAGATGCCCTCCCCTTCTCTCACCTCTCTGGAAGGAAAGGTATTTAAAGCATCGTCATCTGGTGCTCTGTGTTTTTCTTCCCAAGCACCATTTATCCCATGCATGCGGATGCATATACTTCATTCACCAACATCATTTCTGGTTTGACCCGCACAGCGTTATACCATCACTTTCTCTTACAAACTGCGTCTACTGTGGTCACTCTCTCAACCATATTCGCTCGCTGTGGTTTCTGCTTCGAGATGGAAGCGCAACCGGACGAAGGCTCTGTGCAGCCCCTGGAGAGCATTCCATCTACCGACGTCGCTGCAACACAAAACCTTACCCGTATCAATCCCAAATGGGAGTCGTTGGATAACACTTGCGCCGAGTTGTTTGGTCCGTGGGATGATCTGCCACGCTATGCACAGATTAACGAGCCTCGCCTTTTGCGTGAGCTAGATAATGCCATCGTTCTCTTTGAAAGTCGAATCAACCACGACGACGCCGGTTTCCACGTCTGGCGGGAGCGCCACAAGAAGGCTATGGAGGCTGGCTTGGCCAAGATTCATAGGTATCCGTGCCTTCAGACGATGGTGATAGACGGCAAGCCTATATGGCACGATGAAGTGTGGGAGCAGCGGTACAACTATCTTATCCACCAACGCCAGCAGATTATCATGGATCGACTGGCCCGAATAAAGCTGCCGCGATATGCGCGCGAAGACTTCTTTGGCACGAAGCCGGCACCTCATCGAGCGCTGCTGCACAAGCGCAGCTCCGGACGTGGCACTCGACCTTTTAAGCTACGATGTGACTGGTGGTGGCCCGTGGAGAAGCTCTTGGGAAGAGCAGCCCGCCGGTGGGACATGGACGAGGCGACTCTCAAGGCCACTTTTTGGGAGACTCTGCCCACACCCAATGTCAAGACCAAGGCATCACGAGCATGGGGAGACAAGATCAAGGAGGAGGAGGAGGACGCAGCTGAGCGAAGCACACGGAAAGAGAAGATGGAGCCGCCTGACGACGACAAGGAGACTGTTGGACTGGTTGCGGAGCTGGTTTCCGAGGCTCTGTTTGCCCTCGGTTGACGTCTTTTGCAGAAGGACCTTGATATGCAGCAGGTGTGCAGGGATGACGGGGTATATCAAGCACGCGAGTATCCATATCCAAGTTAGCACCTAAGCAATATGAAGAATTTCTGCATTGATGATCGAGACGGAAGCTGAGCACGAGAGTGAAAGGAAACGTCTTCACCATGCAGGCATGCCTTGGATAGTTATCCCCATTCAAGAGACGTCGCATCTATCACGCAATCGCATCTCAGTAGTGATAGTATCAAAATGGTACCAAAGTCCAAATGTGACTCCGCCTCTGAAGAATGTCACGGTAGGATTGGCGAAAAGTCTAACCAACAGAGTACGAAGCAGATAGTAATATGAAGTTGCGCTCCCTACCTATCAAGATGCAGGATTTCGTCTGAGAGAAGAACCACTGAGAGTCAACAGTCAGGGGCATGCCTTAGCGTGAAGCTCTAAGTGGGACCGCGTTAATTAAGAAAACTGAGAACAGATAGCGTGGCCCCACATTTCCAGCCTAGTTTCTAAGGCACTAAATAGTTCATAGGGGCCCACCGCCTTTATTATAGCCGCTTTTTTTCTGTTCGTTTTTCTTATCTTGATATTGACGAGTGAAAGAAAAGAAGCAGTGAACTCTTTTCTCCTTTCTCCCGTTGTGTTTCCAGAGCTGTGAGATCCTATTCCGTTCTCATTCCCTGCTCGAACGAAGAAAAAGAGAAGAAGGCCAGCTGTGAGTTTGTAACTTGCAAGACAGGGTTGTCCGTTTGTTCTTATTATCTCCTCTTGTCTGAGCCACATGCATGCTTCGTATGGAAGTTGAGGCTAATGACTACCTTACCATCTATCTTTAGGTCTTTCTCCTCGCTCCCACCCATGCAAGGGTTCCCGTCTATTACTGCCTCTTTAGCAACAACCCGAGAGCTACTCCAAGCACAGCTCCTCTCAGGCAACTAGCTTTTTTTTTCCCTCCCCTGCACGCTGTTGAGTGTGCGTTGGTTGGTGATTTTTTTTCTCTGCCGCCAACAAGAGGTGCATAGCAGAGCAGCATCTGCTCTCTTTCTCTCTTTCTCTCTCTTCCTTCTCTTCACGTTTCTTTGCTGCTTCGTCTTTCTTCTCGTTCTTCATATTTTTTCTTCCTCCTGCGGCGCCACACGAAGAATAGCCTCGCTCTCTATTTCTTCATGCGCGTGCAACCATGGCGGCTTCTCCTCCGCTTGTGACTTCGGACATACTCAGCCTAGCCGAAGCTCCAGCTGCGCCACACATGAACGAGACGCGTGAGGGCATCGCGTCCGTGGTTTCGACGATTGGATCCTCCATGGCCGAGACACCAGCGTCAGCACCGGCACCAGCACCAGCACCAGCAGCGGCACCGGCCTCAGCGTCAGCCACGGGGCCCGTGAGCAGCCAACAGCCAGCCGCCACCACTGCCGTTCCGTTCAAGAGTGCTCCTCCTCCTTCTGCTTCTCCGGCGCCGCCCAATGCGATGATGACGGGCGGCACCCCGCCGGTTCTTCCTGGACCTGGGGTGCAGGGAGCGGCGCCGTCGCCCACAAACGGCGTGCCGGAGAGAGGCGGCTCGGCGCCTGTCGCGCAGGGTGGTGGTGGTGGCGGCGGTGATGCAAAGGCCGGCGGCAACGACGACAAGGCCAGGGCGTACAGGGCGCTGCTGGATCTGGTGCAGAAGACGGATGCGTCGGTGGTTCGACAGGTGGTGAGGGAGCACTGGGGGAAGTGCCTGGCTGGGTCAGACTATCACTCGAGCTTTATTGTAAGTTGTGTGCCGGCTGCTTCTCATTTAGGCCTCGGGTCTATTCACCAGGCCATATGTGCAAACACAGGGAGCCTGTGGCTTTCACATTCAAGTGTGGAACGCTCTTCTTCAATCTCCACCTGTGTGCATGACTGTTGATGAACAGCAACTGACAAAAACTCCCAGGCCAACGCTGCAATCAACTACTCGAATCCAGGCGTCATCAGCCGGACTATGCAAGATCTTGGTGAAAAGGTGATCAAGGCGTCAAAACGTGAGCTCGCCAAGCACTTCACCGGACAAGATCTGGATGAGATTGCAGATCTCATCGGGCCCAAGCTCAGCACGCATTTTCAAGACAGGGTCATGGCCACGCGTCTGGAGACCATCGGAGCACAAGACCTTATCAATGCCTTGGCTCGAGCAGAGCGCCTCGGCTACCACATCAACGACATTGTCAAGAAGAAACCCGGCACCGGAGGCGAGAGCGTCATCCCGTCCATCAACACGCTCATCACGTCGCTGCCGCCGCAGATGCCGCCGCACCAGATGCATGGAGGAGCCCCCCCGCCCCCGATGCCACCACACCCGGGCCAAGGACCCCCACAGCAGCCTCATCATCCAGCTTATCCGCCTCATCCACCTCAGCAATACGGCGTGCCCCAAACTCATCAGCACCCCAACCCCATGCCGATGAATGGTGCAGCTGTTCCTCATAGACCGCCCGCTTCCTCCCAGCCGCCGCCACAAGCTGCGACCCCCAGGGGACGGCCAGGTCCGGCGGCTCGCATAGTCTACTGTAGCACGTGCCAACGTCCTTGCAGCAGCCAAGAGGCTCTGAATTATGTAAGTGTATTCCTGTTTCCCCCATCAGGTGCCGGAGAATGGGTTGCTCACAATCGAATCAGCATCACAAGAGGGCCAAGTGCCACATGCCGAAGCAGGCTGAGAATTCCAACGCGGATACGTGCATTCATTGCGGCTCCTTATTTGAAAGCTCAGGAGGCCTCGCCTATCACCTGAAGAGCGACGTCTGTGGAGTACACACTGAGGCGACGCGACTGCAGATGGTTGAGATGTTGAAACCGTGGGAACGGATGCGACAGCAGACCGCGAGCCAGCCACCCAGCACATACGTTGCTCCTCCTAGCTATCAAACGACGCCCAGTCAGCCAGCCGGTGCTACTACACCTGCTGCCAAAGCATTTACAACCCCGAGCCATAACGCGGCCACTCCCGTGGCGACACCAAGCCCCTCGGGCAACGACCCCTACGCGAAGCTTACCCCAGACCAACGAAGAGCGTTTGACTTGGAAATGAAACAAGTCGACGACTATTACCTCGGTCAAATGCGTGATGCCCAAGCGAGGCTGCCGGCCGGGCCCCGTGAAGAGGAACTCGCCAAGCTTAAAAATCGCTACAACACCAAGCAGAGCATGACGAGGAAGAAGTATGGAATCCGCCTCCGCGGACGGCGCGCCGACACTGATGCTGACCGCTCCTGGAATGGCGGCTCAGGGGACTCTGGGCAGGCCGCAAAGAAGGCTCGCACCGATGATGGACAAGCCAGGCCAACGCAGGCTGCCAGTCAAGTCGTGGAGTCCCCGCGTAGGAGGGTCCCTCTCGCTGAAATGGGAGGGCTAGGAGCGTCTTCGGCTACTGCTGAGCTGGTTGATCCCACAACGTCGTCTGCAAACTCTCAGCCACCACCTCCGACTCCGGCACAGAACCAGCCGACAACACGGCCTCCCCCGTCCATTCAGGTGGCGATACCGGCCCCTACACATCATGGAACACACGATGATCCCATGCAGATCGACGACAATGAAAGCACGGACTCTGACAACATGGACATTCCGGCTAGAATCAAGACGACCTAGGGCAGTGGCGCAGAGCATTAGCTCAGAGTCCCTGTGGGTAGCGGAATGCCATTCTTGCAGCGGTTGAATACAAGCGAGTGCGCTTTTGCTTCATCTGAGGTTTACAAAGTGGAAGAGGGAGGCTGAGCGTTGGCTGGCATCTTGCTTTCATCATCTGACAGAGGTTTGGAGGGAGCCCCCTCCCTTTCAACCTTGACTTTTCCCTTCCTCGTCGATCTGCATCTGGATTAGATAGAGTTAGTATCTGGGATCATATTTTTTTTCAGCATCTACGCGGCGCATGGGAATTTTTGGCACTGGTTTCTGAGGCAATCTCATTTCGGGAAGCTGTTTCAACGAATGAGGAGACGGGGGGGTATGGCGTTTTAGAAAAGTCGAGGCGACCCAGGTTCATGGAGAAAAATAACCAGACGCCACGGAAATGCGTGGCAAAGCTTTTTTACTCCTGATCTTTATTTCTTTGATCTGGTGTGGTGATTTCGAAAGGGGGAGAATACCATATGTGCTAGAGGGCGAGGCAGAATTCAAACCTTTGATGTCTCGTTTCGAGATCTTATACTAGGAGCTATAGTCGATGAGATATTGAGCATGGGGCAGCGCGAAGCAAACATCCAAATCAATATACATGCTGCAAATGGCACCTGTTTCGGCTGGAGCTCGATGAACCGTGCGTACACATAGCCATCAATTAGGTATTTGGAATACTACTGCATTTTCCGACGTAGAGGTGAAGCAGGCGCTTGAGCATAGGGTTAAGCATAATGGGCCTTTTTAGCGGCTGGGTGCATGGGGTGCGTCTTGTCGGACGGATGCGTTTTGAGTTGCCCTTGTTTGAACGTTCTCTGACTAGAGGAGAGGGAGGAAAAGAGGCATGGGAGAGGATGTCCCAAGGTTCGAACCAAAATGGGGATTTGCGGCTGAGGAGGAGCTTGTATTTGGAAGTGTTGTCGATGAAAGCATCATACCTTGGGTGTTTTGCAATATCAGGTTGTCGGGGCTGGAACAGTTGGCCTGCTATTTATATAAAGCTGAAGGCGAGTGGAAGTTGTTGATTGCCTCAAGTTGAAGGTGGAAACAACGGAAGCCCGATACGGAGGTGCCGCAGTGGGGATGTTGGGAGCTGTTAAGACGATCCTTCAGGTACAAGTGCAAGTACCGCAGATTGGAGTGGAGGCGCTCAGCTCTGGAGCTCCAGGGCAGCTCTTGTTTAGGGGAGTGGAGCGCTGGACTCGGGGGGCTTCTTCAGCGAGTGGCTGCCGGGAGCTAGCGGTGCTGATGCCCTGGGCTGGGCTGAGGTGGGCTAACAATGGGCGTTGGCGGGGGCTAATGTAGGTGCAGGAACGAATGCAGGCATTGGAAGCTGCTGCAGCACAGCCTTACCCGCAGTCAATCGACGATGCTGATCAGCTTCCATGCAATCTACACCTTACGCATGCTAAGTACAGTACAGGCAGCCCGGGCGACTTGGGCTCTGCGGCGACATCCATCACTGCTCGACTCTTGTCTTGCTTTGCTTTGCCTTGTCTTGCCTTGTTCATCTTGAGAATTCGCTCCCCGATATGCTGTGCCACTTCAGACCTGCTGCCACAGCACGTACATACTTCCGAAAGGTGCCCAGAACCGATCAACCGCCCTCCTTTGGATGCCCGACGTCTGCATATTTCCCGCTCTCCTCCAAGCGAGAACGAAATGAGATGGTGGCGAGACGTTGGAAAATAGAATTCAACCAGAAAAGCAAGAGGGGGGGGGGAGGGAAGGGTCGGGGGTTGGTTGGTGCTGCTGCTCTGCCTCTTTGCGGGCAAGGCTGGGGTCCCCCATCCAACAACATGAAGACAATGTTGTCTCGGCAGAGTGTGCTAACCAATGGCTGCGCCCGCTTAAGATTGCATAGTTACACGCACCGACTGCGACCTTATGCCTTGCGACCAAGAGTGCCGCCTCTCTTTTTTGTTGTTCGCTACGCGTTTAGCGGAAACGGGCTGCCGTGATGCCAATTTGAGGGGCAGGGGTGTGTGTGTGTGTGTGTGTGATATGACGCAGAACGAGAGAGGAAGAGATGAGGAGAGGCAGAGAGGGCTGAGAAGCAACAAACAAGTTTTCTGAGCGCGGTGCCGTGGTCGAAACTCTGTCTCCAGAAATGCCGCGTCAAAAGGGCTGGGCTGAGTGGACTGGCAAACGGGCTGCAGAAGTTGGGGCAACGATTCAAACCTAGGGTGACATGGATGCGACGCGCGCACATGCCAGCAGCTGCCTCTGGCTCGTCTTCTAGCGGCAGCGGCACTCTGCGTCTGAGGGCTGTCGAAACGGATGGGGTCCGGACGAGGACGAATCGAGTACGTGGATTATTATGGACGAGGACGAGGACTCCATGCGTACGACGGGGGACGGGCTGCGAGATCAACGCCCATCTCACCATGGCCATGTCCTCGCTCACCTTGTCGCCGTCCAAATCGAGCCGGGGAGACGCGGCAGCATCGTCGCCTTGTGCCACCAAAATTGCAACAAATCCAGTGTGTCTGAAATAGGAACTGCATTGGAATTAGCAGCACCGGCTGTTTGAGCCTCGCTAATGGGGTAGCAACGACAAACAGCCCGCGGGAGGATGGCCAGCCGGGCAATTACAATTCCTACTGCTACCATCCAAGAAGCTGGAGAGTCCCAGACCGGGGGGGCACAAGGTCAGGCTGGTGTGTGTCGGCTCGCCCACGGACGCATACACAAAACACGCATGCACGCACGTACGCACACACACGCCGCCCACCCCTGGAGAGGAGAGGGTCGTTCAGTCGCTCTCACTCAGCATGAGGTTGTTACCGTTACACGATGGCCCTGCCGGCTTGGGATATGATGGCATAATACTACTTGTACATGTGCTTGGGCAGCGATGTACACTGTAGAGCATCAACGGCCATCGCCGAAATACGTTTTACTTTTCTTTTGCTTTCGCCCTCTCTCTTCTTTTCCCTCTCTTCTTTTCCCTCGTCTTTTCTGTCACACTACTTTATCATCACACTCAAGGAGCTGCGCTTACATTGTGTTAGTGGAATTCTTATGCCGTCTGCATTGTCATCTGACGCACGTTTTCGTGAGACATGTGTGGCTCTTCGCGTTTGACGAGTCGATTTACACCCGATCTGCTCAAATCCATAAGGCACTCATCAAGCCACAACACTCCATCGGTTGCTCTCGCTTCGAGTCGACAGCATCTTTAATCAAAATCGTTCCCACCCACACCAAGTGCGAGCTCGGGACCAGCTCACTGCTGGCTGCCTTATTTCGACCCCTTTCGGCACTTCTGGTCTTTTGTTTCTTCTCCTTCGTCTTCTTCTCGCATGTACACCGAGGCCTTCCCAGTACCGTCTGCACGATATCAGTCCACTCTACAACTCACCTCGACTCCGCTACTATACTCAGCATATAGGTGGTCCGAAGCAACACCATGAATAGAACCCCGGGTCAGGGTACAATCACTCGGCATCACTCAACTCCCACCCGCGCGGCCCTCGACAAGGAACTACCACCTCTACCTGGGCCAGACAACCCCGAGTTCGCCACTATCCTCATCGGCCCCGATAAGCACCGTTTTCGAGTCAACCATCACCTGCTTTGCGATGTCTCTCCCTTTTTCCAGGAGCGTCTTGAGGATCCCTTCCACTCACAAACCGTCTTCCTCTGGCTGCCCAGCGAGCCGCCAGCCATGTTCCGCCTATTCGTCGAATGGGTGCACAATCCTGACAACTTCCGCGAATACCTCGACAACGTCATCAGCTCGGCGCCCAAGAGGAGCAGCAAGGCGTGTCTCGACATTCACTGGGCCATCATCCACCTCCACCTCTTCGCCTCACAGCTCGACCTCTGCTATCTGCAGGACGTCTCCATCGATGCCATCCAGGATCTGTACCTCAAGTACGACTGGGATGTGCCCCCCAAGCTGGTCACCTACCTCTACACCGAATGCGAAACAGGACCCTCAATACGTCTCCGCCGCTGGGCCGTGGCCATGGTTGCATTTTGCCTGGCCGTGGGCGGTCAGCCCAAGTTCGCAGGCCAAGACCTGGCCACGTCCTATCCCACACAGATCCATGCCCTATTCCAGTCCCTGCCCAGGTTCTCCGCCGACTATACGCAGCACATGGAGTGCATGAGGGAGGCGGGCCACGACGTCCAGCTCAAGAACCCGCAGCTCCGCATCTCGGCCAACAACCTCGGCAACAACAAGCGGATGTTTGGGTTTCGAGAGTGCTCGTTTCACTCTCACCGGTCAGCCGTCGGCGAGGGCCTGTGTCCTCATGCGATGCTCCGGGCCCTCAGCAGGCCAATAAGCGCACCGGACCTGCCGAGACGAAGAGGATCGAAACATAAGCGCCAAGATAGCAGCAATGCGCCAAGGCGCTCTCTCTTCTCTCGAAACAGCAGCAGAGAGTTTGAGGACAAACGGCCAAAGCATCACTCGATAGCAAGCTCGATCAAATCGAAGTTTTCATGACATAAACGACCCGCAGACGTGTGCGCAGAGTGAGGCTAAACAGTGAGCATGGATCGCGCACTGGCACTTGTCTATCTTCACTCTCTTCCTTCTTCTTCTTCTTCTTCTTCTTCTTTTTGCATTCCATGCAGGTTCCTCTTTGGGCGCATGTAAAAGCGCGGAGCGGCGGGACCCCCCATGCAACGTCTCATCACTTTCTGCAGGGCTCAATGGGGAGCTGACTCCAGTCCGAAACATGGGGTTCGTTCGGCACTTTGTGGTTTCAGGTGGCTGGATAGTCCGGCACTTGGTGGTGCCATTCACACCGCAGAACAGCTCACCTTGGAGGCGAGGCTCAACTGAAGTGGTTTATATTTGTTTTATGCGGCCTGGTGACTAGCGAGCAGATCGGGGTTATTTCCGTTGCATTTTTTCTCCGGATCCCTGCGAACGGGTGGGTGGTGGGAAGCGATCTTCACGACGGTTTAGCGTTTGTTTTCGGTTTGGGGGGTGGTTTTTGACTATATTTCTCGGTTTACTGTTCTGGGCAGACCTTGCGAGAGGGTGCCCATGTGGGAGGAGTATACATGGATTTGGTTATGAATATAGGAAACGGGGGAGGGGTGTATTTTTGGGTTACTTTACGCTTTGATGTTTGAAGATTTTTCTTATATATATATCCCATAGAACGGCTTTTAAATGGATTCACAAGGGGAAGAGGGATGGTGTTCTTGTATACTTGTCATATGATACAGGGGAATTACTCATGTGGTTGAGCCAGGTTTGGGACTGAAAAAACGGACTGATAAACTCAATTCGGCAGCACTTGAATAGGTAGATATCAGAATAGGGAAAAGTAATTTTTCTCATGTTCTTCTGCAACTCGCTATCGCTATCATATATCAGAAAATAGTTTGGAAAAAGACAAGACAAGCAACAGAAAGAAAAACAGTCCAGTAATAAAAGTGCCCCAAGTACACAGCTTTGAACGGCGCTGCACAAATATCCCTCCTTTCCCCAGAATGAAGTTGAAGAAGGAAGGAAGAAAGAAAAGAAAAGATGAGACAAAATGGTGTAAAGGAGAAGAGAGGAAAGCAAGACTGCCAATGTACATTTGCCAAATTCTTCCAATACCTGCAAATGCTCAGTTCTCTTCTCTTCTCTTCCAACTATGATGAGGAACTATGATGAGAGAAGAAAGGGGAAAAAAGTAGTAGATAGTGGAGGAGAAGTAAGGTAAGCTCTGGGAGAGAGGGAGAGAGAGAGGGAGAAAAGAAGAAGAGAGAACAAGGAAAAAAGTGCAGTCGCTTCATGAATAACATAAAACAAATATCCGACGCTTTTTGTGAGGGAGACTTTTTTCGTCCTCCGGTACTGTTTTTTTTATTTCTCAATTCGGGTTTCAGTATCCCGTCGTTCAAGTCGTAACGGTCATTCCCCGTGGTGTGGACAAGGGTCCTTCGATGGGGCTCATTCCATGAGTTGTAAGGAAAAAAAGCAGATGTCTTTTGTTCGTCAAAGAGCGTGATTCAAAGTCGTTAGGAATGAGCGTTGTATATGCTTGGATAGATGGTGTCACTCCCCCCCTTGCTGCATAGGCGGGGGAATCTGGTTGTTTGGCGAAATAGATAGGAAAAAAAGCAGATTGCGCAGGATATCGGTACTCTGATATATAGCGAGGTATATATCGGGTATCATTAAGAAAACAGGCAAGGGAAACAACATTTCCAGAAAAAAGAAGTGAGAGACAGGGCGGTCCAGATGGTTGAAAGAGCAAAACATTTCTGTTGCCGTCTGATTGGACATGCATCAGTGTTCATTAGGCGAAACAGCCCAGGGGTGCGATTTCGTAATTGCGAGATATAGGCCGTGAAGAGCGTTGAGAATCGTAGGACCGAAAAAGGCATCTTTAAAGGAGTCGGCAGAAAGGGCACGAGATTAGTTGCCTTGTTGTACAAGGCGAAAAGAGTTTGGTTCAAAAAAAGCAGGAGGTTTTAGACGGGCGACTGGGACCGCCGGTCGCGCCGGCGAAAATCCTTTAGTCGCTCGTCGATATAGGCCAGACGGCTTCGCAGAGACGACTTGGGCGGCGACGATTCCGATTCGACGGGCTGCTGGACTGTTGCAAAGGGTCGGCGGATGATGCTAAAGTCAATGGCGGAGATGCTGGCCGATCGCCGGCCCGGGAAAGAGAAGCTCGCCTTGGCGGCGGAGAAGGGAGAGCCGAGCCGGGCGGGCGCAGCTGCGAGAGCAGGGGCGAGGCCTGGAGCAAGGCCTGGACCCAGGCTGGGATTCACGCTTGAAGCCATGCTCGAGGCTCCTTGCGGCGCCGCGGTTGCGGTTGCAGTGGGCCTCTCGGCGTGGATGGGGGCAGACGACGAGGAGGGGGACGGGGCTCGGGGCTGAGACGCCTCAAAGAGCTCTTGCAGGTTGGTCCGGGGAATGAAGAGCGCATCCCGCTGGGTGGACGTGGTGGAGCTGAACTCGGCCGAGGGCGCGGCTTGCGTCGACGCCCCCCCGTTGTTGGATGGATCGACCCAAAAGTCCGAGCCGAGACTAGGACGCTTCCTCCGGGGCTCGACAGCCGCAGGCTGCTGCTTGGATCGGCGCTTCTGCGTGCTGCCGCGGCTGTTGTTGCTGAGCCGGGCCGGCGAGCCCAGGCTGCGCCGTCGCGTCCCCACCGAGCTGCTTATTGGCCCCTGTGGCTCCAGGTCCATGCCGAAGCTGTCCGCGAGGGAGCTGGACGCGCTGGGGCCGTAGCTCCTAGCCACGAAGGGCGATCCCAGCCGCGTCAAGTCGGCACCGGCAGCTCCCGAGCCCGGCGCAGGGGCAGCGGCTGCGACCAAGGGCGGCGGCGAGCAGAGCTCAATGTCGACGGATGGCTCGTCTTGAGATCCGGTAAGCTGGGCCAGCGGCCCGTTGGGCTGCATGGACTCGCAAGTGCTAACGGCCAGGGACAAGGCCATGTCGTTTCCGGAGAAGGCGGATGATGATCGGCTGGGCGCCAATCGGCGGTTCCAGTACCGATTGGAGGCACGGCCAAACGGCGGCGGGTTGCGGCCCGCGTAGCGTTGGCTGCGCGCAGCGGTCGTCGCCCTCGCCTTGCAGAGCTCCCGGAGATGCGCGCGGGTCGCCGCGCAGCTGTGCGGCCACTGCACATAAGACGTCGGCGCCGCCCCAACGGTGGGTGTCGCGCTGCCACTGTGGTCGGCAGCGGCCTTGGCCTGCTGCGGCTTGGAACCTTTCCAGCTGCGCTTGGCTTCCCTGGCGACGCGCGTGCATACTCCGTGAGGAGGGATGCCGCTTTTGCCAATGTGAAATGGTGTGACGTGGGGATCTTGCAGATACGTCATGTAGACGGACCAGAGATGCTGGCTCATTGACCGGGTCCACGGGGCCCTGCGCGAACGCCTGCTTGACGCGCCAGCAGCCGCCGCCGCAGCAGCAGCAGCAGCGCCAGGGACGCGAAGCGTGATAGTCTTGTTGCCGTCTTCAATGGACGAAGAGCCGAGCTGGTCGAGGTCGTCGGTGTCAATGCTGTACTGGCTGAGGTTGTCTGAGTTCAGCGAGTAGCGGCTGAAGAGCGAGCTGGCCGTCTGCGTCGACTGCGCCGTCGACGGGCGGCTGTCGCATTCCGGGCTCGACTCAAGGCTGCTGTAGGCCTGGTCGAGCGACCAGTTGGGAAAGCGTTTGGGTGAGAGTGAGGGAACAGCGCGAGGCGCGGGAGTCTTGGGAGGTGAGTAGGCCCTCCCGCGAGGCAACGCGCTGTCGCCGGGGATGGCCAGATGGTAAGGGCTGAATCGAGGGAAGGTTGTGGTGAGCGTATCCACCGCCATGTCTTCGTCGACCAGGCGAGGCTCCTCGATGCTTGGAATGGGTACGTCTGCCGTCGCGACGGACGCGAGAAACTGCTGGGTGGGAGCCTTGAGATTAGACAAGGGAGCTCGTCGCCTGAGCCGGAATCGCGGTCGCGGAGGAGAAGGGGGTTGAGTGTCAGTCGTCGCGAAGGGCTCTGGGGTTTTAGGTCCGCGAGCAGCCTTGCGAGACCCCCGAGTGCGAGGCGCCATGAGAGATTGCAAGGGAGGCATTGCGGGCGCTGGCGTCGAGGTATGCGAATGGTGGACAGCAACAGCACGAGGAGCGAGGAAAGGGAGGAGAGGCAGCGCTAGAAGTACAATGTCGCGCCCAGCCGGCTGAGTCAATGATGCGAAGCGTGATTGCGATGTCTCGAGCGGCTGGAATGGCGCCTCTGGCAGGTTTCCGCAGTGGTGTTTGTTTTGGGTTGCTTTGGTTTGGCCCAACGTTTTCTTTCTTGTTCTAGCTTTTCTCTGTTCTTTCTTTCTTTATTCTGTTTCTATTGTGTCTTCCTCCAGTGATTGATTGTCCTGCGCAAGCGTGGCTGCGAAAGCGCGATCAGGCGAAACACGGCGTCGCTCGTGATAAACAGCGCGGGCGAAGAGAGCGGCAATCGCTGGGCGGCGACGAGGTGATGCGCTTCTGATTGCGAATGCGCGCGACAGCAGCGGCGCGGTACGAGGAGGGAGAGAGCGTCGTCGAGCAAAGTATCAAGCACTCATGCGGTAGGATCCGAGGGGCAGAAGGGCGTGCGGAAGCTGTCGCGACCGCGAGAACGGGCGCCTGGGTCCCTTATTCTGCTCCTCTGGCTGTCGCCGCGGTGTGGATAGTCGATGGGCCGGGTGCGGTGAAGCGAGGCGAGGCAAGGGGGTGAGGTTCCGGGACGCCAGCGGACGGGGCTCAAGGGCGATGTCGAGCGCGGGCGCAGAGCGCAGACGCAGCCAGTCGAGGGCGGTTGCAGCTGTTCGCAGTGGCAGAGACTCGGACTCAGGGTCGGCGTCTCCCCACGGGCGGGATCGCGGGCTCAGAGGCAGCGGCGCAAAGGTGAGAGACTGGACTGGACTGGAATGGAGAAGGAAAACGGGGGGAGAGAGGCGGGCGACAGGGTGGTGCTGGGTTTGTATGTAGGGCAGTGGGGGGGGGGAGCAGCGCAGAGGTGCAGGCAGAGCGCAGCGACTTGCAGCGGGTGCAGAGGGTGCAGGGCCACTAACGGCGCCGCTAGACGGGCCACGGACAGGGCAGCCCAGAGCCAAAAACAGCCACTGCGCGCAGGCCGGCCAGCGGATGCTGGAGCCACGCTGCGGGTGGCGCGGGCCCTCTCTCGGCGGCGCTGCGGTACTGGTACCTGCGGTTGCGCACAGTTGTCCGACCGTCACTCGTACAGGTACCGGTGCCGTTGGCACAACCGAGCTAAAACCCCTCGACGCTGCTGCAATCCCACATCGAAGTCCACGGTACCTTACCTCCAGCCCGGTACCTCCAGTCTCCAGTCTCCCGGCGTCCATTCGCAGACGCACGCCCCCAAAAGACTCGAGAAGTCGTAGTAGTACCGGCAAATTCTGGGCCCAACGGCTGCGATGCCACCGTCGGCTCCAGGAGCCAAAAGGCAGGGTCTTTGCCTGTCGGGCTGGGCCTGGGAGACGACGATTAGGAGGCGACCGTCGAGCTAGCAGCTCAAGACCCCTAATTGACCCTGGGCAGAGAGCCAAGGGGAGCATTTCGCCGGTATAAGTGACGATGCTTGCCAATTGCGACTTCTGGCAATGCATTGAACCGTGCGGTCGAGCGGCGAGCCCGAGTCAAGCCTCGAGGCACGATGATAGTGACGATTTCCAAAGGGGTGGGAACCAGGAGACGACAGACGAGAGTGCAGCCGGATCTGCATACATGTACAAGGACATGGCACGTTTGACCGCGAGTCGGCAGACGACACCTCCCTCCTTTGGATCCCTTGTTGGAAACGGGTTGAAAAAGGACTACCGCTGCCTACTACCAATCTATCCCACGCGCTGCTAGTGCTGCCGCTGGTATCAATTGCTTCAACCATCAGCAAACAGCTCACCACGGTGTATCGCCAGATTGCAAGTGTGGCCGCCGCGCTTTCGCTCGCTTCCTCCTCCGTAGCGTGAGGAAACGGCGGGACAGGCCCAGCGCAGAAGAGGGACGGGCTCTTTGATGGGAAAGCGTTGTCGATGGCCTCCTCTTGCGCGTCATGTGTCTTCCACCAGGGGTGGGACATTGTCGGCCTGCTTCTCTAGGGCTTCCGTCCGCTTGTCACCATCACCGTCCCGGCGAGCACTCGCACGCACGCCCGCATGGGCATGGAGCTGTCCTAGGTTGGTCACACATCCCAATCGTCCCAGGACAGTGCGGCAAGCAGCTGCACTTGAATCCATATTTTACAGAAAGCCTTCGAGCTACCTAGGTGGAGCTCTGGCTGGCCACAAGAGAGAAAGTTGGATGCCACCATAAAGCTTGACCTGCTGGAATAAGACTGACAGTCTTGCCTTTCCGAAGCCTCTTGCGTCTGCTCCTGCGGCCCCTCCCTTCTAGCAGGTCCGGGAGCCAGAGTGCTAGCATTGCCGCAGAAGTCTAGCAATGGCACGGCTTGGGAGCCTTCCCGGCATCTTCAGGGGAAAGCAACCAGAGGAGACAGGAGACGCGCGGATTGCTCTGTACTTGTCCAGACAGGGGCTAGACTTGTCTTGTCACGATGGAGGGAGTTGGGAGGACGTGGACATGTAGCTCCCACGCACTGTGGACTCTTACACCTCGCTCTATCTGACCCATCCAGGTTGTAGCGTTATCACTGCAGAGCGCATCATGCTTGCACTTCATACATGGGCTAATGTCATGGGATTTCATGTTGGCTGCCTACCTTACCTTACCTTACATACTCATCCCACGTGCACCCGTCTTGGCAGATTGGCCTTGTGGTCTGCTAAACAGCTCCAAGCATTCAACCTTACGATAGACAGCACGCGGCTCTTGAGACAGAAGGCGCTTGTGAGACCACACCCGCAGCAGCAACAAGGGCACATCGCATTGCTCCCACTGCCAGCACAGAAGTCACCCCGTATCTAAGGTAGATTGTCCCGCCGTATCAGACAACGAGAAGAAGAAGGGGTGAAAGCAAAGAAAGTACGGCGGCCTCGGTACATGTATCATCTGGCTCATCCACTCGGCATACATGGCAGCCAGGACAGCTTCAGGTTTGCAATTGATCACTTTCGTTCGTCAGAGCAGTCTCCCCTCATCGTGGGCTGTGCTCGCAACGACGAGGTGGGAGAAGAAACGAGGTTGGAAAAATATCTGGGGCGGAGCGCGCTAAAGGCTGGAATTTCGCGAAAAGCACGCGTCTAAACGCGTCTGAGGGGGGAAACGTGTGCATCATAAAAGCGGGGCTCTGCTATCAGCTAAGCGAGCAAGCGAGGGGAATCGCACGATAAGCAGCCCAGAGGCCAATGGGGGGGGAAGAGAGCACAAAGGGCTGATTGGACGACTGCTGCGAGTGCTGTGCTGAGAGGAGGATGGAGGGCTCGATCGATGAGGTCGATTGATCGAGTGACGCTGCCCAAGCTTGTCTTTTGGTGATGATGCCATCATGAACACCAGCACTTGCACACTTGCACCACACTTACACCATACTTGCACTTACACGGAGACAGACCTCACATGGAGTCCCGTGATCCTCACATTAGAGTCGCAGCCGCCAATGCAAGAGCTTTCGGCGAATATCGGCCATCGACCATGTAAGGTATTCATTCATGTACATGTACGATGAAAAGTGAGAGACAGAGGCGGCGGGTACAGGATACAGTTGCATGCGGCCTGGCCCACACCCTCGATGATTGGAGCATTATCCATTATCGCTGCCAGTCAGAAGCACGCACGTCGAGCCGCCGATTCTCCTCAACTTGACATGTGGGCGACCGATTGGGCAGCGGCGAGGACGAGGCCCTGGTACGTCAAAATGAGTGGCCTGAGATGGGCTAATGAGGGGTCTTTGCCTTGAGCTGTGTAACGGAATAAAGTCCTGTACACGAAGAGGATGCGGAGTATCGTACCGAATGGTAAGTGATACGTGATGACACGGGCACGGAGAGCAACGAGAGCACATGGAGAACTCTGCTGGATACACTGCAAAAAGGCTTCGTCGTTGGGGTGGGGGGGGGGGGGCAAAGAGTATCTGGGAGTATTGGGAGCACTTGAGGTCTAGCGCTTTCAATCAATGTCCTGTTCTAATCCCTAAGCATTTCGGGCTACATGTACTGCTTCATCCCTTCGTCTGAATACGAGTGACATCGTGATAGCCAACACTCTAGTCTTTGGGCAGCAGTCGATGGTCACCTCACAAGTACGAGAACTGTTGGGCAAGAAGAGCAGCGCGCATAATTGCCGCTCATCATCACCTCCTCAATGCGGAAAGTGAACAACCATGGATAAGGCAGTTCTCCCTCTGTTACGGCCCTCTCTTTCTTTCTTTTCTCTTTTCTCATTCACTCACTACCTTGCATCTATTCCATCTTCACCCGGGTCATAGCCTCTGATTATCGAGATAGAGAACCCTGGCCTACCCTACTCTTGTCGCATATTCCATTCCAATCCTCCTCACCGGTTTGGTTGCAGCGCGCTGATGCTGCTGGTGAGGGGCCATCAGCACGCATATGTACGTGTAGGTGCGGACAACACACAGACATACCTGAACCACTTCCCTCTTCCCTCATCATCCAGTTGTGCAGTCCGCGAAGCGACACCACCTTTGGGAGACGGCTTCGCTTCCCGGCAGTGTGGGGGGAGGGCATGCCTTGGTGTCATTGGCAGGCCTCGAGATTACACATCGTTTCTGTCCCCGGGGCTGAAAACGCATTTGAATCGACCCATTGCCATTGCCAACGATGGGAGGGAAATGTGCTTGCTCAATCCCACTCCGAACAGCAACTCCTGAGTGCACATTGCCTATGCTATGTAACCCCGACGCAGACGGCATACAGGGCCACGGAGCCGAGCGAATCGCAGCCGTCGACGACATGCGGCTGCCATGGATGAGTTCCTACAGGTGTTGAGATGCTCCATACCTTGCTTTACATGGCCAACACGTACGAGTATGTATGCGCGGTACGTGTTCTACACTTTCAAGCATAACTCGGACTGAGTAATAGCATTGCAGCCGCTGACGCCTGGAGACAGACAGTTCACACACACGTCCACGTACTCTGCACACGATACCACTACAACTACATGTACGACCTGCCGTCGGTGGCAGATGCATTGTCCCACGAGCCGAAGAGGAGCCAGAATTCGGACACGATGCAATGCGATTATGCACCTTGCTGGCAGACCCGAGCTCACTAACCCTGGATGATGCCATCGACCGATATGCGCATCCAACTCACGGCCGGCCTCGTCTGTCAAGCTCAACAAGGGAGCTGTATGCTCGTACTCCCATCCGCTCCCTCTGGGTGGTGGCCTCGTACCGATCAGTCCCGCCGGAGCGAGGTCAGCCGCGTCCGGCTGGTGACAACCTCGCAGCAGCCGCTCCACAGTCATTCGTCATTGATGTGGCAGCCAGAGCATCGGTCCAGCAAGGCCAGACTCCTTTCTCAACGCAGGAAGAAAGGCGAAAGGGTCGGAGGGTGGAGGCAATGGAGCGGCAAGGAATGGAGCGGCACACCGAGTTGCGAGTTACGAGAACAAGGCCTGGACAACTGGGCTAGGCATGTACAAGTAGGTAGGGCGACGGCATGGACAGGACGACGCTGTTCCACGTATGCCTCTGCGTGCAAGGTGAAAGGGCGGCGTCGATTGGTCGAGGCCTCGCGGGCTGTGGGCTATTCGACAGATGTCAGATGAAGTGCATGAGCATTGCTTCGAATACATAATGTGGTGGTGGGGGGGAGGCTTTGTTGGGCATCTATGCCTCGTTCCCCCGACCTTTTCTGCGTGCAAACGAGGGAGAGAAAAGAAGAGATGTCGAGAAGGGGCTTCGTCCTCTGTCCTTGTCTTCAGTTCTAAGCCAACATCTCTATCACCGTGCTAGTATGATAGCAGCCCAGATACCAGATGGATTCCAGATTCATTCCAGATTCCCGCCCCCCGCGAGGTACCCTGCCGGAAATTCGGAACCGTCCGCCTGCCACTACCTAGTATATTCTAGCGCTGCGACTCACTGTCTGGGTGCTAAGAGCTAGCCGTGAATCCACTGAAACCCCACGCCCGGCATGGCCCAAACTTCGCTCAGCTTCTCTGCCAACCAACCGCCTGAACCTTTTTTCTTGCTTCCCAAAACCCAAAACTTCCGTTGCATTCGGCCTTGGAGACCGATCGACCCGGATCGTGCAGCAGACGCGTGCGGAATAAGTTTTGTGACAGGTTATCTCGAGGGCTAGCGCTCACGGCCACTTGTACGTATCCCGATTACTCGACTTAGTCTCCTCTTCTTTTTCTTCCTCCTTTTCTCGAGGCTGTTGATAGAGAGGCTCGACTGCTGACAATGAGGCGCCGTCAAGGCTCGGCCTACGACTCCAAGGCGGGCGCCATTAAATCATGCCGGCCGCCAACGCCAACGTGGTGACGCTGGAGAATCTGTCCGAGAAGCTGCCCCCATGGCGTCCGGACCAGCAGAACCACCTGTTTGCCGTGGTTGACATGGGCAGGTGAGTCTCTTTGCCCGGCTCTCTGGCTCCCACGTCTTATACAGCTCATGGATGCTGACACCGGCGGGCAACCAGCAACGGCATTCGCTTCAGCATCACATCCCTAGCACCTCCCCGGACTCGCCTCCTGGACCCTGTCTACTCTGCACGAGAGGCCATCTCGCTGTTTGACGCCCTGACGCCGTCCGCTGACGGGCCTGTGTTCCCTGCCGCGACCATCGAGGCGGTGGCGTCTGCCATAGCACGCTTCCACCACCTGGCCGTCTCCCATGATGTCCCTCCCGAGCACATCATGGTGCTGGCCACCGAGGCCATGCGTCGGGCCGTCAACGCCCCCGAGATGCTGGACGCCATTGCAAATGCCACCGGCGGGCTCTCAGTCTCCATCCTCGACCCCCCCGTCGAGACGCTCCTCGGCGCCGTCATGGGATCCAGGAGCGGCCTCGGCGGGGTCCCAGGCGGTGCCCTGTTCCTCGACCTGGGAGGCGGCAGCGTGCAGATGACCTGGGTGGACACGAGCGCCCAGGACTACGAGATGGAGGCAGCTCTTGCCGGCGGGAGCCTGCCTTACGGTGCCGCAAAGCTAATGCGTGTGCTACAAGAGAATCCCGAGCACGTGCAGGCCGAGGAGACGGCCAAGCTGAGGGACGGCCTGAGGGATCTGTTCGCCCGGCTGTGCGCCAGGTTCCCTGCCCTCGAGGCCATCAGGGCCGCCAACGAGACGGGCGAGGAGCAGCAGCAGCAGCAGGAGAAGCCCCTCGTCGACGTCTACATGTGCGGCGGCGGGTTCCGCGGCTACGGCAGCATGCTGATGCACGACGACCCCATCAGTCCCTATCCCATCTCGTCGTCCAACACATACGCCGTGCGCGGCTCGCGCTTCAAGGAGACGGCTCGGATGCTGCAGCTCAACGCCAGCCACGAGGGCAAGATCTTTGGCCTGTCCAAGCGGCGCAGGCAGCAGTTCCCCGCCATCGTCGCCGTCGTCGACGCCTTCGTCCAGGCCGTCCCCTACCTGGGCTGGGTCACCTTTTGCGGAGGCTCCAACCGGCAGGGCGCCCTGATGATGAAGCTGCCCCGCGAGATCAGGGAGAGCAATCCCCTCGACGTGCTCGCCAACCTGAGAGACGACGCCGAGAGACAAGTCTTCCAGGCCATCCTCTCCAAACTAGCAGACTCCCTGCCCCCCAACCTCTCCCCCGCCGTCCCCACCATCCTCACCACCGGCGCCGGCATGCTCTTCGTCCGCGAAGTCTGGCGCCGCCACGGCCACGGCGCCGACGCAAACGCCTCCTTTGCCCTCCACGACGCCGTCGCCCGCGACACCGACTGCCCCGGCCTGACGCACCTCGTCCGCGCCCTCCTGGGCCTCGGCGTCGCCGCCCGCTGGGGAGGCGGCCTCGGCCCCCTCGACGCCCAGCTGCACAGGGGCCTGCAGGGCATCCTCGACGACAGGGCCGCCGGCGCGTCGCTTTGGGCGCAGTACCTCGGCGCCGTGGCCGGTGTCTTGGCGGCCGTCTTCCCTGTCCTGCCGAGGCTGGCGGACGAGGTCGTCAACGCTATCAGGTAAAGTTCTAACATGCGTCTCTCTTCTTCTGTTTTGATTCTGGCATTGCCCCCTTCTTTGCAATGGCCTCCCTGATATAACAAGCTCTAACAGAGATACACAGCTTCGAATCCCGCGTCGAGCCGAGACAAGGCAAGAAGGACAGAGTTTTGGTCAAGATTGGCTTAGCTAGCGAGTGTGCCCGACGGATCAACAAGGAGGATCTCATCGACCTGGTCAACTCCGCGGCCAAACCCACGGCAAGCAAGGCATCCGCCAAGACGATCTCTGCGCAAATAGTCATTCAATCATGATTTCTTCACTCATCTTCATCATCATCATCATCATCATACTACTGTTTACCCTTTCACAGATTTTTCTTCTCTTCCCCCGACCAGGTGAGCAAAGCCATATCGATTCATATCATATCATATCATATCATGACAAAGCAAAACATATCGACGTAAGATCCCCACCCCAAAACACCAAAAAAGAGTGATTGCCCAAACAAAAGAGCAAAAGAAACAAAAGAAATCCATCATTTTCCTAGCCCATTTTCCTAGTCCAAAATTTTCCCATTTGCATTCTTGTTGTTTTTTGTCATCCAGTCATAAGCTCATGAAAGCATGTCCTCAGAACTTGTTTTGCAGAGATTTCATCACTCGGCATCATCATCGCAATCGTCCTCGATCGCCTGCTTTGACGACTTGGCCTTGGAGGGGCGCTTCCTCGCGTTCATCTTCTTCAGCTCATGGTTCACCACGAAGACGCACAGCAGCTGGTCAACCTCGCTCTTTGAAGATTGCAGTTTCTGGTCTGATTTCGAATGTTAGCAGTGCACCGACAACATCATTGGCGACGACGACGACGACGACGATGAGGGCAACTTACAGTGGTCTTTGCGGCAGTCGAGAAGCTGCTGGGCAGACTCGCGGATTGCCCTATTGTGGCATAGCGCGGCAGGGTATGTTGGCGCCTTGAGCCAGTCAAGCGACAGCTCCAGGCTTTTCTTTGTCCGGAATTGGTAGTGGTAAAACACCACCAAGAGCGGGAAGAAGCTGTCCGCGAGACGCTTGTAGAGTTGTCCCTGGAAGGCAACTGTCAAGCTTGTCAGCACTCATCCTGAAGCCCGATTTTCCTTTCGTCACAACCTGTTCTCCTCTTCTTCTCCCCTCTCCTCTCGTTCGTCTCCTCTGGGGCTACTCACTGTTCTGGGCTGTCTCGCTCTTACTGGTCGCAAGGCGGCCGATATGGGTCTTGAAGCCCTGCAGGAGCTCTCGGTACATGAGAATGAGCTGCCACATGCTGGCCCAGATGGCGATTCTTTCTTGAGCCTTGGGCGGGCCCTGCTGCGCAATGCACTCGTCCATCTCCTTGAGAATGTCATGCTCAAGTGAGTAAATGGCTCGCCGGGCAATGTTCCTCAGCTGAGCCTGGACAGACAGAGGCAGAGTGGTGAGCTTGTTGGTCGGGTCCAAGCACCAGAATTGCCTTGCTTTCCAAATGCGGAAGAAGCAGTTCATCCTGTGGACTTTGTTGACGAGGTCGTGCTGCGAGGCTCGGTTAGCTCACCGACAAACAACACACTCCCCCAACCAGGGTCATGTCGGCTGCACATACCTTGGGAAGTCCCCAGCCCTCTTCCGAGTATGAGAGCACAAAGTTCTGGACCGACTGATGAAAGTCGGGCTTTTGCTCTGTTCGGATCTGGTCCTCGACCCATCGCTGCAGAAGCTGGTGGCTCGGAACGCAGTCTCGAGGGAAGTCGGCCTTTGTCAGGCTGCCTGTCTCCTCGGAGCCCCCCTGCGACCTGTACGCCTGGACCGTGGCGCGCAGGGCTGGCAGGCTGGTGTCCGGGGTGAAGAAGACCGAGATCTCACGGGGCTTTCCCGTGTAAAACCGCGGGCCGGAGCAAAGTTGCTCCTCCTCCTTGGGATTGGTGGACCAGACATCTACACACATCACGCTTGTTAGCACCCTGAGCTATGGGATGTTCCGGTACTTGCACAACTGGAGTTGTGTATAGTCGTGCGCTACATACCGGGGATCTTGCCCATTACGGGCCAAAACGTGGATGGTGTGGCGCGAGTGCATGCCAGGTGAGAATGGTCCGGGAAGGCCTTCCTGCACGTTGGGCAGACTCCACTATCATGGCACTGGGGGTAAGAAGATCTCAGCTCTTGTCATTTCAACTAGGGGGGGCCTGGGAGGTACAGTGACTTCTTACTCGGGTCTTAGACACACGGCATGGCAAGCAGGCTCCACTCTTGCGGACGTCTGCCGTCTGGCTGGGGTCTACCAACTGCCTTTGCCTCTTCTCCAGGTCATTGCCAGATCGTCGACGCTTGAGCTTGGACGACTGGTCGGCGGCCCTCCGCAGGCGCTCGTCCAGTTGGACTTGCAAGTGGTGAGGGTAGCCCTGGACCATGCCCTTGGACGGGTCGGTCTGCGGGTACGTCCACTCATCGTCCTGGGCCTGGACCTCCCTGAGAGACGCCTCCGGGTGGTAGTGACCATCGTCGAGGGGCTCCAGGAAGGGCGACGCCCCCGAGTGGTCCGAGGGCGACGAGCTGCCGCCCTGGACCAGCTCTGGGGGGGTCTGGCCGGCCGAGTAGTCAGACGTGAGTCCATCGTCAGATGAGTACGAAGGCATGTCGAAGAAATCCCTATCGGACTCCAGAGTAAGGTCTCTAATGAAGGAGGGGATGTCGGTGATGATCCTGCTGAGGGACTGCTGGCGGTGATGGTGATGAGAAGAGGAGGGATCAGAAGGCTTAGCGTCCCCAGAGTAGGCTTGCCAGTCGAAGACCTGGTGGAAGAGCTCCTCTAGCTCCGGGGAAGGGGAGAGACGGGGGTTTTCAAGTCCCATCCGGTTCATGTCCCGAGGGGAATCCATGTTGATATCCGTGTAAGTCACGGGACGCAGTGGGACCTTGCCTAGCTACCAGGACGAATTGAAGCAGGTGGCTTCCTGTCAGATGGACGATAAGGTGAAGATGCCCAATGTCCCAAGTCTTTTGTGTAAGATTTGTCTGCTTCAGGAACTCTGCCTGACACAAGAGAATTATAGATTTGGCATCCAAGGGGACTCTGGGTTCGCTCTGCCACTTACACCACCATCGGATGCGCATTCTCGGTGAAAGCTGGGGTCGTGATTGGTCAATCCGCCTGTGGACCCCCTCTCTTCTGGCCAATGGCAGCCTTGACTTTCACCGATTTTGACCACCGACCAGGACTTGGGCCATTAGCGCCAATGTCAGGTGACTCCCCGCGAGTCTCTCCAGACGTCTCCAGAGCTGCGGGCATGCGAATCCATGGAGAGGGCGATGCCGGATAGCCTCATTTTGGACCGGATGAGGCCTGTTGTGTCCAGCCGAGTGCTCGGGGGCTCTGTGGGAGCGCAGAGGCGGGATCCGGGGGCGGGTTGGCGAGGCGTGGTGAGATGCTCCTCCTCGACCTCGGATCGCGGGGGAGATGGTCGTGAGATGGATGTGAAAGTGTCCAGACTCGGTTGAGCGTGTTCTCCAGGACCGAGTCCCGGTATTCTGCTCTCTGTCAAGGTGACTGCGGGAAGCAATTGAGCGGAAATCCAAGCTCCTGTCTCCCTGGTAAACTCTTCTCTTTGGCGCGATGGAGAAGACGCTGTCGAGTGAGAAATCCGAGGAGGGGCAATCGAACCGGCAATTATTGTGAAGTGAACTTGATCGTGAAACGCTCCCAGGCGCTGATGAAGAGCAGGTCGAACCTTGGGATGAGGAAGAGAAGGGAGACTGAATGGGAAGACGAACGCCGGAAGGCAAGGAGAAAAGAAGAAAGGAAGTCTCTTTGCCACGTGAGGGAGGAACTTGAAGAGGCTCCTTCCGAATGAGCGGCCGAGAGCCCGGGGGAAGGGGCGAACGATCTTCTTCAGGAAGAGGGTGTCGGGACACCACTATCTATTGTCCACGCTGAGGCAAAGCCGCAAAAGAAAAAGTTAAAAGAGGAAAAAAAAGGCCGAGGATTATAAGATGGACTGACTTTTACAAGTACGACTACCTTACTTACCACGATAGTACTAAGATAACTACTAGGTAACTGCTACGGTCCCTTTTGAAACCACTACTCTTACCTGCTACTACCAATTGTACGAAGCCAAAGTAACCTACCTTACCTTTTGTCCCTGCAGAAAAAGCTACTAAGATGGATGAGAAAATGGTGCTAAGGTTAGCCGTTATTTTTTTTTCCCTCCTCTACCTTACTACTACTACTACTACTACGTATGTACTCCCTTAGCCCCCGGTGCCTCGGGGGAGGGAGGGCCGCTATACTTGCTTTGGGAAGAGAAGGACGGATTGGTCGGGGCGCAGTGCGTGCGAAGCGTTTATCTCTTTTATCTTTAGGTTCTTCACCTTTTTTTTTCCTGGCCAATGGATTGAGAAAATTCGGGTTCTAGGTGCGTAGGTATACAAGGCATGTCGATCTACGATATGCTGCCTGGGGCGGATTTGATACGGGGATTGCGGAGGGTGGCTTCATGCAAAATTGAGAGTTTGAGATGGATATGGAGTCATATGTAAAGGGAGCTTGGGTGGATCGATTTATCTGTTTTGGATACCTACCGTGGGTAGTTACTCTCTCGCCTGTTGATATATGACGTTGCGGGGCTGCGGTAGGTTGAAGACGCTGCCAGTACATGGAGCTGTTGAAAGAGGTCAAGTGGAAAGACGAACAGCTTGTCTTCTCAAGCAGCGTTTCGGATTTGCTTACTTCGAATTTACTGCAGGTACTAGAACGTGCGTGGGTCTTTAAGTTTTGGGGGCCAGGCACGCTATTTTTCATCACGTCCTGCCTGGTCTTTGGGTTTTGGGGAGTGGAGGTTGAAGAGGAAGGGAGAGAAAAGCAAGTTTGTTTCTTTTAGCCGGGATCTTTGTCTTTCGCATCTCCACTGGAACCATAGGCTGTCGTAGCGGGACTATGATACTGCAGCGGCGATGGAACAAAGAGTGAGGACAGCTCGTCAAGGTCATCTCACTCAGTTCTACAGGTCAGCATCGCTCTCAAAATACTAGAGCAAAGTATTCAACATAAGGCATGCCGGCCAACTTTGCCTGCATGCATTCCCATGCACCTTTTCCTTCAAGCGAGCGAGCATGAATCCCATGTTCCTGCGCTGCATCATCGATTGGACGCCCAGCGGCGGTTCCACCGAATTAGGCAATTTTCGAGGGGTGGGGCTTTCTGGCTTGTGATTCCAGCCTGCTGGGCCCCGGATTGGAGCAGGACCGGAACAGGCACAATGACAGCCAACGAGACGCAGGATATCGAGACAAAAAAGAGTCGTCGGTTGATTGGCTTTGCTGCAGTCGATCTTCAGTGCACGCGGAACAAATGCGACGCTCCGGGATGGCCTAAGCTCCAGTCCTTTGGCGTCGCTCGTTGACAACGGCAGCTTATTCGGCGGCCGGGGCGATTCACTACGCCCGTCATCACCACTAGCCATCCGCGCCTCATCCACGGGTGTTGGCGCTCTGGTCCATTTTCATCCTATGGTTTGCTGCCGAGCCCGGACCTGTTTGGCCGAGCCCTGTTTCCTGGAGCGGGCAGCTGGGTGGGAGAAACTCTAGCAGATGCTGAGCTACCACTAGAATAGCAGAGTAGCTGGATAGCGCGCACCGCCCTTGGAGCTCTTTGCTGTTAGCCTGAGGCAATTGTTCGCCGGCCCCGGACTAATTGATTCCTCTCTGGAGATGCGCGACAAACCAGTGCGCGGCTTGAATGGCTGGTGATCGCAGTCCCGGGTTGCCGGGTAGTAGAGATGGTGCTTGTGTTTCCACTTGCAGGACTTGGGAGCACGCGAAGAGAGACGGTGAAAAGAGACAGTCCGTATGCGCACCCCAAACCACGACTCAAGGACGAGGTTTTGTCTCTTTTCCTCTCTGCGGCTCCGGTGGTATCTCAACCCCCCTTTCTCATCACCCACGCCCATCTCACCTCACCCTGGCATTCGAGCTTGGCGCACTGTTGGAGTGCAACGGTAACAATAGCTCCAAGCACCAGGCACTAGATGAGACTAATAATAACGAGAGGGACGCCTGTCTGTCAGCAAGAGACAGAATCGAGAAAAAGCCTCTAGGACCTCGAATCGGAGGCTCTGCAGAGTCTTAATAATCAGGGCAAGGTTTGGGATGGCTTGGGCGCAAAACCCCTCGCGTCTTGTGGCGCAGACCTTGACCCGGCGCCTCACTTACACGTGGTATGAAATACAAGTAGCATTCGTTTGCTGGGGGAGACAGTGCAACAAGGTGAGCAAAACAACATACCCCCGGAAAGGGGTGAAGGAAAGCGGAAGAAACAGGATATCAGTGCAGGGTTTGGAAGCGGCCCATGAAATGCCCCCGGTACACTGTCTTGGCTTCACGTAAGCCTTGGAAGGTCGGAGCTTGTTGAATAATATGGAGCGAGTGAGTGTACCGAAGAGCTCGAAGCACATCTGCAATCGGCACGGTACTGCTTCGAACGCGCAGCTCTTGTGCATCGCAGTGGCGACAACGTGTACATCAAGTGATTTGAGCCACGCGGCAGCGTCAAATGGCATCGGATACGAGCATGATCGTCGCGACTTACGAGTACGATGCTGCCAAGCTGCGTTGTCGACGTTCGTTCTCTCTCGAAAGGAGAAGCAAGGGAGGATATACGGCACAGGCCGCGCACTCTGGAGCACCAGATCCTCCGGTTTGCCGTCTTTGCAGGTGTCAACACGAAGCACTGCGGGTCGATTGCGCAGACATACCCCGACAGGTATATTCGGCTACCTGAAATATTAGCAACCAGAACGGCGATAATGGCACTGCCGGGAGGAAAGCCCACGTGTTGAGGCTGTGTGATACTGCGCTTTGTGTTCGAAGTGATGAGTCGAATGTATTAGTATTATTATATGCTTCAGGCCAGCAATCCCTGGCGGGTCGTCTTCTCGAAGGTCGGGATGGATCATGTCCAGGGTTCCGGCGAGCGGTGGCAATGAGTGCCGAGCAGCAGTAGCAGGAATTTGCCTCGGCTAAAAGGTAGTCGCACGCTTGGATCTCAACTCAATCAGAACATCGGAAACGCAGGACGACGGACAACATCAGGAACCAGATTTGCGTTGCCGTGGCGTGGGTATTAATCTCCTTCAACCCCTTTGCTGCGGGCATCTGCGCGTACGGAGTACAGGCCGTCCGGTTAAGTACCTTATGTTACCGCTTGAGGGCTCGTATGTTCACGATGCAAATCTGCGTACCAAATCTGCGTGGGCCGGGGGTTGACGTTGGAGGTGCAGCAGGCGGAGAAGAGGGAGATCCTGATTTTAAAGCCTTACCAGGCATCTCCTGACCAGGCGGGGCGTGTCTTGCAAGATTGGGGAGCTGCACTTTGAGGCCATGTACTGCGCAAGGAAGAGTACTCGTGCGTCGCCAGGGGTTCATACCAGAAACCATGTACAGCAAATTCACAGGTTACATCTGGCTCGGGTCCCTCTTTCCCTCAGCTGGACCCCTGAGGTGCTGCCAGCGGAAGGAACGTGGCACAATTTTTTGAGGCAGGTACGAATACAACTTGGAAGTACTGCCAGCCGGAGGCTACGAAGCCGAAACCTTGCAGGGGTCTCTGCAGTTCCAAGGTTACATGTCGAGGTTGCCTTGACCCCCGGGAGATGGTTTTACCTTTGAGATTTGATGCCAGCAACGCACGACCTCTGTGCGAGGAGCCCTTACAGGAGGTCTAACGTGGGTGTAACACCTCATGCCTTTCTATTAATACTCGAGGTGCTAATATTGGAGGTACAGGCCCAGCACAGTAATCGGAGTATTACAATTGCCTACCTACTTCCAGTTGGTGCACCATGAACGTTGGGTTGGTGCTCTGGGGTCTGGCAATAAGCTCCGACAAGCCGTGGACGAGGTAATACAACCTCGAAGTAGTACTAACAACTGCAGTGGTGCAAGTGCGAAACGTCCCGTGGCATTGGATGTGCTGATGCCGCGCTCATCGCGTCATCCCCCCCTATGCGGGCGTGTGAGCTGCCGCCAGGATCGACGGCAAGTCAAAATCAAAGGTCTGGTGCCTCTTTATTTGGGTGTCAAGGTGTCTCAGATGTTGTGCAGCCACCACCGGCTTCAAGCTTCGCCATGGCATTAATCCCCAAGCCTCCACGACTCTTAGCACCGACACCAACAGAAACCGGCTTGCAGGCATCTGCTAGCATCTCTGGAGCAGCTTGGCAGCGTCGCAGGAACGCAACAAGCCGCCCAGCTGCTACTCAGCTGCTTAGCCTCTTGCCTAGTGCACGATTTTTTTTTCTCTCCGAATCATCTCGCACAGCAGCGAGGATCACGGCCCATTAACACACCCCTGAGCAGGACCGTGTGTTCCACCTCAGCGGACCCTATTTGACGTCGAGCTGCTCCATGGATCAAAAATAGCGACCGGCTGGCGCAGGGAGTGGGCCGTCGCCGAGATGTGCGCGCTGGGGTTCCTGACAATGGGGCAAATTCAGGTTGCTGCAGCCCTCCATCTCACACCAGTCCAGTTCAGTCTGTTTCCCTTCTAGTGCTCGTCTGGTGCTCGTCTGGGCTGACCGGCGCCCAGCTGCAGCTTCTGATGACGGGCAAACACCGGCCATGATATACCCCAAATCGTTCGTCGCCTCACCTGATGGAGGCCGCATCGTGATATCCTGGAACGCAGATAAGGGTCACCGGCTGGGCTGGTTGCGCATCTGCTGTCGCCCTCCCGCAAAAAGCAACGCCGATACGAAGACAAGGGGCCCGACCACAGCTCGTAACTGGGCTAACACTGCTAGGTAAGCGGATGAGACGCGATTCCACAGGAACTGTTCCCTGCCCCTGCTGAGGGCGCCCGAAAAAGGATTCCCCTTTGCCGAGAAAAAAAAAAACGTCATCGAGTCCCCACCAAGCAGCCTCAAGCCCCGTTCGCTCACCTCGATCCAGAAACCACGAGGAGGCAGTAATACGTCGTCGACAAACGCCTCTTCCGGACTTTGTTTGCTTTGCGCCCCCCCGGAGCTCTCGACTGCTCGTTCCGCCGTCTTTACCGAAAAGCCTCCCACTTGGCGCTACGGCTTGCTCTTATTCCCACAGGGGGTGTGAGGCGTTCGACATCCTCTCCGCTGAATGGTCCTCGTCCTGTCCACGCTGCTGTCCATACTGTACAGCCACGGCTCACTGCTTTGAACTCGCTCGGCGCTCGACAAATCCAAACCCACTCGTGCGCTCCACTCGTCTTTGTTCGCTCGATATATACAAGAAGAGCCTTTCCCGCTGCTGGTCCTAGTACGTACGTAGCAACTGCTTGCTGCGGACGGACAGGTCATATCAGCCCAATATGACTTCGAGTAAGTCCTTTCGCGCCACTCTTCTGCCGTCGTCTCTTTCCTTTTCCTCCTTCCGGTCCGCTTCGCAAAATGGCTCCGACTCGAAACCGAAAGCCAACGCCGACGCTTCTGTCCGAAATGCCCTTCACGACAATGGCCCGTCTTCAGCTTCACAGCCGGCCGAGACGTCGCCAAAAACCCTGGAGCCCGTCGTCGAGGGAAGCCCCGACGACGCAGTGTCTCCTTTGCCCAGATCGCGGAACCAAAAACCGAAGCCTTGGGGCGCTAGAATCTCATCCTTGATTCCGTCGCTCACAGTACAAACCACAGACCATCGTCCCGTGTCTATCCAGCGAAAGCCCATCTCAACCATGGCGCCACCGTCCGAACCACCACCGGTCCCCCCGCCTTCTTACGATCTTCCTCCTCCCCCGGCGCCTCTCGATCGTCCTCCTCCTCCTCCCCAGGGGCCTCCTCCTCCTCCTCCCCAGGGGCCTCCTCCTCCTCCGCCCCCTCAGGCGCAAGCATACTCGGTAGCCGAGTCGACCAGTTCATCGAGCTTGGCTGGTGATAGTCCGACTCTGTTTGAATCAGACCACCACAGCCGGCAGTCGGATACTTCTTCCTTTCCATGCCCGCAATACAGTCCTCCGATACCACCAAAGACAGATGTGTACGACCCATCGCCAGGAACACCAGCCGTGTCCTCTCAAATCTCTCTTCTTATTAAGCCTCAATCTGATATCATTAGCCCCGTGGACAAAAGCGAGCCTCCACAGACTGTCGAGCCCGCGCCATCCTCTCCCTCTGTGTATTCTGCAGCAAACACTCCCGTCGTTGACCAGGACGTACTTCCCGCCCTCCCTCGATTTGATTTCGACTCTCAGATCGACTCCCAGCTCCGCGTCAACCCGGTGATTATGGATCCGACGCCACCGTCACCTGAGCTGGATAGGTCGTCTTTCAGAGCAATTGATGAACGCATTGGACCGAACCCTAGTTCGGCCGAGCACGACGAGGCTTTCAGACACGAAGTGCCACGAAACGAAAATGGAAATGTTGAGCAGGATGCACACAGGCCACGAAGTATCTCATTCTCACAGCGAAAAGACTCTCTTCCTCCTATGCAAGGACTGAGAACTCGATCGACAGCGCCCTTGCCCGAACCTAGAGGTCGAAGCGTCTCTGCGCGGGTCAACTCGACGATCATGGACGGCTCAAGGCTATCTACGGCCCCCAACCTACGGCCTGTATCTGGTATCAGTCAGAGTCCAACCAGGAGAAAGTTGCGACGAAGCTGGATGCCGGGTAGATCCCGCTCCAACTCCATGGAGGCGAGCCACAAATTGGGAGCTTGGGTCATCTCTGAGGATAACCAAACCGAGTATAACACGGCTTTCCTGAAGAATGGAGAAAAGGTAGAGACGAATATACCGGTTCTTGTTTCACACTGATTAGCGATGGCTAACGATCAAAATCAGGTGCCCGAGCTCTGGAATGAGAACGGCGCAGTCCTTGTCTATCTGTACCCCAAATCTAGCGGGCGCGGACCCTCCTTTAAAGTACCAGAGTTTACTGTGAGCTCCTCACTCATTTTCAACGAGCTTATCCGAGCAGAGCTGGAGTCTCCGACAGCTGGGAGATCCAAGGCTAGAAATTCTACTGGAAGGGACAGCCTGAGCACTGATGACGCTTCGCGAGTCTCAACCCCGACGTTTTCGAGCGACAACTCTGGGGAGTTCCTGCATCTCTATCTCCCCTCCACGCCATCCAACGCCTCGACAAGTTCGTTGACGGTACCCGCGGAAACTGTAAACCCAGGAGCTGAGCTGGAGCGCTTGATTGCAATTCGGAATCTCTTCGCTTTTCTTACGGGACAGCCGCTTGTAGGAACACCGGCTCGGCCGAGGACGTTTGATGCCTTCCTCCAAATCTCTGATCTCTTGCAGGAGTTCTGCTTTGCAAGCGCAGATGGCTATACTTTTGGCAGTGCCGTCGACATGAGCTTTGGCTTCTACTCGGAGTCGCTGGGCCTTGCAGACTGTCGCCACAGCCGAGAGCAGACGTTGGAGGCGCTCATCTTGGGCGAACGTATGCGGTCAGTTGAGCTGTATAACGAGGCGTTTACGCATGCTGCAGGAAAATACTCGGCCATCATGGAGCTCAAATTGCCTCTGTTTCAACTGGTGTCCCCCGTCACGCGGCAGCGGCTGGAGCGAGCCCATTTCGAGCTTGTCAGCCGCCAACACAATGTGAATGAACATCTTGAACAGTTTGAGTTTCCGTCCCTGTTTGCGGGTATCGCAAACTCGTCATCTATACCCGAACTCAAGCAAGTTCGCTTCAAGATCTGGCGAAACTCATTTACCAAGATGAGGCACTTCGTCTTGAACTATTACAAGACTGCATTTGGCAGTTGGCCACCCAAAGCCAGCAGCAAAAAGAATCCATTTGCGGAGAGCGGCTTGAATCGAATCGTTCTCAAAACCCTTTACTCGGATCATTGTGCCCTCTACGACTTATTGGTGGATCGCAACAGCCTGACGTCGAGAGTCATTGACGAGGTACCGACGGTTTCCAAGGAAGCCGACGAGATGATTACATCGGCCCTTCGCAACATTGAATCTGAATTCGACCGTTCGAGGCCTCCTGTTTTGCCTCCTATTCCCTATGACCTTCCTCTGATTCCAACAATGGCGGCCATTCACGAGACGTACGACAAGCTCTCCCCACGAGAGCAGGCCAAGTTTGACAAGAAAGTCAAGGAGCCTGAGATGCTTCTGGTGTTGAACGCCGCCTACAACTACGACACGAGCAGCCTTCGACTTCCGTTTCTGGACGGCTTCAAGGAGTTTGAAGCTCGCGAGGCTAAAGGAAAGATGTCTCAGGATCTCGCCGACCAACGCATCGGCTACTTCCTCTTTCTCTACGTTGTTCTTCAATCGTTGCCTACACTGGTAGTCGATGCCCCAGACCTGAAGTTTACCGAGGGAGTAGAGTACTTCCTGTGCCAGCCGCCTATTGGTAACCCGCCCTGGGTTGATGACAAGCAGGTCCGGAAGATGTGGTACGAGGTCGCGGGCGGAGGCTACGTCGAGCTCTCTGCCGATGCCGTCATGTTCAGCGTCGAGGCCATCTATCACCGAAGTCACTGCTGGCTAGCTGCAAAAATTTGGGAGGAAATGGGCAACTCGGCAACTCCACCGCTCGAGGAGCCGGCCCTGGAACCTCTCGAGCCCCCTCGTCCAAATTTCCAGGCGGAAGACAGTGCATTCAACAACGGATCGGGCACCCCTGGCCACAGCTCCCCGTCGCCGCCTCCAGGATCTCCCCAGCTGCGCCCCCGAGCGCGCAATCTCTCTCCAGGTCACCGCCGTACCAGCAATGCGTACCGCTCGAGCATCGTAATGGGCCTTGAGCCTGTTCCTCTCGAGCCGCCCAATATCTTTGGTGCTCATCAGCGAAGTAGTTCTCTTGGCCCACGGCCACCAAGCAGCCGTATAAGCAACCGGAGCTCGTCTGTTGGGAACCTTGTGGGCATGAACACCCCTCGTGCTTCAAGACCAAGCTCTCCGGCCCGGGTTGCGGCAACAGCCGGAACGACCTTTGATGATATTCTGGGACAGCCAGACAAAAAGAAGCCTGCCCAAAAGAAGAAGAGTAGATTCTTCTAACCGCCGCACGTCTTCCTTTTTCCCATATTTCTTGTTTTTCTTTTTTTGTCTGTTCCCTCTTTTCCCTTTTGACTCGAACTTTTCTCACAGCCTCAATACACTCTCTTGGTGAATGACCGAGGCCATTCTCGGTGCCTCTTTTTCCTTTTAATCTTGTTCATTTTCCCGGTACTCACTTGCACATAAAAAAGTTGATCTATCTGTCGGGGCCAGGCATTCGGCGCTTCGGTTCTGTTTCTTGAGGGGTTCTTGCTACACATCCACATTTTAGATTTGGAAATGTTAATAAGGTCATACACGCTGTTGGCATGAAGCCACAGAGGGGCAGGGCAGGATATGACACTCGTTCTGGACAGACGGTGGTTCATCTAAAAACAGAGAGCAGGCATAATAAGCAAGCAAGCAGGCAATACGCGAGCAAGCAAAGCAAGCATGATTTATGAGAGTGGTTAGTTAGACAAGAGGTGCGTTTTGAGTACTTGACTGCTGCTGTTGACGTATAACAAATACATTGGCTTTGTTGTGTACAAGACTACCTTCCGTCATCATCATAATATACATTGGCTTTGTTGATGGCAAGACTACTCCCATCGTTTGAGCCATTGTTTGATGATGTCTCTTTTGATTTGGGTGCGATATGCCGCGAAACCCGGTAATTTTACATCTTGGGGCTTGGGTAAGGGATATAATGAGGTAGGTGAAAACGGTCCCGTGGCTGTGGAAGTGCTTCAATTCGAGTTCAAGGAGCGTGATCAAAGCTATTATTCTTATCGTGAGGTCGTAAATGCTCTCTCTCTTTCTTCCCTCTTAATCATATCCTCCCAGAATTCTCTCTGAGGATTATCTTGAGAGCATCCCTTGACGGTGTTTCCCATGTAATAACCAATTTGCTTCGAATCCAATCCAATCCACCTGCCATTAATCCAAAAGAAAAGCAAAACCAAAAAAAGACGAAACAAATCATTCATACTGAGGGCAAATCCTCATGTTGTGCCCCCGTTTCCCTCCGCAGAGAGAGAGGAAAAAAAAAAGATGTCCATTCCAAATTCACGCTTCAATCCGTCGCCATCTCCCCCTTTCGGTATGCCACCACTTCTCCTTCTCCTTCTTATCGGCCACCTCGCCCTCCTTCTGGTTCCAGCGCCCCGTGCATCCTTCTCTCCCGCCGGCGAGCGCCTCCCCGCCGTCGCCCACGAGATCAATCACGTCGACGAGGCCGCCCTGTTCGTCCGTGGCCCCGTCGTCGGGAAGCAGGTGGTAGGTGATTTTGCTGCCCAGGGTGCCGAGGAAGCCGGCCACGCCAAACGTCTGGGCGACCTGGCCGTCGTCGTCGGTGACGTTGAAGGTGAACCGGGGCACGTCGTGGGCGGCCTCGAGGCGGGCCTGGGCGGCGAGGCGAGCCTTGTGGAGGTCTGTCCCCGGGGACGAGGGCGCCGCGTAGATGGTTGCCGGGAGGGACATTGTCGTGGCGGACTTGTGGATGGGGGAGACGGGGGACGAGGGCGCGCTGAAGGAGCCCGAGGCCGGGAGGTTCGTGGTGGTGCCGCCGACGAGGGTGTTGTGGCGGTAGAAGCGGTCAGTGGGGAGGCAGATGTGGTGGACGGGGCGGCAGAGGGCTTGGAAGCGGGCCTCGGGGTCGTTGGGGGTCCGGAGGACGGCGAGGGCGGGGAAGCCGCCGGCCTCGATGCTGCGGGCGAGGATGTCGTCGGCGGAATTGGTGGTGGCCGGATGGCTGGTGATGTCCCAGTGCAGCTTGACGATGGACGCCGAGGCGAGGTAGGGCATCATCCAGAGCGCGAAGGAGTCCGTCTCGGGCATGACGGGGGGGAAGGACTGCGCGAGGGCGAAGACGCGGAGCGAGGGCAGATGGGAGAAGATGCGGGCGAGGGCCGGGAGGGACGTCAAGGGCGTGTGGCGGAGCTCGAGGCGCTCGAGGCGCGAGGTGTTGGCGCGGGTGGCGAAGGTGGTGAGGCCGCCGGACGTGATGCCGACGATGCGCGAGAGGATGAGGGACTTGAGCGGCGGGAGGGAGAGGAGGTTGTTGTCGTTGAAGGCGTTGGGCGGGAGGTTGCAGAGGTAGGTCAGTGTCTTGGAGAGGAGCCTGTGAGGAGCCAGCGTGGCGCCGGGTTGGCAGAGTATCGACAGCTTGGAGAGCGACGTCCAGTTGCGATGGCTGCTCAGGAACGCGTCTCCTTGGGACGGCTCCAGCATCGACGGGCCGCTCTGCCCCCGTTGCTTCGACGGCGAGTCCGTCCGCTGCTGCTGCTGCCCCTGAGGCGCCGGCGCCGGCTCCAGGATCCACGTCATGTCCTTGAGCGCCGTCCTCGTCGACAGCGCGTGGAAGATCTTCTTGAACGAGTGGTCGTAGTTTGGCGTCGGGCCCGACAGCCTCTCCAGCTTCGGACACGCCATCACGAGCGCGGCCACCCGGTCCTCGTACTGCTCCAGCCACAGCATGCCCTTGGAGGCGGACCAGTTCAGCGGCGGCTCCGGATGCGGGACCTTGAGCGAGCGGACCAGGCCGGCGATGTCGGGGTTGGAGCGGAGGGTGCGTCGGAGGAGGGCCATGCGGTTGCCCTGGTTCTGCTTGAACCTTTTCTTGTGGGCGGCTGAGTCTGAGCCGACGAGCTGTATGTCTTCATATCTGCGGCGTGTCCAACCATTAGCTGATTGAAAGACAGTGAAAGAGATGCAGGTATCAAAGGGATGTCACTTACAAGACTGCACGGGCGTGCTTATACCACCTCCGGCTGCACAAAGCGGCGCTGCACAGATCTCGCATCATACACGTCGCACAGCTGTCACTGCTCTTATCCAGGTGCAACCCCCTCAACGACCGGAGCACCAAGTCGAGCACCTCTCCTGGCAGGAGACTAAAGAGCTCGTCCGGCCGTCGATCAGGCCCGTTCTTGAAGGCCGACCGAATCGGCGACGTCAGGTAGACGTTTTCGCGCACCCAGCTGCTCGTCTCGAGGGTGTTGAGGTGCATCCTGTTCCCTACCGAGGCTGCCCGCTTCCTCGGACCAGTGATTCCTTCTTGAGCCAGAGGAGGCGGCGGCCTATAGACGGGGTTGTTGGTGTGACTGCCGCTTCCAGTAGCAGCAGCAGCAGCGGCAGCAGCACCACCGCGGCCGCCATTGTTCATGTTGTTGCTAGGAATTGCGTTGTGATTGTTATTGTTGTTTGCAGAAGAAGCGCCTGCCAGCTTCTGGGGTCGCTTCAACGCCGCGTGGAAGGCTTCCGGAGGGCCATTCTGGAATCTCGATGGTCCGTTCTGCTGGCCTGGATGCACTGGATATGCCGACGATTGACTCGCCGCCCTCGCCGTTCGGTTCACCCGTGGTACTTGCTCCTTGCTCGACGCTGCACCCGCGCCGTCGTCCGAATGCTCATCTATGGAATAGAGGTCCGCCGCGGTGAAGGCCGGAGGGAGAGGGAAGGCCTTGATGGTGGCTGTCGAGGTCATGATGCCGGGTCTCGCTGTCGTTTAGCATGTAAACATGCGGCACGCGGTTCATCCTGCAGAGGATAAAAAGAAAAGAGAAAAATTGCCGTACAGAAGGGGCAACTGCACCGGTAGCACGTGGAGAGAAGAAGAAGGAAGAAGAAGAAAACCCCGTGATGTCCAGCTGGACAATGTTCTTTGGGGGGGAGGACCCTTTGCCTCTTTCAACCGCGCGCTCTCTCTGGCTTGGTTCTCTTCCTCACGTCTGGCTCGCTTGTCAAACGTCTAAAAGCAAGCAACGATCAGCTGCCCGATCAGCGTCCCCTTCAAGGGTTTTGCAGAAGCGGACTACTAGCCGTAGCGAACCCTGGGGCAAAAGGGGCGGAGAAGCACGTCGTTTTTGATTGATTCTCCCGGGGTGGTCCCCCATGACGAAAGCCTGCGGGCAAGGCCTGTCTTTCTGCTCTTTATTGCATATCCCCCTCTGTGCCTGTCTCTCTGCGTCGTCTCTTGGTGCTAGTACCTTGGTAGTAGTAACCAGCAAAACTGCCACAAATAGGCCAGCTTTCCCCTCTTCGTTTTCGTCTGCCCTCTTCTTCCCAGTCTTTCTTATTCTTTCCCGTTCTTCAACCGCTATGACAACGATTAGCATGAAGAAATCTGGCCCGTCCAGCTGCACGAATCAATGGCTTGGTGTCCATTCTCGTGCATACAGAGTGGGGAGACCCTTTGACGCAGGTACGTGATGCTCGCGCATTGCAGACTGCCGAGCCCAGGCACAGGCACCGATCCAGGGGTAATTCACTTTTGTGGGCATTTAATCAAAAAAACGCCACCCCATCGCAATGCTTCCCGTGGGACAGAGACGCAGCTGCTCTGGGGCCCGCTAGCTTCGTATTGAATAATTTGCCCTTTCCACCCGAGACAAGGGACAAGGGGGGGACGACGGAGGTGGAGAGGCCGACAATTCGTGTTTTGCCTGGATCGGGAAGTGCCCAAGAGGGTTCCCCCCAGTAGTATGTGCTCCGTAGAACTGACGCTACCGTGCCGAAGTGGTATGTATTATTCATTGGTTGTGGGTGGAAGACCCTTGGCCAGGGCAGCTGTTTTTGCGTTCTTGGGCATTGATTGAGCCGGCCCTCACTTCCAAGACGAGGCAAGGCGATGGGATGCCATTACTAGTACCTGCCAGGTCCGACAGCTGCGAATGAAGAAATTGGCCCTTGCGGATGCGGATGCCCTCGCGGCTATCGTGTCGTGCTTCGTCCATGGCTAGTATTTGCGTATGGTGGAGCCCAGCCGCTCAGAAATCTTGGATTCTCGCGGGCGCGTCCTCGCCGTCTAGACTCGGGGCTGAAGAGCCTAGAACTCGCCATGTCCAGCCCTCCGCCGACGTGAAATGGAGCACAACGTCGACTGGCCATCGTCAAAGGCCCGTGCCCTGGACCAGCTCGCTCTGCTAGAGGGCTCTCCCGTCGATGTAGATTCAGCCTCAGGGCGCTTCTTTATGTGGCTGTCGCTGGCTCTAAGCCAAGAGGCGCACTCATCAAACAACGATGGCTGACAACGGCGCGTTCTCTGTAAGCTTCTTGACACGAGGCGCATCCGATCGAATGGCGTGTCTAAGCCATGACAAGGCATCGGGGCTGACTGGGGGCTTCACGAGTGTGTGTCCTAGCTGCATGGCGGAACGGCTGTTCAGCTTTCAGCAAGGCTCTCTTCCCCGAATGAAAGGTTGTCTCACTTGTGTTCTGCCTCACCCGCTTCGTATCCAGGGCACTGAATCATCAGCTTCCCGAATAGGCACGTCATCTCATTGTAATCTGAGTTAGGAACGTAATATTGTCCAATGATCTCGGCGGCATGCTTGATCTCCCTTCCAGAGGCATAATCCAATAAAACAGCGGAGGAATAAAAAAGACTTACATCTTCCTCGCTGAAAGCAAAGCGGCCAGACATCGAGTGACGAAACATCGGTCAATAAAAAAGTGAATCACCTCAAGCACAATTCAGTGAATACCGTAGCATCCACGATCTTCAAATTCACAATAGCAACGTCCCTTATAGTAATCACAAGTCAAACTCATGCCGACCTATAAATAGTCATCGGCTGGTATCACAACATCAAATCCCACCTGTACATCGATCCGAGATGTCGCTGTGTAACAGCCTCAACCTTAGTCAATTGCAAAACGAACTCGCCGAGCCGGCTGAGAATTTGCCTCTTTTTCGGATGTCGCTGCACTGTCGCCTGTCATCATTCCTTCAAATGGCCTCTTCTTAGGGCGTCCCGGCAATTCGTTGCTCGGAGCATGGTGCTCCTCCATAAGAATATCGTCATCAGGGTGCATCGTGACTCCGAAACCTCTTCCGAATACGGCTTGTGCAGTATGAAGCGTAGCCATCTGTGACTTGTAGTTGTCATTGCATGATGCCATCGGAGTGACCTTGGCATTTTTTATCCAGTTGAAGATTGACCGCACGTCCAGGATGGATTTCACTTGGCGATGCTCTGCCTGCGTCATGTCCCTCTTGCGCTCGAGTATGATTTCATCCAAGCTGTTCTTGAGCACGAGCGTTTCGACCCAGACTGGTTTCTTCTGACTGATTCGTCGTACACGGCCTATCGCTTGTGCCTCAACTTGAGGGTTCAAGACTGGATTGATAAAGTAGATTCTCGATGCCTCTCGCATGTCGAGACCAAATGCAGCTTGAGAAAGATCCATGAGCAGAACCCTATGCGCAGTTAAAGCCCGTCATTCCTGGAAGTTGTCAAGAAAAATCACTGACCTGAATTTTTCGTTGTGGTTAAATGTATTCACATACTGCGCTCTCCTTTCTGTCTTTAGGGATTTGGCGTAGATTAGATGCTGAATTTGAAGCTGCTATATGTCAGTATACTTTTTAATTCATCATTCTTTGACAGGTACGAACCACATCAAGCATGCTGGCTAAATACCATGCTACGTTCTCATTCTCGTAAAAGACAATGATCTTTTCTTCTTCCTGGTACTTGACCAGGTTGTCTATCAAGTAAGAGAGCTTTGCGGATACGGTGGCTGTGATCTTTGTCTGCTCAAGAGGTCCGGCGAGGCTTTCGGCAGCTATCGTTCTTGGCTCGATCCCATTGACCCCGTGAGAGCGAGCCTTCTTTGGGCTATCGTCTCCTAGCTTGGTGTTGCCGGCAAGTGTCTCTGAAGGCTTGTCTTTCGACCTGGAGTCCTTCTCAGGAGCTGCCGCACTCAGCAGTTTGGAGCGTTCAAGTGCGCCTTCGGATATCAGTTCGCCATTCAAAAGAGAGTTTAGCCTCTCTGCACTTCCAGCCGCGTTGTAAATTAGTTTCTGAAGGGACAACAACATGCTCGTGGAGGTACATATGTCGTCTTCTGAAGATGCACCGTCAAGCGACCACGACTCGCCAGCATTGCCAGGGAAGCCCGTGACTGACACGGCCATTTCGTGAAATTGATTTGTTAAGTTTCTCAGCTTGTTCCTCGTCGCTAAATGGCCAAACTCGATGGCTTCTTTGAGCATCGACTCATCCTCTGCACTGATGGGGATTTTACGCTCCGCCAAGAATTTCTCAGCAGTTTCCACTGATTTGGCAATTTCATCAGCGGTGAAGAAAGATCCTCCAAAGAAGCTCGCCTGCTTCAAGTTCTGGACGATCTGTAACAGAGCTTTTCTTTGCTTCTGGTGGAAGAAGTAGTCCGCATCTTCGCGCTGCGATTGGACGGAGTTGAATACAATCATCATGGAGAACAGGTTCAATGAAAGCTGATCCTGATAAGAACCGTCAAGAACAACAATCTTCTCGTTCACTGATGGCAGAAGAGTGCCAATCTCCGATATGCGATGGCGAATAATGAGGGAATTGAGCGTGGATTCCAAACAATCCCATCGACCTTGGCTCCTGGCGTTGTGTTTCGGGAGCATCAGATAGGTGGTCCAGTCGGCCAATGTATCACCACTGTCGACAAACGTGTTGGCCCATGGCCGTGCTTTGAGATACAACGCGGTGATAGCTCCAATCCTCTCGAGATCCTTTTTCTCAAGGTCAGTCGAAGATTCGTTAGCCTGGTTTGTTGCACTGTTCGGGGATGGGGCTTGATGGCCATTTGAAACGTGTGAAAGCGCTGCTGCAGCGTCAGGCTTTTCAACTCCATACAGACCATGCGATGGAGTTCCAGTGACGATCCAGCGAGAGGAGAAATGCATCAAATCTAGGCCAATCAGAAGATTGCTCCTGTTGCTCATTCTCGAGTTGCCCAACTTGTGGCCCTCGTCCACAATGCACCGCTTGAAATGGATGGACGAGAAGACAGAGGTCTCCATGCCTCCAAACTGTTTCTGAAGCATCTCAAATCTAGTCTGAGAAAAGAGAAGGATGTCATACGTCAAGATCTCCTCGCGCGATGGAGTCTCAGTCTGCTTTCCAAGGACCAGCACCTTGAGCCCCTCGCTGTGTTTCTGAATCTCCTGTTTCCACTGAGCGACAAGGTTGTTGGGAACAATAACAACCGAGGCCTGACTCAACCATATCTTCTTGGGTGGCACATGGCATGGAGTCTTGTATCGGCTACCACGGCGTGGTTCTGGGGCGGGGAGGAAATAGTGCCCGGGATTTCTTGAAAGGGCGTCGTTGCAGTGGCTGAACTCGTAACCATAGTGATTTCTCCACGCTTCGAAATGGGACTTCCAAGGAACGGCGTGGCGTGTAGCACATGATGCTGCCATGTCCGCCAGAGATGCAATCCTTCGTCTGATCGGCGGTTCGCCGGCTTTGTAAAAGTCGGGCGGGCTTGTGGGCAAATGCATCGTCGCGAGTATCAACGCAAGGCAGATCACTGTTTTGCCCGAGCCCATCTCTTCTGCCAGGATACCTCCAGATACTGCATCGTAATAGCGTGGCTCCAACAGGACTGTGCCGGTGGCTGGATCCAGATACCAAGACGAACCACGTGTGTCTTTCAGATGCAACAGTCGCGGGTCAAGATTCTGACCGGGCTGTGCCTCCTTCTGTAGCATCAAGGCTGCGGATCTTCTTTGGTAGAGATATAACTCGGTTTTGAGCCCAGGCACTGTGCTTTCCATGAGGTTGTGCATCGCATCCTGCGTGTATGGCTCAGATATAGAGCTCGCATCTGGGCAAGGCGAGGGAATGGTGTTGAATAGTTGCAGGAGAGATATGTCTTTATCACTGTTGGCAGAGTTTGAATCTCCGAGGACGGGAAAACCACTCTCATCTGGCTCCTTGACGGCTTTCCAGGCGCATGGTGAGTAGTCGAGGGAGCGGAGGACTTGGATTCTCGTCTTCTGCAAATTTGAGTCGGAGCGATCTACCGAACGACGCAGAACGTCATCCGGAAGCAGATACACTCTGACGAGTCCAAGCTGCTCTTTCACGGTGCTCACGCAGAATTCAAGCTTGCACCAGCGGGCTTGAAACAACTTGCTAAGCGGCAGAAGCTTAGAAGAGCTGAGGAGCGATTCCTGGACGTTGGGATGGAGATGCGGCGTATCAGATGCAGTAACATTCGCGCCACCGTTCGAAGTACCGTCAGGTCGAGAAAAGCCTCTCCAAGTCCGATGTTCTCTGGACAACCAGACTTCTGGGTTGATGTTGCTCTCATGCTGTGAAATCCCAATGCATCCAACAGGAATATACGGAACCGGTTGCGAAGGCATGGTGCTGCCGGAGTTGATCGTCCTGTCACGTCCTCCTCCTCAAATCCAGGCCATGGGACGATTTCAAGAGACTGATGCCGTGAAGTCGTCTTTAGAGATCTTTGGCATCACATTTCGATAGGATAACGTGATGCTGTGTGAATATGTTGGGAGATAAGCGTTGGAGGGAATGAAGGAGAAGTTTCGGGGTTAAGATCTGATCCTTCCCTGAACATATCGGAGTGCTGCCTACTACAGTGTCGATTCTTAGGCTAAACGGTAACCGCGATTCACGCTTGCGTGAATAAGCACAGTGCGCAATATGCCACCCATCGTCTTCGATTCTCGCTCCTTCAGGCTGAATACAGTATGCTCTTATTCACTCCAATAAGATGCATTGAGACGTATATAACTCCCTTTGAAGCTTTTCGTAATCTTTCGTTCTATTCCCAACGCTCTAGTAAACCGACATGCCATTGCTGAAATAGCCGCTCAGAGGCGGGCATCAAGCTGTTACTCTCCTGGAGAACCTGCCGAGCTGTCTTGATAGCAGCAGCTGGGAAGCTAATTTCCTGGACGCCTGAAGTCATGGAATCGACGAGGCTGTTCCCTTGCTCTACATCAATATCTTGGTACAGAATCTTGATCGCCGTCCGTCTTCCTTCGCGCAAGGTAGATGTATACACGACATTGGCATTGAGTACCCAGAGGTTGAGAGACTGGGTCTGTTCCAACTGCGCAGTTGTATCAAACGTATGTGATGCCACGACCGACTTCGATGAGCCTGACCGGGATATGGTCGCTATCAGAGTCGCTGCCAGGCACTCTGAGCTGCTTGGGGCCTTGCTGGGCGAAGCGGTTTCGCAAGCCACTTGCCACTTGAACAGGGTTATGGATGATGCCAGAGCATTAAATAGTCCTATTTCCGAAGCGCAAGCCTTGCAAGAGATACTCAGCGGCTTCACTGGATCAGCTCCGTCAATGGCTTCTTTGCTGGTATCGAAAGAGGAATCCGTGCTGGGGCGAGAGAACTGCTGGCGGTAAGCTGAACCGTCCTACGGGGCGGGAAACGAATACAATACGACCAAGTTTACGTAGATGATGAATATATCTCCTTTCATCTCCCGAATCCCACATCTCTGGAAATCTGGATGAAAAAGTAAGAGACTGCTTTAACAACTCCGATGCTTAACCCGTTCTCGCTAAAGAAGGGTACCAGCACCAGAGTTGCCCACGGCGAACCATGGGAAAGCAACGCATTCTTCTTGGGGAATTGTATCGGTGGCCGGGTCACTGAAGGTGTTTCCACACTCGACTGGGCCACCTTCTCTTTCCCCGTCGTCTCCGGGAAGGCAGAGAGCAACGTGGGGGCGCTGGTGATGACTTACCGATAGACCGTCACAGTCCGACTCCGAAAACATCAAGGAAGTGAGGTCCACAAACCCGATCCCAGGCTGGGCGGTGATTGTGCTATTGGCTCCGTATCCGCGCTTGGACAGCGCGTCGCCGTCGTGATGCTCGTGCCCGTGGTCGTGAGGCTTATGGCAGTGCCAGAACTCCATCATCTCTGCCCAGTTTTCGCTGGGTAAATCTTTCCATGACTCTATACGGCCTCGTTGTACAATCTCAACGCCGCACTTCCGGCAACATATACTAGAACCGACCTTGAGGTCCGTAGAACTCCAAGGTATTGACTGGTTCTCAGCAGAGAATCTTGTCGATTGCGTTTCGGTGGCTGGTACTGGCAGCCTCCAGGCCAGCTCTTGCGAGCTGCTCCCCGGTATGGGAATCGTGGAGCGCACGAGAACACTGGCTGGAAGATCTAGTGCTTTAACTTCGCCTTTGTGATGCACCTGAATGCGGCGGCCATCATCGAGGATCTCGGCCTTGGTCGTCGAATCCGACGGCGACGAGAGCGTGGCTCGGACCGACACTTGTCTGATGTTGGAGAGCAGCTCGGCATATATGGAGCGGATGGCGGTGTCTGATTGCGCCATATCCAGCTCAGCATTGATCTGCCGGCAGAAGTTCTCTTCAAGGTGCGCTGCGACAGGTGGAAGAGAGATGTCAAGTTGGTCAAGGCTGAAGGCCGCGGCTACAGTACTGGAGCTTGAGGCTGGAGTTGAGGCTAAGCGATTTCTCTTGTGGCTGGAGCTCAAAGTACCCGCTGTAGCACAAAGACGCGACGCGTGACTTGTTGCGTCACTGACTAACGGCTGGGCAGGCGCAGAGCAGAAGCTCCACCATGATGCCATCCCCACATAATGCGGCCAGGACGGAACGATTCCATGATCCTTGTCAGCGAAGTACTACTTTGTTGTATTCTTTGCCCCAACAACTGCCCTGGGAGTTTGACGATATCTTCTTCTGAATCACTTCTTTCGTCTTCCTTCTCATACCAGCAAAGATGTCGGGCATTCTTTCGTATATTCCTGGTGCGAGCCTGCTGGTGGGCGGCAGACCCAAGGCCATTGATCTGCCATCAGTCGAGATTCATCACATCGAAACAATTGCTGATAGACGGGCTCGATGTCTGAAGCACCTGCTGAAGGCAAACCATGCCAATTATGCCATACTCTTCAACAATCTCCGGTTTGACAACCACAATGTCCACATCCTCAGCTCGGCCTATCTGCTTGGGGCAAATGAGAACCAGCTGCATGACATTTACAATGACGAGATCCAAGATCTAGTGCCCTGGGAGCCATCGCCATCCGAGCTTATTGATGAGGATTGGAGAGATTTCTTAGGAGACAAAAGGTATCAGAGGGCCTTTTTGGATTATTTCGAAGATAAGCTTGCCATGGAGTTTGCATATGATTGGAAGCAGGAAATGCAGCACTTCCTGTTCAGCGGCGAAGAGCCGCTGTTTCATGGCTTGATAGGCGGGCGTAAGAGTCCCCAAGGCGATGCTGGTTATGGCGATGTAGTCGCAGCTAACAATTGACAGTTGGCCATCCGCTCATCCACCTCGGGTATGCATATGAGGTCGACAGCAGAGAAGTTGCCATGGAGGCGCTTGCTCTCACATGCGTCCAGTACAACTTCTTCCACAAGTATCTTGACAATCGCGCATATACCAGGCCGTCTCCGCTCAAGTCCAAGGCACCGTTGGACCTCCTGACTCAGCTGTCCAAGGATGACAGGTTTGGCAAAGCACCGGAGGATCTTGGCGACCTGGAGGAGTTCCTCGAGAAGAACGAGTCGCCGTTCCTGGAGTACTGGAACGGATGGGATGTTGATGACGACCCTAAGAAACAATTCGAACTGTCTCAAGAGGCAGCCGTCGCGCTGTTGGTGGCCACCGTCCCACCTGGCACCCACGCATACGACTTTTTTATCGTTCACCTCTTGACTACCAGCCATGCTGTCCGGATTCTTCTGCCATTTGTGCCACCAAAACACCACGTTACTCTGGTAAGGGAGTGGTGGCTCTTGGTTCTGGCCATGTTCATCGTCAGGGGCCGGCCCTTGCCGGATCCTGACAATGTGGAGAGCGATTTGAAGGGAAAGAATTGGAAATACGTGGCAGACAAGGCGCTGAACTCGGCATGGTCAAAGGACGCACATTTCGTCAAAGGTACGATTTCACCCTGGCGTTACAGCTGCAAGCAGAAGGCATGAGCACTGACACTGATGTCCACAGCGGTACGAGCCATGAAGGAGGCTGCTCGGACATGGGGTGATGTTCACGAGCGCTATCTTCGAGCTGCAGTGACCTTTGTGGAGAATTTCCATGGATGGGTTCGTTGAACGGGCGAGGGTCTTTACTGAGTGAATGAACTGGACAGCCGCAGAATGGATTATGAGGCATGGATTACGCATGTGACGACAAATTGTACATGAAATATGAGGCTTAGGATAGTCTATGTTCTCAATTCCTATTGTAATTGCTGAAATCTCTATAGAGATCGTATCGGGCAGAGGAGGTGATGCACTGATGCTTATCGTGCTCCTTCAACTTGAGCTGCCTGGTGACTGCCTAATGGACATACAGTGCAATTGGCCAACACTAGCATACTGCACTGTACGCGAACTACTCGTCCAGCTACGCATGTCGAGATCGCAAAACGTTTCTTCAGCATCAACTTCAGACTCTCTTTACTTGTACCCCCTTCAACGCCCTCTCTGGGTGGTATTCGGCCTACGGTGTGCCCCGTGCTCTGGCCTTGCATGATATTCTCACAGCACCGATGATACAGTCGCGTTAATGGCACCGCCTGCGAAGCGTCGCCGGCGGAATACCGTTGAGGCGTCCGACGATGAAGACGAGCAACCCAAGGCCAATACCTTGACAAATTTCCTTCTGTCTTCGCCCAGCTCGCCGGCAAAGGCCAGAGCGCCCACAGCGTCTCCGAGTCCCGCGAAAAGAAAAACGGCCAATGGCCAACAGCCGCCCAGCAACGGCAGCCCTCTCCGGCCGTCGCGATCAGTCAAGAATGGCACGAGCTTCAGCCCTAAGAAGACCAGGGCCGCGAGCAGGGTCGACGACAAGGGGAAGACGGCAGATTTGAAGACGCTCTTTTCCAAGCAGGCACAGAAAGCGACGAGGCCGCGCGTGGGAGCCGATAGAACGACGGAACCGATAGACGACTTGATTTCCGATCCCATATCCGACGATGACGAGATATCAGAGCGCAAGGCTAGCTCCTCCAGCTTGATCGGGCAGCATGTAAGGAAGCGGTTAAAGGGCACCAGCGGCGCCGACCTGCCCGTCGCCAGTGGCTCGTTGACCATGAGCCCAAGGTTCCTTAAGCCCAGTCGGCCGGCAGGTATAGATGCATTGAACGATGATTTGCGGCCGTGGTCGGAGCGATTTGGCCCGCGGAACCTAGACGAGTTGGCCGTACACAAGAAGAAGGTGACAGACGTGAGGAGATGGCTTGAAGACGTCATGGGAGGCCGGATGAGACAGCGGCTACTGATCTTGAAAGGCGCCGCCGGCACTGGAAAGACCACGACGGTCCGTCTCTTGGCAAACGACATGGGGTGCGAGATTCTAGAATGGAAGAATCCAGCAGGCAATGCAGTAAACGGCTTCGTCTCGGCGTCCTCGCAGTTTGAAGATTTTCTGGGACGAGGAGGAAAGTTTGGTGCTCTGGATCTGGAGGACGCTGAACCATCGTCCACGCCAGCGAGCTCAAACAAGCCCTCGCAATCACAGCAACCAAGTAGCAATGGCAAGAAGATTATTCTCATTGAAGAGTTTCCCAACACCTTCTCTCGAAGCTCGACAGCTTTATCTTCTTTCCGGCGCACCATCCTACAGTATCTGGCTACACAAACACCATCTCTACATGCCTTTGGCCACCAGAGACCAGCGGATCCCATCACACCCGTTGTACTCGTGGTGTCAGAGACGCTGCTGACGACGACGTCTGCTTCAGCCGATAGCCTGACCGCCCATCGACTGCTCGGACCCGAGATTCTGCGCCATCCAGGAGTCGGGCTCATCGAGTTCAATCCGATAGCGCCATCGTTGCTGGCGAAGGCTTTAGAGGTCGTCGTGCAAAAGGAGTCGCGAAAGTCAGGGCGTAGGCGAACGCCAGGACCGCTGGTTCTTAAGAGGCTCGGCGAGATTGGGGACATTCGCAGCGCTATTTCGTCGCTCGAGTTCCTCTGCCTGAAGGGAGACCAGGACGCCGACTGGGGATCCAAGGTGACGTTTGCAAAGCAGAAGAAGGGGGCGAAGGATGGCATCCCCCTCACGCGTGGCGAAGAAGAGAGCCTTGAACAGATATCTCAGCGCGAAGCCAGTCTGGGCATCTTCCATGCTGTTGGTAAAGTGGTGTATAACAAGCGTGACGAGATGCCGTCCAACGATCCTGCAGAGAAGCTACCGGGCTACCTTTCACAGTATTCGCGCCCGAAGCCATCACAAGTGTCCGTCGATACGCTGGTCGACGAGACGGGCACCGATACGCACACATTCATCTCGGCTCTGCACGAGAACTACGTGCTATCCTGCGAAGGCACGGACCCTATGGACCTTTCGACCCCGATAGATTATGTCAACGAATGCATCGAGTACCTTTCACTGGCTGATCTGCTCAGCCCTTCTCGGGACGTCTTCTTTGGTGGACGCGGGGGCTATGGGGGGACCTTTGGAGGAGATTCGGCCAGTCATGTTCTTCGCCAGGACGAGATTACGTTTCAAGTTGCGGTGCGCGGCATGCTGTTTTCGCTGCCTAATCCAGTCAAGAGAAAGACGTGGACCATGCAAAAGGGCAGTGATGCGTTCAAGATGTTTTACCCCACGAGTCTCAAACTCTGGCGAACAAAGGAGGAAATTGAGGGCTTGATTGACGTTTGGTCTGGGAAAGTCCTCAGGGGCGAGGCTGAACTTCCGACGAGGAATATCATGGACGGTGCCAGCATCTTTCGCCGCAACCAACCCTCTGGGGTCTCGAATCAAGACCAGAAGCCAGCGGTCAAGGAGCGCGAAGCCCGTCAAAAGGCAGAGCCGCGCGACAGTCCTCCGGTACCTACGCTCGGCAGCACGGCTCGCCGAGAACTGCTCCTCGATCGACTCCCGTACATGGCACAAATTGCTCGGGGCTGCAAGCCGGGGTCATCACGCCAAAAGGACCTTGAAAAGATTGTTTCCTTTTCCGGCGTGAACGTGGCACTCGACGACGACGAGTCTGATGTCGATGAAGATGCCACGACGACGACGACGGGAGAGACGTGGGCGACGGACAAGCCCTCGGAGGAGATCAGTCCCCGGAAGAAGAGGGTGGGCATCAAAACTGGTGGTGCTGTTGCGGGGATGCTGAAACAGAAGCTTGTTTTGAGCGATGACGATATTGAGGATTAACGAAGGGGCTGCTGGTGTTTCTCATGTTTTTTTCACGGATGGAATGATTTTTTTTTGTCTTGCCTTTTCTCCCTCCCTATCTTTCTGTTTCCACTTGATTTGCTTGAGGAGATGGGGGAGCGCATGGGAAGAACGTGGAATTTATGACGCCCCAGGTTAAGGGGGCTCTAGATCGGGGCGTCTTATAAAGGGGGGGCAACCTGTGGTATGGGATTTGTTTGCAGTTGATGGTATTTCCACATGGAGGAAGCCATTTTGAAAGTTTACATCTACACAAGGGGGGCGTCACCTCGAAGAAGTGATGTGAGAAAGATAAGGTAGCTCAGATAGATAGCCAGCCTGGCGTAGCTCCAAGCACCTTGATGGAAGCTTTCACTCCCACTAGGGACATCATGTAGTTCTGTCTAAGTGATTTACCTTCCGAGGGGGATGGGGGGTTTCAAACAAAAGCATGAAGAAACGCAAATTGAACGACGACGAGGATGATAAGAAAGCCCCTGCAGGTTTGTATAACATTTGTATCATTGCCACAATAGAAAAGTGAAAAAAGCCCACCAGACGCCGTTGCATAATCTCTTTGAATCCCAAAAACGCCAAAAGATGCCCATCTCGCTCTCGTTCCCTCTACTACCCTCCTGTTTGCATATGCACACAACTCACGAGACTAGATTTGCCGCGACAAAAGCCTAAACGCATCATCAAAGGTTCCCTAAGTCAGCCAAAAAAAGATTTATAATGAAAAGGGGACAGCCCTGAGGGAGAAGGGGAGAAAAAAAAACTTACGGGAAACTCCTTTTGCAGCGAATTAATCACACTCTCGACATCCTCGGCCAAGCCCTCGACGTTGGCGTCCCACCGCCGCAGCTCCTTGTTGGCCACGAGGTCGGCGCGGCGGCTGCCCTTTTCGCCCGAGGCCTCGCCGCCCTGCTGGAACCAGACGGTGCCGTCGAGCTGGTCCATGCGGCCGACGAGGCGGCCCTGCTCAATCATGCGGGCCGTCGTCTCCTCGGCGTTGGCGGCGTCGAGGCCGAGCAGCTCGCCGAGGGCGTCGAAGCGGATGTTGTTGTAGAGGCGCGAGACGCCGAGCAGGTTGTGCTCGACGACGGCCTTGGCCAGGACGGTGGAGCCGTCGGCGGTGGTGGCGAGCTGGTGCGGCTGCAGGCCCTCGGCGAACTTGTCGACCTCGGCGGGCGACAGCAGGCGGTCGAGGAACATCTTCTCGAGGATGCCGAACTCGGCGAGCTGGGCGGAGCGCTCGTCCTTGTAGAGGCGGCCGAGGATGCGGCTGCGCATGGGCCCCGCGGGGGCGAGGATGGCGCACTTGACGGCCATGCTCAGCGTGTGCAGGCGCTCGTCCTCGGCGACGGCCGGGAAGAAGCTGATTTCGTGGTAGCGCTGGGCGGCGAAGAGGAAGTCGCGCTTGGCGTCCTGGATGCGGGCCTGCGACAGGCGGAAGTGCAGGTTGAGGTCCGGGTCGGAGACGGTGTGCATGATGTTCTTGAGCTTGTTGACGTAGACGTCGGCGGCGGTGTCGTCGCCCACCTCGAGGTAGTTGCGCACGATGCGCACCCACACGCGCGCCTTGTCCTCGTCCGAGACCTTGCGCTGCGAGCTGTCGAGCGGCATCTCGGCCAGCGCCTTGGCCGCCTCGAGGAAGTCGTCGCGGTTCTCGTGCGCCGTGGCCAGCAGCTCGTAGATGGTCGCCGCCGCGTCAAAGTACGACGACGGCTGCGCCGCGAGCTTGCCCAGCGTGCGGGTGCCGACGTCGATCCACAGCTGCTCGCTCTCGACGCCCTTGAGGGTGTTGACGAAGGTGGTCAGGAACGAGCGTGAGGCGACGAGGCCTGGGCTCTGCCGGAAGAAGGAGTCGAAGACGGCGTTGAGGTCGGCGGCGGTCGGGGCGTTGGGCGCGGCGAGCGAGTGGATGTCGGCGAGGATGGACTCGTAGCGGGCGGCGGCGGCGGCCTTGTCGTCGCCAGAGGCGGATTCCGCGTTGGCGATGGCCGCGGTGATCTTTGGATTGGGCTCCATGGCGGGCTGGATCTGGAGGGAGATGGAGATGGAGGTTTGGGAAGGATGAGGGAGAGTCGGAGTTGGGTTGGAGTTGAAGACGAGGTTGAGGTTCGGTGGTTGAGTCGACGTGCATTTGGCGGGGCAGCACCGAGCTATAGCGGGGTACCCAGTACCTTACCTTAGTCTAATGGAGAGCTCCCAGAGGTCAACGCAGGCAAACACACGAGATACCAGACAGTACGGCAATCACATGCACACATGTACTCGTATACTGGAGGTTTTAAAAGAGCACAAGAGAAGAAATCAGAGTGATGGTTTCTATGCAGATACCGATCCAATCTACTTCCACTCTCGTCCACGCTCACGCCGTGTATTGAAATATTGCGACATGCCCAAAACACCAAGATAAACGCCCTTTGATACATAATGGCAGCAAGCACAAAAACGCCAATATACCCATTCGAGAAGAAGACGCTTTGATACCAAAACCCCCCCTCACGCAATCCAAGTCCTCTACTTGTTATGCCAAAGCAGCGTCCTCAACGAGTCCCACTGGTCGCAGTCCTTGTAAATGTACGTCATGCTGCTCCGCAGGCTCGACTGCAGGTCCTCGGGGTGGTGCTTGAACAGCAGCATGACCAGCCCCCACGACAGCGACGCGAACGCGGGCCAGGCGTAGTGGCTGATGCGCGAGTGCAGCGGCTCGGCGGACACGACGGGCAGGCCGTGGCCCGGCTTGACGGCGAGGCGCGCCAGGGCGAGGGCGACGCGGGCGAAGATGTAGATGACGATCTGCTGGTTGACGGACGAGATCTTGCCGTAGCGCTTGGAGCGCTGGCCGAAGACGATGTAGCCGCCGAGGAGGCCGGCGAAGAAGGAGTCAAAGGGGCCTTTTTTGCAAGCGATCCACGAGTTTCTTTAGTGACGGGAAGCGAGATGAAGGAAGAGAGAGGGGTGGGAGAAGAACGACATACCCTCCTTGCCTGGCGTGGCGCCATAGCGCTTGAGGGCCAGCATGGTGAGTTTGTATATCGATGCGAACTTGGCCAGGTTCGTGGCGTGCTTCTTCGTCGCCCGGAAGACCAACGATGCCTTTTCCCGGAAGCTACAAGTTTTCATTTCCACTCACGTCAATATTTCAACATTTGCATATGGCCCAGTATATCCACCATCGCGTCGGTATCGGTATCGGTATCGTCAGATGAAAAGGGGGGATTAAAAACGTACGTTCCAGACCGGAAAAGAAAAATCATCCTAGTATTCGCAATCCGCATCAGTCACCACCACACTCTCTCTCGCATTTTCATGTTTCCCATTCTCATATTTTGCAAAAGAAAAACTCACACCAGCGCGTGCGGAAACCGCACCTTTGTCCCGTACACCGCGCCGTTGCGCGCCGTCTTGAGGAGGGAGAGGACGTCATGGTACGCCGGGTCCTGGATGATGCCCTCGAGGAACGCCTGTAGCCAGCCAATCAACCGAACCAAAGAGTCAGCCGTTCAGTCTCTTTTCTTCTCTTCTCGTCACACTATTCCCCAGAAGAGGTGCATCGCATTGCAGTCGCATCGCAATCGCATCGCCATACCTTCCACTCCTCCAACATCCACGAGGCCGCCATCGATGCTGCTTGCCTCGGCCTCGGCTATTGTCGCTTTCCGCCAAAAAAAAGGATCGAATCTCTCCGCGAGCACCGCGTACACCACAAAGCGCAGCCAGCGATCAAGCTGGTAGAAGAAACTAACAAATACTATAAGAAGCAGGAGATGGTCCGAATCGGTGTCGCATTGGAGAGGGAAGTCGAGGGTTTCAGTTGTTGCATGTCAGGACGAGGATTGATTGTAAGAGGGAAAGGCACGGGTTTAGCTGACTACTACTACTAGCTTGTGTCTGTCCGGCTGCCGACTTTTGAGCCTCGGCCTGGAAGTTGATGCGACTTGACGCGGGAAGGATAAATATGGAGACGGCCCCGGAGAATTGAAAGGGCTAGACGTCACCTCTTTTCTTCTTGTTAGTGACAGCAGCTGACAAGGTCCCTGGAGCTGAGTGTCACTGAGAGGGCGTTGGTTGGACTGCTTTCACATGTGATTGTGCTCACTAACCCTCTGATCTATTACATCCCGTCGTCCAATCCAACATCCATCCACTGTACATACATACATGCCTTAGTAAGAAGCGCAAATACGTATCCAGAAAGGATAGAGAAGTACCCAGTTAAACCATTTCTATATGGATAAAAGAAAGATAGCAAGAAACATCCTAATATAAAGATGAGGCCTCAATGTCTATACAAATTAGCAGCCACCATCAACCCCATACAAAAAGGGAGTGGCTATCCAGCACCCCAACTTAGCTATCCAACACCCCATAGTACTTATAAATGTATGGCAAGGTCACCCTGTAGCATATACCTTGCTCTTCGCTAACTCAGCACCGACACATAAAGTACAGGTACTTTCTTCTATATCAAGACTTCAAGAATGACGCATCATTCTCAGAGCAGATATAAGAAAAAAAGTAGCTAAGACTATTTTTCTAATGCGTGGCTACGCAGGCGTGTAGCTTTTATTGCAGATTTGCTTTTTCTGCGCTGATATTAGCTGGGAGTTGTGATTGGGCGTATGTATGCCTTAGTATATCACACTAAAAGTTTAGGGTGTTAGATAGCCAAGTTGGGGTGCTGGATAGCCACTCCCTACAAAAAGAACCATCAACACCACCTCTCCCACGGCTCCCGCCACTTGACCCCCAAAATCTCAAATATCCTCCTCTCATCCCTCCTCTCCACAACCTCCCCCTCCGTCACCTTGGCCCGCAAAGGCCCCGCGCCCCTCAGCACGTCCCTGTACAGCCCCCGCTGGTTCAGCCGCATCCCCTTCTTCGACGCCAGCAGCCGCATGCTGCGGTTGAAGATGTCGTTGCCCGTAAAGTAAATCAGCGCCGCGCCGAGCTCTGCCTCTGGGACGAGCAGGAAGTCGATTCTCCTCCATATCGGACGGCAGTAGTAGTCAGCATCGCTTTTGCCTTGACCACTATTGACATTGGGTGTCTCTGGTAGCACGCAGCAGCCGTGCCACTTGCTTCCATCGCCGCCAGCCCGCGACGACGCCAGTCGAGCCACCAGGAACCCATCCCTCTCCAGCCGATCGACCAACTTGTTCAGAAACGGCTTCAGATCTGCCACGGACTCCGTCCCCGGCCGCGTCACGATCAGATCGATATCATTCGAGCTCTCTGCCCCTCGCCGATAACTGCCCCCAACAATCACCTGCACCCTCGCATCGATCCGTCCCGCAGCCTTCCTGACAACCTCGCCCAGCGCAGTCACCTCGCTCCGCGGTATCCGCGTATTCAACTCCTCGTAATGATCCACGCCAATCCTCTGGCTGGGCGTCAACTTGGCGTGCGTCCTCACGTCGTCGAGCGTCCGCCAGCCCTGCGCGATCCACTGCTCGGCAACCTTGTTCCCCACGCCGTAGATGCCCAGAAAGGTCTGCAGCGCGTGATCGGAAGGCTCTTTTTCTGCGTATTCGAGCCGCTTCAGCTTGTCTGTCGTGACAATCTCTTCAATCTTTTGCGCCAGCCGGCGGCCGATGCTGGGGAGCCGGTAGGCTTCCTCTTCGGTGGTGATCTTGACAGTTTGCTGCTTCAATATAGTGATGGCTTTGCGATAGGCCATTGTTCGCCAGTGGTCGTTGATTCTCTCATAGTAGCTGTTCATCTTTTGCAAAACTTCGATGGTGCGTGCGTTTGGGTTGTCTTGGTTGGCGTCCTTTCTGCCGGCTCTGTTGCAAGCGAAGCGGTCCTCGAACGCTATCGTTTTGCTCGTCGGTCGAGTCCGCCGAGACGACCTCCTCTGCCGCGGTGAATCGTCCCCTGATTCAGCCTGGTGATTGAGATCCACCGGGGCTTCTGTTTCATTTGCCGTAGGCTGAGCATCCTCCTCCTCGTCGACATCCAGGGGTAGATCCTTGTACTCTTGCATCATCGAGATGTACTCGGACAACTCATCTTTCTCGTCCTTCGAAGCAATGTGATTCTGCATATCCGCATCGTCCCGTGACAAATCCTTTGTCGTCTCCTCGCCATCTTCCACATCAACCACAACAGCCTGGGATTCCATCGCCACCACTCCCGCAGTCCCATTCCTCGTCCTAGGACCGCTCAATGACGACTCCTCCGTCTGAGAAGGCGTCCCCTTTGGCGGAACATGATCCCACTTCGCCTTGTTACGAGGCGCCGGCTTCAGCGGCAACGAACTCGCCCTCGCCTTCGTCTTGGTCGTCTCCTCAACTATCACATCCGCAGCATGAGGAGTCGTAGGCTCACTCTCCTTCGCTCCCACAGCCGGCTGCCCATTCAGCAAATACTTGCGCTGCCCAGCATCGACAATAGCCCGAAACTGGATACAATCCAGCGGATAGTCCTCATTCACCACCCTCGGCATCTCCCTGCCCTCAAACTTCTCCCTGGGCAGCAGCAGCAGCATCCTCTCCACGTCCTTCCACTCGAGCTTCTTCTCCACCACGACATGCGTGGCCGCCGTCAGGTCCCTCGTCCAGACAGCCCCGAATTCTCTCGCCCTGTTGATGCGCAGCCGCCTGACCGGCGCAATGTCATTGTCCGGGACGTAAAAGAAGGACAGGCCCCTGAATATCTGGTCCTCCTCGGGCCGCACCTTTGGCCCCGACAGGCGCCCCTTTTTGCTGCTGCCGCGCGTCATCGACTTCGTCATGCCCGCCTTGACGTTAACAGACGGCGATGAAGACGATTCCTCAGAGGCGCTCTCCAGCGGCCTCTTCAAGGACGTGGATGTTCGCGGCAGCAGAGGAGTGTCTGCGACGACAATCACATCGCCGTCTCTGTCTTTCGGCTTCCCCGTGCCGACGACACAAGGCGTCTCATGGACAACTTCCGCACTCTGATCGAGTAGCGCAGCAAGTCTCCCCTTGGGCCTCTGCTTTCCCGGCCCAGTCCCCTTGACAACTGCGGGCTCAGGCCGTGGCGGGGGGATGACCTTTCGAGGGGTAAGGTGTCGGAGCCGATTTGCTTTCAAGGAGACCTGTTCTTGCTGCTTTGATGGCTGCTGTTGCTCTGTTCCCTGATCCCGTGGTGATTTCTGTGTCATGCCATGCTGGTCAGAAGCGCGTGAACTCGGCGCAGACTGGAAGAATCTCCGATGGAGCTCCCTCTGCGCCTCTTCGCGCGCATCAAAGCCGTCGTCGTCGTCGTCGTCTCGTTTCTCGTGTACACGCCCATCGTAGTAGATACGAGATAGATTTGATAGTTGGTCAAAGTAAGCCGTCTTTGATTCTATCGATCCCGGGACCATGGTATTCCCAAGTAAAGAAGTGGATGATGAGCGAGAGTTAGAATGTGTGTCGCATTGAACGCAACTTTCAGATCGTTGTCCGATCCAATGTTTTGAAACGAAAGAGACAAAGAGCCGTGAAAGTGGCGAGTTTGTCAGGGCAAAGCAACGAGTCCCGTTCCAAAGCTGTCATTACCCCTTTGTTCCGTGAGAGGCTTAGAGCCTCGTCGATGGCAACATGGCCGAGTACAAAGAGCAGCCCCAGAAGATAGCAAGCTAGATGGTGACAGCAAGCGTTTCGTTCAATGCTGTTGATTCTGGTGTCAAGAGTATGTTGAAGTGAGAAGAATCACGCATCTCGACTGCCTCCACTGCTGACTGATGCCTTCAGCGCCATCTACAGCGCCCTCTCCAGGCAGCAACGCGCTAACAAGCCCTCAATCATCGCTGTAAATTTCTGTGTACCCGCTCTAACCACCATTGGATTCATCCGCCCGCTTACACACCACGCTGTCACCACAACATCAACTCAACTCAACCCCCCCTAAAACATCCTCCTCACAAACCCCCCTAAACAAACGCACCACCCATTCAACCTCCCCCAGCACCTCACACGCCCTCCCCACAAGAAACAGTATCAAAACCCAGCTCACCATCCGACACCTCTTGATCGCCAAACCACACCGTCCTCGGCGATGATGATGATCCGCCAAGTGCACTCGCCGCGCATACTCGTGAATATCCTACCTTCTGTAGACGGCGTACAGGATCTGCAAAGACACACACACACTCAGACATCAGCTTTCTTCCTTCTCTTTTCATGTCCCTTGAAGAAAGAATAGTAGACAGAACTCAATAGTTTTTCCTTGAGGGGGTTTTCTTACCGTGTCCAACAAGTCTGTAAACGGCGACAAAAGCCACAGCAGGAGAAACGCCTGGTGCGGCATCGTGCCCACGGGGAACCACCACTCAACCGCATCCTTCACCCATTCTTTTCCCACCCAACCTGCAGCAAACACATCCATATGTCCAGCCGTAGACACCAAACAAAGGACTAGAGCCGCAATGTCGATGACATACAGCACCGTCCAAGTCTCGCCCACTCGTGGGTCATGTAGAGATGATACAATCATCTCGTGGGCTTCAACGTCCGGCCTCTATCCAAGACAAAACATTAGCATCCCATTCTCAAACCCCCGCCCTTTTCTCTCTCTCTCTCAATTCAGTGCGTCAATAACAGTAACGCAAGCAAAACTCACATCAAACCAAAGCGGCATCAAAACCCCCCCAAAAACCACCGTCCCCAACCCCCTCACCACCACCCCCTTCCCACCCTCATCATCATCAACAACCCACAACACACAATCCCCAACAACCCACACCATCAACCCCGTCCCAGCCCAGAACCAAACCTCTCTCCGCTCGACAACCACCCGCACAGCCCCCCCAAGTACCCTCTCCACGAAACCCCCTCTCGCACGCTGCACCCTCTGAAACCGCGCTGACGGAGGAGGAGAAGAAGGCTCCCTCGTCCTTAGTTCAATGAGATAGAGACAGAACCACACTGCGTACAACGCAACGCTGTACTCGAGCACGCCTTTGACATCGTGGTGTAGAGAGAAATGGTCGAGGAGGAAGCTTCGGATGGGAGTTGCAAAGAACGTTGGCAGGGAGATGAGAGTGTTGAGGGCGTGGTGTTTTGCTGATATCATGGTGTCTGTCGGACAAGGGTCCTAGAGTTCTGCATGTGCATAAAACGAGTGATTGTAAAGAGTGAAAAAAGTATGAAAATAAACTGTTCACGATGGGATGGTGGAGATGTCAAGTGAAGAACAAGGGTAAAGAAGAGTTAATCAGATGGTCTCAATGTTTATGCGCACTTTAGTTCATGTATCAAGCCTGCCAAGGTAGGCACTTCGTACGTACATGTAAGAACATCTTGCCTTTCGGCAGGAGAACTTGCCAATATCAACACTCACCAGATATTACCGGGCATCACTGCAACTTGGGACTGCAATCTCTAGGTAATGAGCATCGATGGCCTTCACGAGACTTGGGCGAGACAAAACACAGCACATCACCACTGCCATTACTACAAACCAGAGTATATACAAGCATCCGTCGCACTCTCACGCATAATCTACTCCAATACTGCCTAAAAATGCTCACAAGGTCATCTCTAGTTGATATGCAAAATAAGATCCTCAATGCAGCCTCTCCAACGGCGTCTGTAATGCAAGAACCGTTTCAAGCGTCTAAATCCAGAGCTGTTTGCTGTTATAGTAAGACATGTGTAAAGATGTGTTTCGAATATTCCCAGATGACCCGCACAAAATCCGAAGAAAAAGACATACTCCAAACTCCTCCTGTATATGTTGCTGACGCCAGCCATTTCGAATGATTTTTTTCGGTAGTAAAAACCCAAGGCCACATCCATCAGTTCGAGCGGGCTCGATATAATGCATCATCATGCAAATGTAACACAACTCCAGAACAAAGGTGCTCGAATCGCCGCATGCTGTACGACATGTCTATACAGCTGTAAGACGTATCCCATGACTCCATCCCTTTCCGTATTAGTATTACCACAGCGTTTCTCCATCATCAGGCCTTTTAGCTTCGAGCGGCAAAGAACCCGCCAAAGCCGGCCTTGGACTGCTCCTTCTTCAGCAGCTCCTCGAGTCGCCTAGTCTCTCGGACGGCTGCCTCGCGGTCCTCCTGGAGGTTGAGGACCTCGACCTGGGCCATGTTCATCCTAGCCACGACCTCTTGCATTTCGTCCTCGGCCTCTCCAAGGGCCTTTTCGAGCTCAAAGACGCGCGCCCGGAGCGTCTTCATATCAGCCTCTTCTTCGAGGCTCTTGGAAGCAATGGGCCGCGTGCTCAACAGCGGCTTGGGGCCCGACCTGTGTGCCGAGCCGTCGGTGGGATCGGCCTGAAGGCGACGAAGCTGCTCGTTATGCGCTTCGCGCAGTCGGGTAATCTCTTCCTCGTGACGGACGACACGGTCCTCCGACGCGGTCTGGGCGGCGACGACCTGGTCCTCCAGGACACGGAGACGCTCCTGGAGCTCCGAAATGCGCTGCGAGTTGGTCTTGCGATCCGCCTCTCCCCTTGCGACGGCGGACTCGAGACGTGTTCGCAGCTCGGTGTTGGTGTCCAGCTGCTGGCGCACCTGGGCCGTGAGCTGCTCAATGAGATCGGCAGACTCCTTGAGCTGCTCGGCCAGAGTGCCGTCGGCCGCAGCTGAGTGGGCCTCGTCAGCCGCCATCATGCTGATTTGAGCCTTTTGCTGGTCAACCTCCCTTCTGGCTGCGTCACGCTCCAGCACTGCGGCGGAGAGCGAACGCTCCAGGCGCTCCATGGCCTCTCTGGTCTCGTCGTCAGAAGCAGAGTCTTCCAGCTCTCGGATGCGCGCCAGTGATGCCGTGTACGCAGCCTGCAGCTCCGCGTACGCATTGCGGAGGGACTCGGACGTAACGGGCTCCCGGCCAGTGTCGCTAGAGCTGCTCAGGCGAGCGATGGAGGGCGGGATCAGAATGTCGTTCTCCTTGAGGAGACCACGCAGAGACTGGATCTCCTCTTCCGCTCGGTCGAGATCAATCTTGAGGCCGCCAAGGCCCTTTTCAACCTGCCACTTCTGCTCGAGGGCATCCTCGGCGCGTCGTCGCAGGAGGTTGATCTCCGTGCGCAGCTTGCCCATGTCCTTCTCGAAGCCGGCCTTCCGGGGCGTAACGGTGGTGAGGCGCTGGCGCTCCTTCTCCAGCATGCGGATCTTCTTCTGGTACTCCCGATTCTGGAACTCGTGTCGCTCCAACAGACTCTTGAGGGCACCGTGAAGAGCGTCGCGCTGCTCTTCCACGTCCTTGAGCCTCTCAAGCAAAGTCTCTCGAGAGTCAGTCTGCGCAGCCGTCTTGAAGCTGTCAGATCTCTTGAGACCACCGATTCCGGGAGGCATACGGTTCCGCGATCCGGTAGCCACAGAGTTGGACCGCGAGAGGCCAATCGAATTGGACCGGGACAGGCCGCCCAGGCCACCCAGGCCGGACAGTCCAATGACTGACATTCGCTTGGTGGGCAATTCGTCTATGCCGCTGGCCATGGAGTTGCGCAGCGAGCTGTTCTCGCGCTTCAAGGTGTGCAACTCCTGCTGCATCCTGGAGGATTCGTACGTCAAGTTGGCGTACTCGGCTGCCTCCGACTCCAAGCCTTCGACCCGCGCCTTGAGCTCCGGGACGACCTCGTCGCGGAGGTTATCTCGCTCATCAGAGGCCTCCTGCAGCTGAGACTTGAGGGCGGCTAGAATGTCTTCAAAATTGGCCTTGGACTGGCGCTCCTCTGATAGCTTCCGCCGCAGATCCTCGCAAGTGCTTTCCAGTTCCTTGATGCGCTCGGTAGCATCCATGTTGTTGATCTCGACCACGT